CCCAACCCTGTGGGATCGGATCTCTCCTTCTATCCCTGACGCCCCCGATGTTCCCACTGTGACGCCAGCTGATCATCAGGATCCGATCGAACTCGACACCCCTTTTTCCGGTGAAGACTTCGACGATGACACCTGGCAACAGCCCGACGACCTCATGGCTCGCATCCTCAACCCTGTCGACGCCAACGAAACGACCATTTCCGGCCCTGGCATGGTAGACAATGTCAACGTGGACTTAGCAACTGTCCAGGTGCCGTCATCTGATGAAGCTGGCCGCAGGAAGCGGCGCCGTGTGTCAAACAAGAAGTACGGAGACTTCGTAGGTCATTAGGATATCGTCTAGTGCATGTACACACTTTATTTTACTTCAAATTCTATGTTTTTCGTGGTTCTACCGAGTGTCCCTTAGTTAAGTTCCCGGACGCCCATACACATGGGACTGTCCCACCCTCTAAGTTCCGTTCCCGGTCCGGTGGGACACGGGACGGGAACTTATGGTCTGCTCGTTACAGTATATCTAACTCCTAACTGTAACCCCTTTTCAAGAGGCGTTGGCTTTCACCATAACCAGTAACGTACAAGAACCTCTTAAATACTGTCGTTAGTCACTGAAAATGGTACGTCTCTCTTGCAGGCTACCTCTCACCAGCATAATTTTCTTCAGCCTTTCACTTGCTCCTCCGGAGACATATTTCAACCAAATTCCTGATCACAAAAACGCAGAGCACTACACTCGCCCAGAGCCGAAACTGCTGCCTCAGCAGACAGAACAGAGACACCAGATGGTACACATTGAAACTTGCTCAAATGTTGCATTCTAACCTCCGCTCTCACTGCAGGTGGCAAACTCGAGCAGCTCAGAATCGTTCCCATGTCGGAAATCTGCATCAGCGAAGGGCATACAGAAACAGGCTATTCCGAACAATAGAAAGGGTCGTCCTGAACAACACAATCTCGGCTTGGAAGAGCTGAAGGTTCAGAACACTACCCTAATGATGGACCGTATTGAACTCAGCGAGACTCACCGCATGCACCTTTCCCAGATGAAGCAGTTACTGGTGGAGGAGCGCAAGGAGAAGGACCACGTTGTCGAGGCGAGAGCAATGGATACCACAGGGCACCACCAACGTCTCCGCGAACTAGAGGAGCAGATCGGGACCCTAATTCGAGAGAAAGAGAACCTAGTCGCTCAAGTCGCCCAAGGATCAGCGATGCTTCAAAGCAAAAGTGCGGACGTCGAACACTACCAATTGCTCTGCAGAGAGCGGGAAGAGCAGAACAACACTTTAACACAACGGTAAGACACCATCATTACTCAGTTGAGAAAGTCCATCAAAGCCGGGGTTGCGGTGGCCCGAAAGCAGCGCCGACATCAGCTAGAGCTCGAAGAAAGGATTTCCCATCTCATGCAGGAGAACGAAGCTATGATCGCTCTCCACGAGAAGTTCACTTAGCAACACTTGTATCAGCTAGAGCTCGAAGAGCACATCAACCACCTTACTCGGGAGTACGAAGATATCGCCACCCTGCACGAGGAGCTCGCACAGCAAGTCGTGAGTCACAGCGCCGAGGTGACCAGGCTCCAAGTGGAGAATGCCCTCCTCGCTAGAGCCAAGGACGAGGTTCAGGTCGAGATTAAAGGGGAGGGCCTCGAGCGCCAGGCCGAACAGGATGTTGAGGGTAGCCTCTCTTTGACCGTGGAGCTAGTCATCTGGCTCGCGGGGAAGCTCAAACCAAAAAGCAACGAACTCACCTCCCTCACAGGAAGCCAAAACAAGCGGAAGCGGAACGAATGATATGCTTGGTAGCAGGTGTTGTGGCCAAATGCGGACTAATGGCGGTATCCTTCGACTGATTTACAGTAGGATATCAATTATCAGATTCAGATTAGAATGCTTCACATCACAGGCTCAGTCCATGTTTATGAATGTCGAAGAGATCGTGAACGCCTATGTGATGCAATGTACATGACGTTAGAAAGCGATCGCTGGGTTTATGTGAGCATTACCAAGTAATTGCAGCCTTTATCTTTGTCTCGATTATGTTCCCAATATATCAGGCCTTGTTGCAACCTTGTGTACCCACAAGCTTGAAGACCCACAACGCCAGCTTCACTTCTGGCACGCGCAGGAGTGGCTCTGCTGTTCTTAGACGTGATACACAGCTCAGAACGATTGGCTTGAAAGCGTGTTCGATGAGCTATCCAGAAGAGCGAGGCAGGGAGCTGACAAAGCCATGCGCGCCCCAACGATGTTGAAAAGAAACATTGAAAAAACAAGAACAAGGGCAAAGAGCGCTAAAGCCCCTGACGGTCTGAAAAGCATTGCAAACTCCGCCCGCTTTCTGCCGAAATGGTCACCAACGCTCAACGACGCTATTCGATACGTACGCATGAGTACTTGGTAACTAATCGGACAATATTCGCTTCTACATCCAAGTGCTGATATTATGTTATAGTTCTGGCCTGTGATTCTGCACCGAAGTAAGCGTGGTGATCGGTGATGCATGACTCAACGCTACCCTGCAAATTACAGTTATAATGTTATGCGAGTATCACTTATGACTGTCTACAGGCCTGAATGAATTTACTGACCGATTATGACCAGAGATGAATTGGATGGCCAGACTAACGGGTTGGCATTGCCTTTCGCACCCCACGGCCGCCCCTTACCCATAAAACACTCGGACGGGATCCGTCACTTTGCATGAAAAGCTGCTTTTTCAGCACAAGACGGAGAGTCAGACTTGAAACTCCCATTCACATGAAGAGTCCTATTGCTTTCACCTGTACCATCAGCGATCAAACGCCAAATGGCCATGTCTGGTACAGCAGACGCCATCACTACTGTTGGCATGTCCCGGAAATCCCTCACTGAGCGGCCCGAGGGAAACGGTACGCACTTGCGTTTCTGGCTATCACCCAAGCGCAGGACCCGGACTACGCGTCAATCGCTGTCCCGACACTCGTTCTGGCTGGCGCGGAGGACAAGCCGTGCCCCGAAGCGGTGGTCAAGTCTTTGGGCGATACCATTGGACTATATATGGTGGAGGCTGTCGAGGTGACGGCGAGGGAGTTAAATGCGTTTGTTGCGTAAGCTAACAAGTGTGCGCGCGATGAGAGAAATGGTGGGAATTCTCCATCCCAAAGCCCGCTCGCCTTGTGCTGAAACCGTTTCTTGACAAGCGCCATGCTCAAAATGCTTCTCTCAGCCTCCGTCCTATTGCTTTGAACGTCACACGTGAAGTTCACCTCAAGTACCGTTCCAACGTCTGCTGGGTATGCAGGACCAGGCTTCATTCAACGCTGGAAATTACATGGTAGGTTGTCATTATGTATAAGCGTTTTATCAAGCATGTCCGTGTCACAAATGTATGAAGAAAGAACGAAATGATGAAGGTATAAAAATACGAATGCAGAAAACGAAACACGAACGAAGCCAACATCACCACCGCCAACTCCTGGTCATAATCCGTTCCCCATCATCACTCGACGCGAGGCTCGAGGTGTCCGTGAACTGCCCGATCGACTCCGACTCCTCCTCCCACTCGTATCTGTGCCATCGGGGGTCCCTGTTCGGGAGGCCCGCGCCCCATGGTGGGAACGAGTTACCGTATCGCCGGACCCACTCGCGCTTGCGCTTTTCCCAGCCTTCCTCCCATTTGGTGTTACGCTGCGACGGAACGTGATGTCAGACGTGCCGTCTTCGAGCACAGCGAGAGATAGATGCTTACGGAGCGCATCAGGCGGACCGACTCGAGCAGCGAATGACTGGGTTTACTCTGCTGCTTGCCTGAGGTGTCCAAGTTATCGGTGCGGAGAGCCTGTACGATGGGGAATCCTGTAAGTCTCTGCATCGCGACTTGATAAGCGCCACTGAAGGGAACTCACTCCGAGAACGCGCTCTTTGACTCTTGCCATGCCGTTAATGAAAATGGAGTCGAGATGTATGGTGTACAAAGTTTGTACAGAGATAGAGCGGGGCGGGAGTAAGTATAAGTTATCGAGGCTAACCCGAGTCGGTTGGTGCAGAGGATGTAAGGCAAATCCTTCACTGGAGGAACTTTGACTCCCTTCCGGTGTACTTATATACGGGAACTACGATGGACCCCGCATGTGTTGTAGGGAACACCAGAACCCCGCGGCTGCGCACGTACCTTTGTTGGGCGGCTGTGATGGGGCGTGGGTCATGCGTGATGCTGTGCCGGTCGGGCTCACAATGCGCGACGCCGAGACGACGCGTTCGACGTCCCTGAGAGAGTTCCTCAATCTCCCTCTTGTTTTCAGCGATAGAAAGATCGCTTCGTATGTTTCATTATTGTAAACATATACTTGTCAAAACGTCGAGAGCGACAAACAATTACCCTCTGAGCGGCTTCGTTTGCCCCTATCCCTGTTAAGGCCATGCCGCGGCATCTATATGGACCCACAATACATGGCCTCATGGCAGCCAGCCCGTCTACTAGGACACGAGGCGGGTGGACAATAGTAAAAATAGTCTACGAGCATAGCAAGTCAACTCAATTGGTTCATAAGTATAGGAGAGAATAGAAGAACGGAATAGTTCAGTACTCCAGGAATAGAAACCTGTGTCGTGTGTCGCCGAGTCACCGCGCACCTGCCCACCAGTGGCACTGACAGGAGCACAGCAAGTCGAACCAGCGGGAATTTCGCAGAACCCTCATTTCGACGTCATCTTCCTCGTCCTCGGCGGCGCTCGAGTTGGACCTACACTCGTTGTCCTACATTACAGATATAGTTTAGTACAGGAAAATCAGACCAGAAGGTGCACGAGGACGAACCTTGCGTGCCCTCCGGGACTGTGAGGGTCGCTTCTTCTCCGTGCTATACGTCGACGCCTGTATGCTGCGATCCGACTCAGAGCTTCGGCTGGATATCCGCGAAAGGAGAGATCGCACTCGCAGCGGGCTCTCTGTTCTGGGAATCTCGAACGACTGTCGTGAGAGATTGCCCTCTACAGCAGTGGTAGACTGAGACGGTAGTTCGCCGTCGCCGTCGTCGTCATCAAAACCGTCCCAAAATCGCTCCATAGCGGCCACCTGCTCTGGCGTCTTTTGAGAAAGGGTCGCTGGAAACTTAGACACCGGTTGTGCTTTGAGCTCCCGCGAATCTCAGGAAAGGGGAGACTTACATCAAGGAAGCTATCGTCTGTCAAATCCTGGTTCTTTGTGAGTATGCTTGAGAGTCCATTCAGATATGGTCATGCTCTTACGTGAAGACTCAGAGACGGAGAGTTCGGTGGTTGGGAGTCCATTCGGAGACTTGGATAGAAGATGAGTGGGATCCATCACGTCCACAACACGACCTTTATAGGATACATGAGATGCTGAGCGCCAATCAACATTTAGAAGTGATGTGTGTAAGCTTAGTATTGCTGTATGGCGTGAAGGGCACACATTTTTCGTGCACGTTCATGCTGTGCGAGCGCCTAGATCAAAAGGGGGATGTCAAGACATCCTGCGCCGTCTCCTGTGCTTTGGCTGTTTTTAGATATGTTCTTGCGAGTCTCTCTGGTGTTCCTGCGCGGAGGGAGGCGGATGTAGAGATCGTACAGCATACAGCAAGGCGGCTGACAGCAGCGCCAGCGAGTGACAACAGAGAGAGAGAAGAACAGAGACAAAAGTGGAGAAAGGAAGAGATGTGTCTTCATCGTGGAGGTGGATGTATGCGCATGGCGCACGGCGCAGACGGTATGTCCTGGCGGAGTTTCAACGGCATTCAGTGTCCTCGTCGCGCTTCGCCTCTTGACATCACACACACCGACACGCAATACAAGCGCACAGACCGAGACGATCACAACACATAATGAAAGCGGAACCATGGATCTGAACCCCTTGCAATGATACCGGTTAGCACAAGGAACCGCGTAGGGGACAAGGTCTCGAGGACAACAGTTGTTGAATCTCTTTGTTTTCCTTGACAGCTTGTTTTCGCTAACGCGTTCTACGACCGATGCCGCACTGACCGTGACGCTGTGCCCGACACGCTGCTGAGCCCCAGATATATGACGTCCCCAAGCCGCTCGGTTACCAACCTTTCCCAGCTTGAACGCAACCCCAGACGATGGAAGAGAACTGCAGTACGTTTTTTGCTTTCTGTCAGTGCCAACACCCATCTCAGTCTACATACATTAGCCGTGAGGCACCGAGCTCCTGTGCATGGAAACCCGGATAGCTGGCAAAAACTCGCACAAGAATGCGCGCAAGGCGGTATTTACGACTCCAACGAGCGCCAGCCCCATGCCAAATGCCTTCCCGGCACTCGAACCGAACTTCTCCAGTCACTCACTGCTCTCGTCAACGAGGGCAACACCGATACACGCAAGATCATCTGGCTATCCGGAGAATCTGGCTCGGGCAAGTCAGTGATAGCACACACGTTGGCTGACCAGCTCCGCCAGGAGGGCGAGCTCGCAGGCACGTTCTTTTTCTCCAGGAAGCACACGAAGCGGAGCACCTTCAACCGCTTCTTTCTCACCATCGCGTACCAACTAGGGTTGCAGCATCCCCTCGCCCAAGGACTCATCATGAAGGCTATCTCAGACGACCCTGCGCTGCTTACTCCGGAGAAGTCACGCCTCGACCAGCTCGAGAAGCTCGTTGCTCTCCCCCTCAAGCAGTTGGCGCGTTCATGCTCGTGGAAGGACAGGGTTGGTCTGACATTAGTTCTGGACGCTGTCGATGAGGGCACGGTGGGCGGAATACATCTATTTGAACCATTTATCTCCCTGCTTGCTCGCCTCGTTCGGGATACTTCGCTCCCCATTCACAACGTCATCATCACTGGCAGGCCTTTGCCACGTATTTGCGCGGTCATGCGGAACGCTCACCTTGCAGATGTCATGCGGGTCGTCCACATCGAGGACTTTGATTCTCGCAACGACGTTGACCTGTTCCTCAGGCACTCCTTCCAGCATATCTACAACGCTCACGCTCTGTCCGATCTCATTGACGACGACCCATGGCCCCCAGAACGCGATTTCGCGATGCTGTCGGAACGCGCCAACGGCCGCTTCATCTTCGCCGCGACAATCGTCCGGTTGATAGACCAGGATCAACCGCAAGATCGCCTACCTTTGGTCTGCAGCATGCTTCGCGGTCATGTGGAGCGGGTCTGGGGAAGCGTCGACCGCTTGTACGAATCCATCATCGAAAGTGTCGATCTCTCTGTGCGCGATACCGGACTCCAATACCTCTCGCGCATCATCGCTCTTGCTGAGCCGTTATCTTTGCCATCCCTCCGTCTGATTTTTGGCGCAGACGTGCACCCATACCTTCTACCCTTCTCAGCTCTGATATCTGTCCCCGCGCCCGGCTCTGCAGACTTGGTCCAGATCTACCATGGCTCGCTGCGGGACTACCTGCAGACTCGTAGGCAGATCGAGGGAGATCACAGCGACATGGCACACGTCCATCACGAATTGGCATCCCGGTGCTTTCGCGTGATGGCAAAGCTGCTCAAACGCGATATATGCAACTTGCGAGACCCGTCACTCCTGCACAAGGAATTTCCGGACTTCGTCGAACGACTAGACGCAAATGTCGCATCTGGTTTGCGGTATGTGCATCATTACTGGCTTCACCACCTTTGGGGGGTTACTCCGGATCTCGAGATTGAGGGTCACCTACTCGATTTCTTGGAGAACCGCCTTCTCTACGCGATCGAGCTCTACTCACTCGTGGGCGATCTGGGTGGTGGAGCCTGGATGCTCAGGGCAGCTGGTAAACTCGTGCGAGTAAGGCTCAATTCTCTGTACAGTATACGGGCCGAGAGCTGACGTTGCTGGCTGCTCAGGGATGGCCAGATCATTTAATCCGTCGCAAAAGTGACATCCTAGCTCTACTGTACGACGGCTGGCGCCTGACTCTGGACTTCTTCGATGCCATCAGCTCCTCTGCTCTCCACGTTTACGAGTCCGCCCTCCCCTGCTGCCCGGCCAAATCGCACATCCGCCGCGCATATGGACATATTATCGCAGACGCAACCGTCTTCACATTTGAAGAGGGCTTGGACAGCCAGTGGCCCTGCGTTATACGCGTTATAGACGACCACTTGGAACCCGCCGCGCTGTCCCCTGACGGTTCGGAGCTGGCAGCAATCTCATTGCATGGCTATGTGGGCATATGGGCTATGGATACGGGCCTGCTCGTCACTTCTCTGCGCCTCCTGGAAATTGCAACGTTACGGGACGATGGGTTTGTGGTGTACAACGGCTCAGTTGTTGCACTTACTAATAGGCGGTACTGCTGTTTGTGGTACCCATCAGAGGGATTTGCTGTCGAGGTCGTCCTACCAGACAACATTGCATGCCAGGGTATGACTTTCTCTTCGGATGGAGTCGTCCTTGCTGTCCTTACTGTTGAGTCTGAGGCGCTGCAAGTCGCTGTCCGAGTCTTCGATGTGGAAACCTGCGAGCAGGTCTCCGTGTTTCCCCTTCCTGACCACTATCGAAGCAGTCTGCACCAGTATGAGGCGATCGAGTTCTGTCGTCATTGGCATCAAGTGATGGTGGTCCTTTCTGACTCTGTGCTCATCTGCGATCTCGTCGGTAACAAAGTGCTCCAGGTCATGCCATGTTATAACCCTATTGGTGACACTAAGGAAATCTGGCACTTCATCGCCCCAGCTGAGGACTCCGTCGTTCACCTCGCAATGTTACCGGATTGCAAGGCAGAGGCCTCTTTTACCCCCGCATTGCAGCAGGCGCACGATGCACGCAGGCTCACCCCGCTCCTATACCACGGGAAAATGGTAGCGGCAAAAGTGGATGACAAAGTCGCTGGGATCTGTGGGAGGACTCGAACCAATTGGATTACTGCCGTCCCCGGCGAGGAGTGCTTCGGGGCTGTAAGGGAGTACATGCACACCTCGATCGTCGACATCACCCTGGTGCTATCTCAGTCACTCAGCGACGAGGACTCCGGCTCTTTGCTCGACGACCATTCTCAGCTACTATGCGCCTCAGACGGGGGCAACGTTGTCATCTACAGAACACCAAACGAATTCTCCTTCCTTGCTGTCGGACGCCGACCTGATTCCGGCAGCTTCAGTCAGACTCTACGGGTTGAAACACAAGAGAACCAGATCTACACCCACAAAGCCGCTTTCTCTCCCCGCGAGTCATATTTCGCAATGCCCTGCGTGTCATATTCGCTCAATCGGGCACACATCTACGTATGGGACTTCCGCGACGGCAGTCACAAGCTCATCACATTACGGTTTTCCGATGCAGAGCGAGACTACGGGCGGTGGATAGTAGACGACATCCGATTCTCGCAGGATGAGACCACGATAGTCTTCCTTTCGTGCATCAGCCAGGGATGGGCTATTTCCATGGTCTCTATGACAAGCGACGGACTCATGTCAGAAGTCTCCTTCGCCCCTCTATGGATTGCGAACTCGACTCCGAAGAACTTCAAGATCGCCGCTGTCAGTCAACATGAAGTCGACCTGTGGTCTCACTGCGAAGATGGTTTCCATCATTTCCGCTGGAACAAGGCAACGTCATCGCTCCAGATGATCGCATCTATCCTCGACCCAAGCCTGATATCTGTCACGAGCTCTCCGGGCTTCGAGCGGGTATATACGCACGGCTTTCGCGGCCGCTGTGTGATGAACTTGCACGCGGTTGACGGGATAAAGGAGTACGCGGCGGAAGAAGACAGCGATGCGCCTTGTTGGGACATCTGCTCTTGGTCCGACCTTTGCATGGACAAAGATGGGTGGCTTCGGAAGCGGAGACGCAGACTTTGCTGGCTCCCGTTGCGATACAGGCCCTATCATCTCGGACAGAAGCCTTTGAAGTTGCTTATGGAAGGAAATAAGGTGACGATACTGCACCTGACGGGTGGAAAGCGCATTACTATACAACTTCTTAACACAGAGGTAGAATTCTTTCGATAGAATACAACTTGTGCTGTGCTTCGTTGTCCTTACCTCAAACAGAAGCACCGAATGTAGGACTACAAGTCGAACCGTCGCGGCTTTTTCAGAGCTCTCATTTCGACACCACCGTCGTCCTCGGCGAGGCTCGCGTTGGGCTCGCGCTTCACGTCCTAAATGAAACTGAAGATCGGTTGAAAAACAGAACGTACATCCAAGCGTACCTTACGTGCTCTCAGGGACTTCGGAGGTTCACTTTTCTCTGTACGACGCGTTAGCTTCTGTAAGCTGTGATTTGGGTTCATAGTTCCAATCGGATACGATGCACAAAACGATGCAGCGGACTCGCAGTAGGTTCTCTGTTCTAGGAATTTCGAGCGAGTGTCGCGAGGGGTCGTCTTCTACAGCACTGGTAAACTGGGACGGTGGTCCTCCGTTGTCGCCATCCCAAACAGCTACTTGGTGCCATTCGCTCTGGCGTCTTTTGAGATGGCATCGCAAGAAGTTTGGAGGTCCGTTCAGTGTGGCGCACACGCGAGGATGCGGAAAGATAGGAATGACCTCAGGAAATTTATCCCCTGCTGAGTTGTAAATTGTCGACTAATATCTAGGAGTCCATTTAGATACGTTCGAATTCATGCTCTTACGTGTTGGCTCTGGGGTCTCAAAAATGGCGAATTCGATGTTCGGGTCCATTCTAAGACTGGGGGAGTAGCAAAGAGGTATCCATCATGTCCATAGTGCGATATCTATAGGACACCTGATATTGGCGTCAGCCCAGAAGGGGAGGGGTCCATGCAAGACGGTGTGCGCGTTTATTCTATGCACAAACTTCGTCGGTGACATACAGACACAGCAGCGTCCAGCGGGTCCATTCCTTTGAGAACCACAGCAAATACAGGGTAGGTCAGACCTTGCTAGTTACTTGTCGTCCGTCTGATCTAGCCCTTAACAATATGTCGATATGGGCTTTGGATATACCAAACGCCAGAGATGAGAAAAAGGGAGTTGACATGACAAGGACCCTTGCATTCGTGGGAAGTCGGAGGTTGAACCGCCGGCTGACAAAGAGGGACCCCGATAACACAGCTGCCCCCGACACCCTTGAGCTTGATCACCTCACCACTTTTGAGTCTGAGCATCAATCACTCGCTTTTAGACGTCCGTCTCTCTCACAGACTCAGACTTGGATTCTCACCCCAGCTCAACAATCAGAACGTCTATCCAACGCTTATGTCCCATAAGAAGCTACACTGTGCTCCAGACTCCAATCGCAACCCCAAACGCTCGACAGCAGCGGTCCGAGCTTCATCCCCAGGGACCGGAATGCTATAGTGGACCTTTGGGAGGTCATGGGATCTGCTTCTTGACTCAGGCGTTACCTCAACTCCTGGGAGTGGATGTCCCAATCTCACTTCAATAAAGCGCCTTCATCGCAATAAGGTAATAGATTATAAACAACCTGCGTCAGAATCACGACTCTGTACGCCGGGCCTGTATTCTCTGAGTTGCGCCATAGCTGCTCCTGGTTGCGCTACTAGTAACACCGCATACGGGGTACCGTTCCCTTATCTTATAAAGAGAGGGGTAATGTCCTTATGCGCAGCTGAGAGCATAACCTTCTGACGCCCACCAGACGCTCATTACACCATGGCCCCTGTACCATCCAGCGAGCAGCAGACCGGAAACGGATCTGTCGCAGCCTTGAAGAATAGGATTGGTAATCCATCGAACCCATTCTACTCTCCGAGTCTCGGAGACGACAACGACGCCGGATACAAGTACGCCGGGTACAAGGTAAGTACAGCTCATATCTTTCGTCGGAGGAGACAGCAGCTGAACCATTTCACGCACCTCTAGCCGAGCTTCCCCAAGGTAGACTGGGAACCTCTGCAGGAGATCGCCGTCCAGGATCGCGGTGCGTTTGCCGACCCCGAGAAAAAGGCGCTCTTCAGCGCCGCTGGCAAGGTCAAGCACCTAACGCCCATCATCGGCACCGAGATCACGGGTATCGACCTCCGGCAGCTCACTGATGCTCAGAAGGACGAGCTGTACGTTCCTCATATAGTCATTCTTCTGGGTCCTTACCTTTCGCTGTAGCGCTCTTCTCGTTGCTGAACGTGGGGTGGTCTTCTTCAGAGACCAGGAGATCAGCATCCACGAGCAGCTGGAGCTTGCTCGTCACTGGGGCCCTCTGCATAAGCACGCGACCACGCCAGTCCCCAAGGAGCCTGGCCTCGAAGAGGTGCACAGTAAGCACGACGTATCAAGCCACTTTACATGACACTGAACCCTCCGATCAGTCGTGTACAACGACGCTTCTCGCCGGCCGGACCCGACCGCTTTCTCCAAGGTCGACCTCTGGCACAGCGATGTGACCTACGAGCTCCAGCCACCATGCACTACCTCGCTCAAGGTAATCACAGGCCCCGAATACGGCGGTGATACGCTCTGGAGCTCCGGGTGAGCCTCATCACCCTCAGCCAATCCTCCCTCAGACTAAACCCGCCTTCCCCAGATACGCGCTCTACTCCTCCTTCAGCCCCGGCTTCCAGAAGTACCTCGAGGGCCTCACCGCGCTGCACAGCGCCGTAGCGCAAGCCGACGGCGCGCGCGCCGCGGGGCTGCACGTCCGCCGCGAGCCGATCGAGTCTATCCACCCCGTCGTGCGCGTGCACCCGGTCACGGGCTGGAAGAGCGTGTACGTGAACCCGGGCTTCACGCGCCGCATCATCGGCGTGCCCAAGGCCGAGAGCGACGCGGTCCTCCAGATCCTGTTCAACACGATCGCGAACAACGTCGACCACCAGGTGCGGTTCAAGTGGGAGGAGAACTCGATCGCGTTCTGGGATAACCGGGTGGGTGTTCTTGTTCTTGTCCTTGCTATCGTAGGGTATCGACGGCAAGCTTACACGATGCGTCGTGTGTTAGATTGTCACGCACTCTGCTACGTTTGACTTCTGGCCGAACACGAGACACGCTCTACGCGCCACTCCCCATGGCGAGCGTCCCGAGTCGGTCGCTGACTACGAGGCGCGGACCGGAAAGGTCGCGAAGGACCGTCAGATCGACCTCTGGGAGAAGGCCGGTGTCGAGCTCCCCGAGTACAGGAAGACCAGTCTCGTTCGGGGATACAACGACTAGACGCCGTATGCGTATTGCAGGGTGATATAGCGAAGGCTGTAAGATCAGTATGTACAAGCATTTAGATTGTATGTAAGTTTGTGTATAGAGCAAGTACGTTTCAAGTTTTGTATGAAGGCCCTCTGAAGTATCGATCCAAGGAGTGTTGTCGAGATTCGATCAAAGACGCAGGAATTCGAGCGTAGGTTTGGGCCAGTGCGAGCACACGTGGCTTGACAGTGAGGATTGGCGATCCAGGAAGGGCTGGTGTACGCTTCGGAGTGTCGGGGGCAAAGAGGCAGCGAGGACCTCGGTCGATGGCGGACGGGTGCGAGAGCCGCCGTTATGTATGTGTCTGGGGTCACTGGCTTCCTCGAGCTGGACATCACGATAGCGGACCGGGTGCACTTCTGGATGCAACCATGGAACGGTTATCATCAACCTTCGTCAAAGCAGAGAATAGTTTTTACGATGGCCTTATCAGCTAATAGACTCGTAGTGTGCTAAATCAAATAAGGTGTACCTGTGACACATTATTGCAGAATATTGGAGAAGGTCATATCGTAACGGAGCCTCCTTTCAAAGAGACATACTACCAAGGCCGGCCATCTTGCCCGCTTTCTCAGCTGGAGAATCGGATAATGCGTAATCTCCATCTAAATTTAGTGCCAAGCCTCCATCATATCGCGTGAGATCATAGACATGATGCATGAGTCTTTGGCCTTAAGAGGATGCTCTCGCAAAAACGTTCCTTTGTCCACCTTTCGTCGCCCTTTCCAGGAATCCCTCATCACTAACATCGGCAAGGCTTGCGTTCCTCCGTGTTGATGGACTCTTGGATTGGCTACCGTGGGTCTGCGAACCCCCCAAGTGTTATCTTCAAGCAACTGTCGAACATGAGTATGGCTCGACGTCCCTGGATTGCACGTGATGACTTTCTGAGAGACTTGGACGCTGCACTTGTTTTCTGGCCATCAGCACAGGAAGCGAATGGCGTCTGTCTCAACAGTCTCCTCTGTTAGTACGTAAGGCCCAAAGGCCGTTTCACGCACTGTACGGGCTAACCTTTCTCGCAGACTTCTCGACTTCTCATGGTCCAGTTCGCAGGCGCGGATGAGAAGGCGTTTAAATCCGCCTTATCGGTAAGTCATAACACCTTACTCTTAATGTCCCATCATGTCACGGCTTTAGCAGATCCATGACATGTACTGGAAATCACTGCCCACCATGCACGGCGCAGCTACGATGACCAACGATGACCTGTACCGTGACATCGCGAAGGCGAACGATCACGCTGAGCGAAGGGAGCTAGAAGAGCTGCGCAGAATAGTGCTGGAGAAAGAGATGGAAACCGCGGCACACGCTCAGGAGAAGAGCGTGCTTGTAGCGGAGAACGGAAAACTTCGCACGGACTTGATGCGCCATCAATCCGAAAGGGCAGCAGAAAAGAAGGCTAAATCCTCGGACGACAAACGACATCAAAAGAGCCGTGCGGACCTGAGGAGGCGGAACAAGTCCTTGGCTAAGGAAAAGGACAGACTCTCCCTTGAGGTCTCTAATCTACGGGAACGTATATGGCAGCTAGACACTGAGTCCTCTGAAATTCGAGCAGAAAACATCGAGTCTCAGCGGACACTCGAGGCGCTTAATGAGCGCAACGAGGCTCTCAGCGTGGAAAAAGTCAAGCTACTGGCGGAGAAAATAAAGCTACGGGGCGACTTGAACCGCCAGCTGACCGAACGGAAGGCAGAGAAGACAGCCTTGATTCAAGCCAGTGCCAAAGAAGCAAAAAGATACTCTCAGCATTGCGTCGTTCTGAAGCAGCTGAACACGGATCTTACGTGGAAGAACGACCAGCTTTCTGCGGAGAACACCGGGTATCGAAAAGAGGCTGAACGCCTGTCAAAGGAGCATCTAGCAAAGGTGGATGCTCTCCTTCTGGAGATCGCCGAACTTCGCGAAAAGCAGCGGCAATGTCACCCCGTTCTGGAACATAGGGTAGAAGCGCTCTCTCGGGAAAGGGACCATCTCCTGGCGGCCAGAGCGGAATACCAGGGCACATTGGAGAAGCAGTCGGCGGAAAGAAAAGAGGAAGCGAAGGCTTATACACGAATGATCGCCGAAGAAGGTCGCCGAAATGAACAGCGCTTCAAGGAGCTGCAAGAACGAAATGCGATACTTTACCAGGAGAAGGAAACACTATACTCCGAACAAGCTATACTCCGAGATGAACTGGCTCGCCAGGTCATCGAGCTGGGGCAGACAAAAGAGCTCATCAACCGCGCGAGCGCTAGGACTGCTGACCAGGATCTGGAGAAGCGTAACGCAGAGTTAGCCGAGGAGAACAGCATGCTCAAAGCGGCGCAAACCTCGCTCGTCAGCGACCTGCAGCGCGACTTCGTAGAGAAGAGCGCAAGAACTGCACGACTCCTACAAGAGAACGCCACTCTCGCGCAGAAAAAGGACGCGCTCCAAGGAGAAAAGGACGCTCTCAAGCGCCGACTCGTGGAAGAACACAGGAGTCTCCGTCAGCGTTGCGATAATCTGGAGGCTCAAACGCGTACCTTTGCGCAGGTCTCTGGAGAGCTCGCGTCAGCGAAGCAGATGGTAACCTGGCTCACTGATCAGCTCGAAGCAAAGGCGCAAGAGTTGAGAGAGGCGGAGGAACGCTGGATTAAACGGGAGGAATAACAGGTAGATGAGTGTGCTTGGATCTCGGCGAGTGGAGTTACTTGAATAAAACGATGCTGCGTGACTTGAGGAAAATATTTGTCGATTGTGTGAAATTGGGTAGGTGCTAGAAGTCCGCATACGAGTCCAAAACAATTCGCTGGACCTCTTAGACATAATGATTTAGTTTCAAAAATAGGAGCTTGTGCACGTTCAAGAAATTAGTCCATTGAAAGTTATCACCACGGCTAGTGTATCTACACCTGCCGAGCACGATGCATCCGAGACGTCATCGCGCTCATATGCTTTGCCCCGCACTCAGCACCTGCTGCGCCACATGTCCCACCTCCGCCGGATACCCAGCCTCAGCCCCAACATCGACAGCCACGCCAGAAGCCACCGCCTCACTCGAAGTCCCATTCGCCACCGCATACCTCACCTCAAACGCCCACGCATACTCCACCTCGTCCACCTCACCCGCGTCCACCTCAACACTCATCACCCCACCCTCACCCACACTCCACCTCAGCGCCGTCCCATTCCCACTCGGACCCAGGAGCCTAACCTCATCGCCCTGCAAGACGGGCAACACCGCGCCGCCCGCGTCGACGGTGAGCGTCCCGCTGGGCTTGTCGAACGCGACGATGCAGAACGTCGTCGGCGTGGTGAGGAAGCGCACGCTGCCGTCGGGCGACTGCTGCGCCTGCGGCCAGTAGCTCGTGTTGTACACGCATGCGCCGGAGTAGGACAGCCAGCGCCCGGCGTCGCGCAGGTTGTCGGCCATCGCGGGGATGATGACGCCTTCCGCTGTGGGTCCGACGTCGAGAAGACTATGCAAGAAAGCGGCGTAAGCATTTCCTGAGAGCACAAGGGAAGGACTCACTAGTTTCCGTTCTTGCTCACGACATCAACCAGCGTCTGTACAATCGTCGTCCCGTTCTTATACTCGTCGGGCGTCGTCTGGTTATTGATCCCATAACTGTCTGGGTCCATCCCCTCGTTCGTCTCCCACGACGTCGTCTGCAGCGAGCCGAACACGGTGTACTCAGGCGTCGAGTAGTCAGGCACATTACCACAACCTGAGCGAATATTAGGAAAACTGGTGACAGAAGAGAAAGCGTCGCTCACGGTCGTTCATAGTCACTTGATACCCGTTCTCCCAGGCATGGTTGTAGTACGCAGCCGCAAACTCGAGCGTCATGTTCGGCCCGCCGATATCGCACCACTAACAATAATGGCCATTAACCGTCTTTGCCATAGACGAAGGGTCAAACGCACCATGATCTCCGTGTCGTAGTTCTGCGCAAGCGACAGCATCTGCGGGAACTGCAGATCCGTGATAAAGTCCGTGACATTGATCAACCCCGTATACGGCTCGATCTCCGACCAATTATACGCATTATGCGCTAGCCCGCCCGGCCACGACTCGAACCCGTACGGCGCATAGAACGGATTGAACCTTCCATCACCCACCGCCACCATCGTCAGCCAAGCCGCCTCGCCAGCCAACTCAAGCGAAAAAACAGAGCACTCACCACTCAGGCAGCGAGAAATACGTCCCGCGATGCAACTCCGGAAACCCCGCCTTCGCAGCATCGAACAGCTCCTTGACAAAATCCCGCTTCGGACCGAGATACACGCTCGAGCGGTGCGACGTGTTGCCCGTGTCGAACAGCGCGTACCCGTCGTGGTGCTTCGTCACCTGCACAAAGTACTTGGCGCCCGCGTCCTCGATGAGCTGCAGCCACTCCGTCGGGCTCCACAGGCCCGCGGTGAAGTTCGCGATGAAGTCGTCGTAGACGACGTTCTGTTTGTGTGGAGGGGGTGTTAGCTTTGGCCCTGCAGCGGGGTCACGCCGCGAGAGACGGGGAGATGGAGAGACTCACTTCGCCGTAGACCTCCTTGTGGTGCACCCATGTTGGGCTCTGGGAGCTGTTTGGGTTGTGTAAGGCCCAGCTGCAGGGAGGCATCAACTTCGCGCACGGGAGATGCTGGACGATAGGTGCACGCACTCGTACCACTCCGCATACGAGTTGTGGCCCTAGAACACGGTATAAGCGAGAATAAACAGAGAAATAAAGGGGGCAGACGCACGTATGCAGGCACACTGTAGAGGCCCCAGTGGATGCTACACGCCATTAGATCAGTCACTCTGCTTAAGATGCCGGTATGAAAGAAGCAACGAACAATATCCCGTATTTGGCTTTCCTCCACTGCAAAAAGAATCGTTAGTTATGAAAAAGGGGCTCCACTCAGAACAACGTACCCATGTTGGCGTCTCATGCGTAGTCAACGCATCCACCTCGGGCGTCCAGCTCGTCCTCAGCGGCGTAACAGGCCACCCCGCCGACGTGCCAACAACGGCGCCTGCCGCATTCTTCACCGTGACCGTCGCAGTCTGCCCATTGTCCCCACCGGTAACCAAGACATCAAGGTTAACCTGGTCCGTCGGAACAAGTCGGTAGAACACCCCAGGCGCGACAGTCGTCACACCCCCACCCGAGACTTCAACCGTATACGCCTCGTTGACCGTCGCATTGGTCGACGCGTTCCCAGCGGTCGCGTACTTTGCAGGAAGGAGGTTCGCAAGCGCAACAGCAACCGTCTGTGCACGCGAGCTGCCGACCTGCTCCCAGCGCGTGCTGAACTCGACGCTCTTGACCGCGAGCTCGGGGCCTGTGGGCTTAGCCGTAGTTGGAACAACGGCCGGCGTGTACGAGAGCGCGAAGATGTGCACGCGATCGGTTGCGTCTGCCGTCTCGGGGAACGTGATGTTCTCGAGCGGCGATTGCGACGGGATACCGATGGAAAGCTGGTAAAGCGAAGAGACGTTCCAGTTGATAGCGGAGCTGTAGTTCACGTGGTGATACCGCCTGCAGTGCCATAGACGTATCAGCATTGGGTGTATGCGTGTAAGGTGGGTAGAGTCTCACGTCGGGATGGTGCCCCAGTTCATCTCGGGAAACTGAAACCATTCAAGGCCAGTGACTGTGGCATACCGTTAGCATATGTGCGGTCATACGAAGCGTTGAAGGTATGTAACGTACGTGGGAGGATAGTGGTGGAGTCATCTTTGTAGTTGATGGTGAAGTTTGCACTGAAGTCGGCTTGAAGATAAGAAGGTTAGTACACGAAGCAGAGAAATAGGTCGGACACCATCGCATGAGGCATTAAGGACGAGATAAAACCGAGGATATACGACTCACAATCAGGACCATCGCCAGAATATACGATATGGAGCTCGGTTACGTAGGTCTCATTGGGGAGCTTGACAGTCTGGCCGTTGGCGATGACATTGTCTTCCCCTTTTCCCCAGGTGGCGGGGAACGCGTACTACAGAGCCAAAAGATCATGTTGACGCGTCAACCGATGCAACATAGGGCAGGGACTCACCTTGATACCCTGATACTCCCAAGTACCGGGTGGGAGGAGGCTAGCAACGAACGTCCCACCCAACCCATCGAAGTCTCCTGAGGATCCATCCTCCGATGCAGCCTGATTGTTGAACACACTTGAGATATCTAGCTGTGCAGACGGAAACGCAGGGAGTGACTGGGCCGCCACGAGCCCGAGGAAGGCGTGCGCGGCGGCTAGGAGGGGGAATGAGAGGGGCTTCATGAGACCCTATGGCAAGAGGGGATCGATCGCGCGCATTGTATTATGGCTTATATTACGGAAGCATGCGCAGGGGGGTCGATGGCAACAGAGGCGGTCATCTGGACGAGCTTCTTCTCAACCTCTTCTGTGTCACCATTGTGCATGTGGGATCAAAATAGAACACCTGATGCGCTCGATGACAGCAATCTCGTCTCCTCGAACTCCACATGCGGGGCGGCAAAGACGGTTGGAGAGACATGGCTGGATTAGTTTTGAGGCGGGACTTGGATTATGTGCCCAAAGCTGAGCAAGGGCCAATGATGTCGAGGACGAATTTGAGTGAGTTCGATGATGCGCGCGATGTGTCCCCGCCGCGTGGGACAGGCGGGGGCCGTGCGGCAATTATGCGCGTCGGGCGTCTCCCACGCCATTTCCAGCCGCCGACCATCTTGCCTTCCATCTTGCTCACGACCCGATTATGACAGAAATGGCCAACAACTTGGCAAATAGGTCGCCGAAGTCGAGCTGCTAACGACTTGTTGACCCCTTCTATGAACTGGCTACTGCCTACATCGTTCGCGGATTCGGATGCTACGCGTCTCCGCCAATCCGTTATCCTCCGCTATCTCTCGATTCCCAACTCTCGACCAAACAAACATTGGCTAAACGCTTCTTACATCTTGCGAGTCAGCCTCAGTGAAGAGGCCTCTTGTTATTACGGTTCAAGTACGCAAAGTGGTACGTCGTTGTGGTTTCCCGATGCCTTTCCGTATGCAAGACACAATCCCCGCTTAGCTCGGTAATCGAAGCCTCTCCTTACACATGTGGGCTTCTTGTGTAGCACTCGATGACATCTTTATATTCTGGGCAGAGCCGATACTTCCGCTTGTTCCTGCACGATGCCACTACAATTGACAAAGTTACTCGCCTCGAGTTACAAATCCCATCAACACGCTGTCGACACGCCTCGAAAGGATGGGGAGGAAAAGGTAAGAGAAGCTAACACGTGAAGCCGCGACGCGCGCAGAGATGAAGTAAGCGTCAGAAAGGCTTACTCGGATTACTACGCACGCTGAATCTGAGAATATTCATCTCCATATGCAGGTTGCGCACCTGACAGTGAATGAGGCAGCCTTTGCTTCGTGTGCCTATACTATAAGAGCGCAGCCACTCGACTGCTGCGCCAATCGTCACCCGCCTTTCATCGCATCCATCCAAGCCCACAGTAGCTTCAATCTTGCCAACAAGCATGCCCGGCGACGCGTCAACAATGCTTTCCGGAGTTCAATACAACGGCATCGACCCTCCGCCTTTCGAATTGCCCTTCGTCAACAACCCCGATGTGGCCACCGAGAATACGCTCAAGCTCATGGAACAAACACCCGACGCGCGCAAGCGTCTCATTTTTACGTCACTCACCCGTCACCTCCATGCATTTATGAAGGAGACTAAGTAGGTTTCCTCGTTCGCTCTCCTTCGCGCTCTCCGATGCTTCCACCGCTCTCCAATCATTAGTAGCTGATGTCCAACGTCCAGGATTACGATGGACGAGTGGGAAGCCTCGCTCGCATTCCTGAACCGCGCGGGCAAGCTAAGCGACCGTGGCGAGCCGGAGATCATCATGGCCCTCTTCGGCGTGCACCCGCTTCTGGAGGCCATGAACAATACGTCACAGCCCAACATCACCGAGAGTGCCCCGCTCGGTCCGTTCTTCAGCGAGCATACCCAGGAAGGTGGGTTTGCCACGTTCAACCCATCGAAACAGCTTAGCTGAGATTCCTGCGTGAATAGTCTCAAACGGAAACTCCATCGCTTCGGAAGGAAAAGGTGAATACATGTACGTCGAAGGACGCGTGCTCGATACCGAAGGAAATCCCGTTGCGAATGCCGTTATCGATGCATGGGAGGCTGATGATACCGGTGGGCTTTCTCCCTTCTCTCTCCTCCCGCTGGGTCGCCGACGACTTGAGTGTAGGACACTATGACCTTCAATACGCTGGCCAAACGCCCGACTGCCGCGGTCGTCTTCGCACAGATCCCGAGGGCAAATTCAGCTTCCGCGCAATCGTCCCTCTCGCCTACCCTGCCACGGCCGACGTGAGTTCCCGTACTGCCGTGGCCAGCCGTGCTCGTACTGAACATCATTCCTTACCGTTCTAGGGACCAGCGGGAGACCTGCTCCTCGCGATGAATCGCCACAATATGCGCCCCGCGCATCTGCACATGGTCTTCGACGCGCCGGGCTACGACAAGCTGACCACCCAACTGTACTTCCGCGGAGATAAATGGCTGTCAACCGACATCGCTTTGGGGGTCAAGGAAAGCTTAGTAGTTGTATGTGTTCCCGTTTCTCTGCTAAGAACTGTGGACTGATACCATACAATTATTAAGGATCTGGAGCAGGTGGATGACATTGAGCGCGCAAGGGCCCTTGGCTTCGGGCGCCCCGAGCGAGGGTTCAAGTTGCTCAAGAAAGATATCTTTTTACGCAAAAGCTCGGATGCGGAAGGGAGGCCTGGCTATGAAACTACTTCCGTCTGAAAGAACCTATTTGTACATCGATGTAGCAAAATGAATACAAGCAAATCGGATACGCAGCCGCTCGATGGTATCTACTCATCATCCTCTTCGCTCATATCGTCATCCTCCTCGTCGCTTTCTTCATCCCATTGGCTATCCTCGTCGTCCTCTCCGCCACTCTCTTCATCCTCCCCAGTACTCTCGTCTTGCTCTTCACCACGCGTTGAACTCTCTGATAGCGGCGTTCTCTTTCTCAAACTCACATTCCGAGCCAACCGTTCCAGCTGTTCAAGCTCTGCAGGGTCTACTGGGATGTCCTCACAAGTGAGCCTATCGATGTGGTACCCAGCTTGTGAACGTCTTTCCAAAGTATCAATCAGACGCTGGATGTCACCATGGGGGAGAGCCTCCGAAGGCGCCAACGATGATAGGCGCATATCAATCAATCTGGGGGCAGGGACATGCTCGGCCTGAGGCATGAGGGCGCTCGTCAACGACAGATACATCGACCTGTTGACCTCCACGTTGAGAAACTGAAGCTGTGGCAGGGTTTCAAATATGGCGCCCCACGGCACGTCGTCTGGGTGTTCATGCACGGTTATTTTGAGTGTATGAATAGACGTGAGAGGCGGATCATGGCAGAGAAAGTGGAAATGGTTGACAGGGCCGCCAATGGTAGCGGTGATTCGTTTCCCACAGGCGAGGTCCGAATGGTGGTTGCAAGCATAAGGAAACTGAAACTGACCATTGTCTTGATATATACTGAGAATGCCCCTTGGACCCCCGAAGAAGACGGATATGGAGTACGTGGGCTCTGTGTCCTCACGAATGGAAGTGAGGAATGTGGATGGGAATATGGTAAGGCTGTTTGGCAAACCTTCCTCGAGAATGTTGATGCCCAAGTGAAAGTGAGCGTGAGAAGGGACGCGGACGTTCGTGAAAAAGTGCACGTAGGAGGCAAAGCTGGTATCCCCAACTGAAATGTGATGAATCTTTGGGAGATCGATGACATTTTTGGCGTCGATGTTCCATGAAATTGGCGGATTTCTTCGAGGGCAGGTGACCCTCTCAGGATAGCCCAGAGCTCCTCAGCAGTAGGTGATAGATCGTACAAGCTCCAAAGCCCCAGACGGGTGAGGCCTCGGAAGACAGATGAGTGCCAAGGCGGAACCACCCCCAGAAGATCCATGCTGCGCAATCTAGGTGTATTTCCCAGGAAGTCCTCAGGAAGAAGGACTGAAGTGTGCGTATCTGGTGATCCATGAAGCCAGAATTGGAGGTGCTTGAGAATGGGAGCATCAAGGACGAGATGGTAGACAGCTGTGGCAATGTCGAGTGTTTGTAAACCGAGGATATTTAAAGATGAAGAGCGCGTGTGATGAATGTGCTGGGAAAGCTCCTCGAAAATGGCCGGCTGAAGTTTGTCGTACATGTTATTCGACAGTTCAAGGGCCAACGGTGCATTCTTCGCCCTCTCCAGCATCAAAGCGCGAATACGGGCCGGATTCCTTCTATCCATGTCGATATTTGACCAGAGGTTAGGGTATGCGAGTGCTACCTCGCGCCAGTGGTGACAGACGTGCGTGATGGTGAGCAGATCTCGATGCGTGTGGTGGATCGTAGGGGTGGCATAGGTAAATATCTCCGCCAGGACCTCTGGCGGGAGACAGCAGATAGGCGACAGTGCGTTGCGTTCAGTGCGAGGTTGTCGGATAGCGTCGAAATGGCCCTCAATCTTTTCATCGAATTGCACACAGCGTAGTTGGCGTTCCGACGGACTGAACCAGCTTGCGACCATGGCCCCCGAATGTTAACTGCGACACAATCGGGTTAGCATATGGGTGCGAGTGCAAGTGTTGTACCGACCTTCCTCTGCAAATGTCTTATCAGAGTCAATCGTAATCCTTGTCAACAATGTCTCTCGTCAGAGCGGTATTGAGGGTTATTTGCGACCTGCTTGATCCCGCGCGAGATGGAGATTGCTCCAAACAACTCGCCACGAGGCAGTTAATTCAGGTAACTTGTTCCCATGCGCTGTCGGACGTCTTGATTTACAACCTTTTTTTGATGTTGAGCGTGCAAACACCCTTGGCTTCGAGTGCCGCGAGCGAGAGTCTCAAGTCGCTCGAGAAAAAAGTGGTCTTGCACAAAGTACGGATATCTGCGTAAAGGGAGGTCCGGGTATGAAAACACATCAATGTCCGAAAGAATCTGTTTGTACATCGGTGTAGCACAATGAATGGCTCTTTCTACTCTTCGTCCTCTTCACTGCTCTCGTCTTCGTCTTCGTCCTCGTTACTTTCTTCATCCCATTCGCTTTCCTCGTTGTCCTCTTCGCTACTTTCGTCACCCTCTTCGTTGCCCTCGTTATCCTCTTCAAAGCTAGCACGGCTCTTCAATGACTGCTCTCTGCTATCGGGACGCTCTTGGACAGTCACATCCTGAACCAGCTGCTTCAGCCGCTCCAACTCTGCAGGAGCTACCGGAATATCTGTACAGGTGAGACTCTCCATGCGATATCCAGCTTCTGACCGTCTATCCAAAGCATCGATCAACCACTGAATGTCGCCAGAGGAGAAGTCTTTCGAAACCATCGGCGACGCTAGATCCATGTTGATCAATGTGGATGCAGGGACCTGCTCGGCGCGAGGCATAAGGGCATCCACCAAGGACAGATACGATGACCGATTGACTTCAACATAGAGGGACTGAAGGCGCGGGAGGGACGAAAGGATGGTGCTCCATGTGTTTGATGGTACTTCATATGAGGAGAATAACATGTGTATGATGAGTGTATGAATAGGCGGGAGAGGTGGATCATAGCAGAGCGAATGGAAGTGGTTGGCGGAACCTTCAATAATAGCAGTGATCCGTCTCCCACTAGTACAGGTGGCGCCCAAACGGTGATCGCAAATTTGACGAAATCTACTACGGCCCCGATAGACACAGAACTCTCCTCTTTGGTCTATGATGTTGAGAGAGATGGTATAATCATGTTCTGCATCCGCACGAATAGAGGCGAGGACTGTGGGGGGGAACATGGTGAGGCCGTTGGGCAAACCTTCTTCGCCAATGTTGACGTCTAAGTCAAAGTGTGCGTGGGAAGGGATGCGGACGTTCGTGAAAAAGTGCACATATGAGGCGAAGCTGGTATCTCCAACCGAGATGTGATGAATCTTCGGGAGTTCGATAACATTCTTGACGTTAAGGCCAAGGTTCCATGACTCCGGCACGAAATTGAACTTTTCGAAAATGCTGCAGAATTTGATATCTTCAAGGGCAGGCGATCCTCTCAGGACAGCCCAGAGCTCCCCTGCTGTTGGGGAAAATTCGTACAAGTAAAAAAGCTCCAGACGAGTAAGGCCTTTGTAAACCGTCGAGCCCCAAGGTATAGCACACCCCCAAAGACTTAGACCGCGCATTCTAGTTGCATTTACTAGGGAGTCCTCCGGAAGAAGGACCGAAGTGTGAGTTTCTGGTGATCCATGAAGCCAGAATCGGAAGTGCTCAAGGATGGGAGCATCAAGAACGAGATGGTAAACGTTTGTAGGAATGTCGAGGGTTTGTACACCACGGATGTCTAAAGACAGAGCACACGTGCGATGAATATGCTGGGAGAGCTCCTCGAAAATGGCCGGCTGAAGTTCGTCGTACATGTTATTTGACAGCTCAAGGGCCAGTGGTGCATTTTTCGCCCTCTCCAACATCAAAGCGCGGATACGATTTGGATTCCTTCTATCCATGTTGATGTTTGACCAGAGGTGAGGGTGTGCGAGTGCTACCTCGCGCCAGTGGTGACAGACGTGCGTGATGGTGAGCAGATCTCGAGGCACGTGGCGGATCGTAGGAATGACATAGGTATAAATCTCGGCCAGGACCTCCGGCGGGAGACAGCAGATCGGCAACAGTGCGTTGCGTTCGGTGTGAAGCTGTTGGATAGCGTCGAAATGGGCCTGAATTCTTTCATCGAACTGCAGAGAGCGCAGTTGGCGTTCAGACGGGCTGAACCAACCTGCGACCATGACCCCAGAATGTCTACTGTGACGAATGAATCGGGTCAGCATTTGAGTGTGATGCAAGTATCAGCGTACTGACCTGCCTTTGCGAAAGTCTGATCAGAGTCTATCGTAACCCTTATCGAGGCTATTTTCGTCAAAGCGGTGTTGATGATTGTTTGTAGCTGTTGTACTTTTACGACAAAAAGTTCGCAAAGCGGCGTGGGAATATCTTGACCCATTGAAATGGTATGTCACGAAACAAGTTTGTTGACGTTGTTCGAGTGCGTGACTGAAACTTCGAAGCAAAACAAGGTACATGTGTTCTTTCAATTTTCTTATCGCGTTTTCCGATTGACCCTAATAAGTATAGAAGAGGTTTCATTCAGTGTGGAATTAAGCAGAGGCGCGTACAGCATCTCCTTTGAACGCTTGACAGTGTTTTATCCCACGCGAGATGGAGCCAAAATTACCACAAACGCAATACTAGCATCACAGAAGGCAGATGTAAGATATATGTTGAGACTTTAAGAACTTAGATGCAAGCTTTCCCAGAAGTCACTGCTTGTTTGTTCTCTGCAGAATATTCACCAAAAAAATGCACTGGATTGTACCACCCGACGTAAGGTATCACACCCGGATTGGCGTAACGCCGGTGGCGTAGAGTCCCGGGATCTGCTACTCCCGGGTCGCTGATCCGCTATCGAATCGTAGGCTTGTTCCATCGACAGCATTCTCGAAGCAAATAATATCACTTCGGCGGTATTGGAGCAACCAATCGCGGATTTGGTATCCTATAGCTATGGGAAGCGGCATCCATCTCTGCTATAGGCGACTTATTGGCTGAAAAACACTCCGCAACTTTGTTATATTAGTAATAAGCAATAATTAAGCGATCTTTGGGGAAATTGTGCTGTACGCACCGTAGTAAATGATAGTGATCCACTGATTTGGGCAAGCTGCAGCCACAATTCGTGGCTAATTGTGAGAGCAGAGAACATTCGAAAGACGCTCCGGATCTTGTATGATAAATGCAAATGCCCGTCTCGCTAATCCAGGATAGGGGGATCCTCGCATAGTGCATTAGGATTCCAATTGAATCCACATCCACCAGCCCAGGGACTTCATTCGAGCCCAATTCGAGCTCGAGTACAACAGGTTTACTGCGGATCCATGCGATACTGTGGTGTAAAGTAATGAGCTCGTATAGGACCTGGGACGAGTCACCGTATGAGGAACGGAGGGGTTGGGTTTTGTCGAACTGTATACCAAAAACACAGGAAGACTCCGCCCTTGGCGGTTCATTAGACGCTCATGTTACTAGGGTATAAATTGGCTGGACCTCGTCGCTTATCAGCTCACCTCCTTTGAGCGTAACCACATCCACCCCAAATCACATCTCCCTTCCCCATGAACCTCAAACTCGCTGGTGCCCTCCTCGTCGCCGCCTCTGCAGCACCTGCTGCCGTCGGTGGTCCTATTGCCTACGGCATTTGTCAGACTGGTAAGTCGATGGTCACGGGTGTGAGGAGTACGCTAAGAGTGCCCCACCATAAAGGCTGCAATGGTCTAGCTGTAGCCTGCTATGCCGGCGCCGGCTTCACATTCGGAGTGACGATTATAGGTGGCCCCCCGGCTGTCATAGCCTGCAATGTCGCCTTAGGTACATGCATGGCTGGATGTGCCACTGTGGCATTGTTCGCTCCGACGCCGTGAAGGGGGCATCTCGAGAGAAAGACCAATGATGAAGAGGTAAGTCGTCTCGCTTCGTATCTATGCTCGAGCACGACTCATTTGCATTCCTCGCAGCCTGATGGCTTCCGTGTATCACCCTCCCACTTTGCACACCCATTGGATGACCTTCTTTTTCTTCAACATTTTGTATTAATAGTTGTTCTGAGAGCTTTGTGATTGCGTGTTGATAGTAAAGTCGAAAACGTGATCGCTGTCTTGCACTATCCTAGCGTGAACCGAAAGAGTTGACAAGTTGAAGTGCTAGCTGTTACGCTGCGGGGCTACGGAATCACCCGGTCGGAGTCCAAACGCCGTGTCTCGTTTATTCCAAGCACAGCCCCTAACCTCTTGATCAGTTTGCCTCTTGCACATCATGCTGTTTCGAGGCTCTCCAGTGTTAACTGTATGTTTTCGGTCTTTCATGCATGACAAACTCAGCTAATTTCCGAGAAAACTGCGCTCATCCTTGTAGCTATTCGTGGTCGGGCTAAATATTGTCGCCGCACAGCTCTTCCAATTGCCAGTGCGCTGGCCCTTCTTGTTGCGCGTCCCACGCGCGTATGCTTAGGCGGTCCCTGGTGCTTCCACGACATTGTCTCATTCTGAGCCCATGTTTCTAGCATCCTCCTATCGTGCAGTGATCCCGGGCCGTTGCTTCCCAAAATCCCGCTATACTTAGCGCTGAACGGCCACGACAGGGCGGATAGCACGGTGACTGGGTGACCATATTCCCTTGAATACAGTGTCAGGTGGAAGTACCTGCTTCTTTGCAGCACGCGGGACCCATTCACGAGGACGCTCACGATGGTCAGCGGGGGTACGAGCGTTTTCCAAAGACAAGTTGTGACAGACCGATCAATCGAGGCGGAGAAGGCAGGGAAGGCGGGCAAAAGAGTATAAGGTGTGCATTAGTGCTGCTTTGCGCGATTGTGTGCTATCGGCCATGAAGCATCTCGCGCTCGCAGCATTATTACACACGCTCTTGGGGCTTGGGAGAGCTCAATCGCTCCCCGTGTTTCCCTCTGCTCAACTCGATCTATCGAGCGTTTTCGACAATCAGGCAGCTTCTGCTGACGGGACGACTGGTGACTTTGACGGGCTTGGTGGGACCTTTGTTTCTAGCCTTCTTCCTTCGGGGACATGGCTCTACGATAGTGTGGAGGTGAGCAGCTTCATTCTGATAGAACGTCGAAACTTTGATCATTGAATCGGGTATGCTTAGTATGCTTTGCCCTCCACGTGGGGCACAGGCAATGACAACGTTATTGCCAACGGACAAACGGTGCAGCTGGACGACGCTGGCTACGTCAACGAGCTACACATGGTCTATGCTGGCGATGGTTCGAGCAGTGCGTACGCTTTTCCCTTCATCACCAACGTAGCTGACATCCTTTCCATACGATAGCGTTTGGCACCAACTTTACGCTTAACTACAAAGGTGGCTCGTCTGATATCCTTCAATGTGAGTCTTGCGTTATCTTTGGTGTGAAGGGTTACCAATACCAGTCTAGTCACGGGTATGAACTGGTTCCAGTTTCCCTCCATGAACTGGGGTACCATCAGAACGTAAGTCTCCCTTCTTCACTCTTGATGAGGATATGAAGTGACTCTGTCACTGCAGTGCCTATCACCACACAAACTATACCTCCCTCGTCAACTGGAACGTCACTTCCCTATTCCAGAGCTCCATCTCCGTCCCTTCCAATGTCCCGCTGCAGAGCATCACGCTCCCAGTCACAACAGACAGCACATCCCGGATGCATATCTTCGCCCTCTCGATCACCCCTTCCATCGTCCCGCCGGCGGTCTCCGGCCCGGCGTTATCCGTCCAAAGCGCTCAGTTTAGCACACGGTGGGAGACGGTCGGAAGTCAGAGCGCGCAGGCCGTGGCCGTCACGCTCGTCAATCTCCTCCCAGCGAGCTACGCGAACGTGGTCAACGCGACAGTCAACGAACAGTATACGATCGAGGTCTCGGGCGATGGTGTGGAGACGGTCACGCCGGGCGTGTTCTATCGTCTTGTTCCTTCGGACCAAGTTATCACCGATGTTCTGGTGGCCAACAACGGTGGGACTGGCAATGCCACCGTCACTATCAAGAACGCCGCTGGGGATGTCGCCGGAACGTCCGAAGGGTGGCCAATCGTGCCGTTAAGATCGAGCTGGACGGCGGATGCTAGCGTTCTGAGCACACACGAGACTCCAACTTGGGTATGGACACGGAATATCTTTTGATCCTCGTCACATGCTCACAGTCTTTTTTTAGTGGAGGCAAGCAAAGTTTGGGATTTTGTACGTGCTCGTTGCATATCTCGATGCGACTAGGGCTGATAGGCGCTGTCCGTTCCAGCACTCACTGGGGTGTATACAGTGTCCCTGCTTATGTATGCCATACCCATTCTCTTCATATGCGTTATGCTTATCGTGGCATCATGTCATCGTAGGGACCTCCAAGCTCCTACGCTGAGTGGTATGAGTAAGTAAACGCAGCGTACAACACACTCCAGCCCATGATACGACCACCTTCGCAGCTGGTACCTCCACAACCCAAACAACTCGGACAGTCCAACTTGGGTACACCACAAGGAGGTTTATGGTCCCGTACGCATGATTCCCAGTCTAAACCTACATGTCGTCTAAATTGCGTTGATGTTCCTCAGGACGTCGTGTACGATGACTTTATCGCCAACTTCACAGCGACGCTGTTCAACGCTAGCGCATGGTTGGACCTCTTCACGAACGCGGGCGCAAAGTACTTTGTACAAGTAACGGTAGGTTCAAGTCACCTCATTGACTGTTTAACTTGTAACATCATCCTGCCGGGACAGAAACACCACGATGGATACGCACTATTTGACACACAGAACACGTCCCATCGCTCTAGCGTCTACCTGAACCCGTACCACGACTTTCTCAAGGAACTGATGGATACTGCGAAGTCCGATTATCCCGATTTACACCGTGGAACGTACTTCTCCATGCCCGAATGGTACGTCGCAGTCTCCATCTATCAGGTTTCAAGGCCCTCAAGTATTCATTTGTTTGGAAGGTTCAACCCCTACTACGCCAAATATGGGTTTGGCGAGTGGCCCGGAGGGCTCGCTCACAATGCGTACAACTGGTCCGAGATCGAGCCGTACACTGGTCTCCTGAACGTCAGCGACTTCCTTGAAGATATCCAGTACCCGCAGATGCTGTCTCTCGCCCTGGACTATGATACGGAGATTATGGTCTGCGAATCTTTCCCGCGTGTTTGCGGTCGCTGATACCTTGTTCAGTGGTGTGATATTGGTGGTCCGAACATGACGATCGACTTCGCTGCCCAGTTCTACAATCATGCCTGGGAGAACGGGTACCAGGTCACTATGAATGATCGTACGCTTATCTTCAGCTCTGTCTACGCTCCTGCTGACCTTGCTGTGTAGGTTGCGGCAATGTTCCCGACTTCTCAACTCCCGAATACGCCGTCTTTGGCTCCATCCAGACTCGGAGCTGGGAGACGAACGAGGGCATGGATCCGTTCAGCTACGGTATTAACAACCAGACGACGCCAGACGAATATAAGAACGGCACGACGATCATCCAAACGCTCGTCGACGTCGTCAGCAAGAATGGGAACTAGTAAGCTCACACAATCCCCACCTCACCCCGTCTTCTCCACCATACTAACGCACTCTAGCCTCCTGGACGTTGGCCCGACAGCCGAAGGCGTCATCATCCCCGCCATGGCTGACAACCTGCTCGACGCGGGCAGGTGGCTCTCCTACGCGGGCGACTGCGTGTATGACACGCAGTACTGGTACCAGGCGCAGCAGTCGCCCGATGGGACGTTCCGCTTCCTCACGACTCCGACGACGTTCTGCATCGTCGCTTTTACCAAGCCGACTGGGGCGAATCTTACCGTCGACGCGGGGCCGGGCGTCGTCCTCCCTGTGCTTGAGGGAGATACTGTGAGGCTTCTTGGGCCAGGAGGGAACGGGACGGCGTTGAAATGGAGTGTCGACGACAATGGTGTGATGAGCATCGAGCTAAACGAGGATGAGGTGGACGCAGTGGATTATGCATGGGCATTCCAAGTTGAGTATGCGTATGCAAGCTCTGCGCCTTCTGCAAACGCACACTTGGCGTCTCTCCCAATCTCGATGCTTAATAGTTATACGACTCTTCCACAAACGGTGTCCGTTGGATACTCAGAAACTCTCGGATACTCGGGAGCGCCGCAAACTGCATATCCGACGTCGTCTACATTATAGTCCAGTGGGTAGGGTAAGCTATGGATATGGTATTAGGAGAGTCGTCGGTACATCTTGCAACCCAGCGTACCTTGCTACAAAGCTCAGGGCTTGAATTCGATCGTTCGACGCCATGCGAAACGCGAGTGAGGGGAAAACGTGTGTATGATAGGTTATGTACATAGAATACAAAAATGCGCAAATGCAGATGGTGCGTACAGACTATGATATGCGTATGCGAAAGTGATTACGAGCCAATAAATCAACCATACAGTAACAACCTCTACGCTTCCGCCCGTTCAGCACTTTCAGTGTCCCCATGCAAGCGAGAAACCAACGACCCCAAACTGCCACATTCGCGCGCGCGGGCAGCCCAGCCCAGCCCACCACGCAGATTTCAGCCTTCGGATAGCCGCATGCCCAGGTTCAGCACCATGTCGACGTAGTTCCATATTCTGCCCGTATACACGAGGTACACGAAGCACAGGGCGTTCGCGACGTCGCGCTTGTCGCAGGAGCGCCAGACGCGCACGACGGGGTCAAGACGCCGCACGACCTGCATACGCCGCTGGCGCGCCCGGAGGATCTCTGGAGGCACGACTGGCTCTGTGGAGATGACACACGATCGAGGGGTTGTAAGTATGGGATTTAAGACGGCGAGCAAAGGGAAAGAGGGCTGACGTACCAAACACGCGGAGCATGCCCTCGGTGTCCAAGAGCGTCGCTATCGCTAACGACGACAGGTGGTTCTCGTATCGGCTTTGAAAGGGGACGTCTCGTCGGGGGTCGATGGCCTGTGCGCGTACCAACCATCAGCCCGGGTCCATCACGCGTCCAGCGGGGCGAAAGACGTAGCCACACACCATACACGACGCCATCCCCCATTTACGCATCACGCGCGCGAGGTTGAGCCCGCCCCCATCTGGCTCGGGTTTGAAGTCGTCGATGAGCGTCGCGCCGCTCATTCCCGCGAAGTCTTCGTCAAGCTTTGCCGTCTCGTTGTCGAAGTCGATGTACAGCTTTACGCGGATGTGTCTGAAAACGAACCAGGGTATTGGGTATTAGCGTTGCATGCAAAACGGGATGGACTGTATAGCGAGGTTGAATGGCTGATGAGCAGTGGCACATACCCCTCGGGCACTTTCGTCGCCGCCTTTGAACATCCCTCGTTCGCCTGAGCCTGCCACTGGTCCCTCAGATGCTCCTGCGGCGTCTTGGTAAGGAGCGTCGGGCGAAAGGACAGCATGATGGTTGGATGCAAAAGATTGTGGCGGTTTCAAAGGGAGTGGGTGTCGCAGCAGGAGGGAAGAGACGGAAGATTTCAACAGTATCCTGCAAAGCGCCCAGCCCGATGGTAGATATCTACCGGAATCGGACGTATTATGCAACTTATGGGTGTATGTGGACACCTGTTTATTGCGTGCAGGACCGGAGCATCGTGCGAACACCACCTTATTTCGGGCGGCTGCCGACCGCCAATCAGTCCGTCAAGCCATTATGCCATAAATTTAGGCTGCGACGTGTGCTCAAAAAAGCACGCTGCGGAGTCTCTCGAGTCCTTTCGTCTGCCTTCTTGCATGTTGGCAGAGGGATGTGGTTCAGCCTGAATGGAAATGGCTCAGACGTTGCGAGGGGTACAGATGGTAGCACTTGGATGGTCCACCACTGACATCAGAGGAAGATGAAAGACAATGTATGGGAGCGCAATACGCGATCCACCTTTTGGTCGAACAATGACGAGCCAAGAGCTCGATGATTTGGGACTGGGTCGGGATTCACGAGAAAACCGGGGCCAAGGTGTCGGCGCCCGAACCCGGCTGCGCCTGTGTATGTGTGTGTTTGTCAAATCCTGACATATCCAAAAATGGCATATCTCTTGATAAAATAAACAGATGATACGGATAAGCGCGGAGATAATCCACGAGCTAGGTATTTATGTTCATGGTGACTAAGGTATGCATTGGAGTAAAAAAGGTTAGATCGGATCCCCATCCACAGATATCAAAAATACCATGCCATCCTGTAAGCCGATGTTCGCCATCGAGTCGTCCTGATCGCACTCGAGCGTGTAGTCTTCCGACTTTGTGTCTGATCTGACTATTAGATGTAGACGTGCACTGAGATGCGAAATGTCAGTCTCAGAAATGAGAGAAGGAATCAGAAGATGAGCAGGGAACTCACGTCTGATAGTCCAACCCAAACGCCTTGCACACCCCGTACGTGACCCGCGCAACCTTCATATGTGGTCTCGCTTTGAACTTGGCACTTTGCCTCGTCGGCCTGTGCGAGATGATCACTTCGACCTTGTCGTCGTCCGATCCCTCGCTGCTCCCCCCGCCTCCTCGACCTCCTGCTTGTGCATCATAGCGACCCCGGGACGATGGCGTCGATGTAGCTGAAGTTCTCGTCATTAATCCCGAACGGATGTAGTTGGTAGGCACACGCAACAAGGATCACTTACCCAGTAGCGACTGTCGATAACTTTGCTGGTCACCTCGCATGGACGCAGCAGACGTAGGCCGTGGAGGTACTGGGTCGCCCGGCAGTCAGTCTTCCTGTCATACCCGGGCACCAGGGTAAAATTGGCACTCACACCACTGTTCAGCAGCCGCTGTTGGAGGCTCTTCGAGGTACATCGTCGGATGCACTGAGTATCTCTGGTTCTGGGGGTTCCGAGTCTCGGCGGAGAATGTGATCTGCTGCGGCCCAGGGCTCCGCACTGCCTCGAGAACATTCGAAGGTCCTCCGCCCCCGACTTGCTCAAGGTCGTCTCCTAGCATTGCCGACCGTCGGTGAGCTCGCTGGGCGGCCTGCGTAGGTGCTGCCGGAGAGCTGGGTAATGAAGCGACTTCAGATTGACTGCTGGTCTTCGCCGAGCGTGGTTCGTCGTCCGAGATATCTTATAACGTTCCGCCACGTCAGCCGCGAGCTTACCAGAAGAAGGAAAAACAAGCAACTTAAACGTACCTTCGATCACCACCACCGCTGGCTTCCCCGCCTTACTAGCCTCGACATGCAACACCCCCAGCGCGCCCCCGATGATGTCGTACGCGTTGCGATGCACCGTCACCTTCGTGCCCGGGCACACATCGACGTCTGTGGCGTAGAACGACAGGTCCTGCTCGGATAGCGAAAAGAGCTGACGCGTCCAGTATTCGAGGTTCTACTGATAAACCGAGCTCAGCACCCACGCGCCCGTCAGAAAGAAACAGAGTCAGACCTCGTATGTCATAGGCTTCGCGATCAGGACGTGCTCGTCCCCATGCTCGAGCACGATCGTCCTCCGCTCTCCGCTGTGGTCTGTTGTCGACGTGGTCATGGATGGCGGTTAGGCGTTGGCGATAGTCGTATGAAGATATGTGCTCGGTGGGATCAAAAGCGCAGCACGACCCAGGAAGATATCACGGAGACTATAAGTACTTGCATCGTGCATCACGGCGCTTCTGCACGTGGGTCGAGGGCTTCGTCACGGACCAGGGACCTAAAGCTGTTCGCAGTTCGCTTCTCCGACCGACATTGCCTCAGCGTTACCCTGCCCACCATGCTGGCGCGTCATGAATTAGAGAATGCCAAGGCCAACCATCAGACGCATATGCGCACCTTGGACACTCAATGAACGCTCAAAGGCTCGTCCCCGCCTTTTTGCATGTCATTTTGAGACTGCGCGCTTGCAAGTAGAGCTTGGGAACATGGAAAAAGGTTGGATCTGAGCAAGTCAGCTCTCGCGGCCCAGTAGTGGCGGCCCGGCGCAGTTGATGGGGAGATCACAAAAACGGAGCGCGCGCACCGCACTGCACCCAACTACTCGGGTCGGAGTTTGAAGCTGAACGTTCCGGAACGTGGTCACACAAGACTGCACTCAAGGAATTCACACTGCAGACAAGCTGCGATTTTTGTGATTTTTGTGATTTAACAAGGCAGACAGATGAAAGCCTTTTTCACCCATCTTTTGCTGTGCGCAAAGCTACTGAAAAGTAAAAATTCTGCCTCGGAGTTTGCATTTCTGTGCTGAGATTAGATAGAAACACGTCCAAATCGGGAACGTTGAGTCCAAATTTGGTAACCCGCCCATTTTACCAGCGCAAAATTGACGCAAATGTCGACTAAAAGGATACCTTTCCTGTGCAAAAGGGGTTTCCAAACCTCGGAGGAAAAGGCTTTCATCTCGCCGCCTCTTTCTCTCAGTTTCATCCCGGGTAAAATCGCCGTTTGTCTGCAGTGTCGGGGCTTCAGCGCGTCACCCTTACCCTCATATTCCCTAGCATATATCAGAAAGCCACGTATGCTATCTCTAGCTAACGAACGTACAACGTAAATTACTACACAACTTGAGCTGAACTTTTTCTTTAGACAGATTTTTCGGATCAAGGAAGGTAGTGGTCACTCCCTCTGAAGCGCCTGAAGCACTTTGAAACGCCCGTTCTGTACTACCTCCGGTCCCCCCGGGCCATGTGCCCAGCCTCCAGGCGTGCACGACCTTGTCTACCAGTACAGCTTCAGACCACAGCAAACTCTGACCAATACACCCTATCCCCTCCATCCTCACTTTCCCTCGACTACAATGAATAGTGACCATGCATTGACCAAGCAAGCTGCTTGGGAGAAGCTCGCACAAACATGCGCTCACGGGGCCATCTACGACTCGCAAGAACGTCAACCGCATTCAAAGTGTCTCCCGGGGACTCGCAAAGACTTCCTTGAATCACTGTGTGCAATCGTGGAGTCGGGGACGCGGAACATCGTATGGGTAGTTGGTGATTCTGGGTCGGGGAAGTCGACGGTAGCACACACCTTCGCAGATGAGCTCAGTCAGGAGGGCTTGCTTGCAGGCACGTTTTTCTTTGCGCGAAACAACCCTCGAAGGAACACATTCGACCTCGTCTTCCTCACCCTAGCTTATCAGCTAGGGCTACAACATCATGTTACTCGTGACATCATCGCCACTGCCATCTCCGTTGATCCCTCCCTTCTCGATCCCGCCAAGTCTCATGTGGACCAGCTCGAGAGGCTCGTCGTGCGAGCTCTGAATAGCCTGAAGCTTCAATGGGCTAACAAGAACATGTCCATCGTCATTGACGCTCTGGAAGAAGGTGCCACAACAAATGGTACATCTCATGTCGAGCCCTTCGTCACCTTACTCGCCCGTCTCACACGGAACCACAACCTCCCTATCCGTAATATCATCATTTCTAGCAGGCCGTTGCCCGAGATCGAGGCAGTGATGCGTACCGCAGATCTTGCTGACATCGTCAAGGTTGAGCCGCTTGGAGGATCGCGCGATGACGTGACCCAATACTTGCAACACGCTTTCCAGCGGATATACATCTCCCGCGGTCTCTCGTCATTTTGCTCTGCACCATGGCCTTCCGAGCAATATCTCACCATGCTGTCAGAGCGGTCCGACGGCCGTTTTATTTTTGCAGCAACTATAATTAGACAGATCGATCAAGAGAAGCCTCATCGTCGCCTTCATTTAATCTGCGATATGCTACGCGGCAATGTGACACACGTCTGGGGAGATGTTCATAATCTGTACGAATCTATCATCAACGACATAGAGGAGCCCTTTCGTAAAAAGGGGCTGTACTATCTTTCTCTCATCTGCCAACTCTACGAGCCACTCTCATTAGATAACCTGGATCGGCTTCTTGGACAACGTGTACAGCCATATTTGCTTCCCTTCTCAGCCCTCATTTCTGTGCCTCGGTCAGGGTGTTCTGACCACGTTCAACCCTTTCACTCATCTATCCAAGATTTTCTACAAAAAAATTATCGATATTTACGGTTTCAAATTGGCAGTCCCCCACCGCACCTAGATTTGGCTCGAAATTGCTTTCAAATTGTACACGAAGTGTCACAGCGGACATTCGGTGAAGGAGAACTTGATGAGTACCAGTGTTCAGATGCATTCTTCTATGCCTGTTCCCACTGCCTCTGTCACGCTGCTCACTGTCCAGCGGATGATGAGCTCCAAGATCTTCTCATGGAATATTTTCGGGACAGTTATAATCCAGCGCTCAACATTCTGTCGAAAAAAAAACCTTGCTTGATACCTTACATCAAGACCTGGTTGCAGATAATAGCTTTTTGGAATGAGGTAATTTTACCATCTCACCGTAACAATATGTTGTAGACTGATATTGGATAGGTCAAAGCATGGTCACCAAAGAATAATGCATTCTCGCATATACCAGCAATGATTTTACAAGCGAAGATCGATTTTGCGAGCGGTATAGAAATTTGGGAAGATGGGCCTTCGGGACCAATACTACGTTTCAACTATGGTGATGTGAGGAAAGAAAAGGCACGTGAGAGGAAAGTCGGGTCCTGGGATAGGAAGCGCGGTAAAGCAACAGGTTGGGCGGCAGGTTGGGCGGCAGTGGCAATGCAAGTAATAATCAATACTATACTAAAGGGCCGCATTGCAGCTACCCGTCGCATTAAATAAGTCAAATTTTTGCCAGGCATGCACCTGAGCTCCACTCCGGCCATTTGTATTTGTAGCATCCAGTATTTCTAATGTTGATACGATTCTGCACTCATTTCCTGCCCAGCCGCCGCCGAGCTTGCACGGGTCATCATGGTTTTTTCTTGCCTAATATGTGTTCTGTCTCTGTGTATATGGGCCAGACAGCTTTCAAAGCCTTACATGACTTGGATATTCGAAGGGGAAGTGTGTTCAAATCTTGGTTCAAATATGGCTTTCCCCGGAACGAAGCGCAGGGTGCATGTTTATTCATGAACTTGAACATGATCGAACGTACGAATAGATATACATGACACCCATTCGAGAAATTGAACCACCGTCGACGGGTTGGCTAACCGGAGAACGGGGTGTAGGGGTGTGCAAGAACGTAAATCCCTGTGACCCAGTAAACGCGGCCCGGGCCCCAGTTGACGGGGAGATCACAAAAACGGAGCGCACGCACCGCAGTGCACCCGGGTCGGAGTTTGAAGCTGAACGTTCCGGGACGCGGCCACACAAGACTGCACTCAACGAATTCAAAGTGCTGACCATGATTACTGATTCAATCACCTCTCAAATCAACAAAAGGGGTAGGGCTATGCCACACTTGTCGCCAAAACGCCATCAAACGTTTCGACACACCAAAGACATGGCTTCGCCGTTTTCATTTCTTGAGTAGGCGCCCACCTAGGCGCCACTAACTCCTTGGCCTAAGCGCTTAGGTGCTCGGGCCCTGTACCCGACGAGCCATCCACGAGGCGCACATGTTGTCGGGGAAGGATCTTATCGATTGTCAACCTCTCCGTGACCATATACCACCACCAAGTTTCAGACGAGTACGTCCTCGTCCCCGAGGCCAAATTTAGCTCACATAAATATCCAGATATGAGCGCTTGGGAGCAACTTGCGCAGGCATGCGCTCAAGGGGCCATCTACGACTCCGCCGAGCGTGAGCCCCACTCCAGGTGTCTTCCAGGCACTAGAACAGACTTCCTCCAATCCCTTCGAACAACAGTTCAATCAGAGTCTCCGAATGTTATATGGATCATAGGGGACTCCGGGTCAGGGAAGTCGACGGTATCACACACGTTTGCAGATGAGCTCCGCGAGAAGGGCCTCCTTGCCGGCACGTTCTTCTTCTCCAGAAACACTCCTCAGCGCAGCACATTCGACCTCGTATTCCTTACGATTGCTTATCAGTTGGGGCTTAAACATGATAGAGCCCGAGCCATCATCACGAAAGCCATCTCCGATGACCCCTCCCTTATTTATCCCACCAAATCCCATCGCGATCAGCTCGAGAAGCTCGTCATTCAAGCCTTGGAGTGGTTCAACCTCCCAGATAGATGGGCAGGCAAGAGCATGACCATCGTCTTGGACGCCCTTGACGAAGGTACATCGAAGGGTGTGGCTCTCATCGAGCCCTTCATCGCTCATCTCGTTCGCATCATCCGAGATTCCAGGCTCCCTATTCGCAAAATCATCATCTCTAGTAGGCCATAGCCCGAGATTGATGCGGGGATGCGTAACCCTGGCTTTGACAACATCCTTCAAATCAAGCATCTCGGCGAATCATCGGATGACGTCACCGAATACTTGCGACAATCCTTCCAACAAATGCGCGTTTCCTGCAGTGCATCATTATTCCGTTCAGGACCGTGGCCATCTGAAGCGGACCTTCAGATGCTATCAGGACGGTCTGCCGGCCGATTCATTTTCGCTGCCACCATAATTCGACAGGTCGACCAATCCGAGCCTCACCGCCGCCTCTCTCTGGTGTGCGGTATGTTGCGCGGCAAGGTGCAACGGATATGGGGGGACGTCCATGATCTGTACGAGTCCATCATCAATGATATCGACGAACACACTCATAAAAAGGGCCTATACTATCTCTACGTCATCGTCCATCTCAGGTACCCGTTGTTGCTGTCCCAGCTGGATCAGCTTTTCAGGGATCATTTACAGCCATACCTTCTTCCTTTCTCAGCTCTCGTGTCCGTTTCAGCCAACTTGCATGATCCTGTCCGACCCTTTCACACTTCTATTCGGGACTTTCTGCAGACGCCCACGACTATCGAGCACTTTCAAGCTCACGTTTCCGACCCACATCTGAACATTGCTCGGTGTTGCCAGAGATTGCAAGATGAAAGGGACGTCGGAGAATGGACACACTTTCTTAGCGACCAATCCGCCATCCGCGTGTATGAATATGCATTCGATTACTCCCCCCACCATATCTGCCACTGTCAGGAGAGTGACGATCTTCGAGGCCTTATCTCCGACTTTTTGGAAGATGGGTGTGACACTTTCTTTAGGATAGCGAGGGAGAGCAGGTCGGACGTCGCTCTCGTCCGGTTTCATAAATTTTGGCTAATACCCATGGCTGGAAAATTTCAGGCGAGTCTGAATTTACCTGCTACTACCTTTAATACTGTCCTCATTGATGAGTAGGACCCGCAACGGTGGAGCATCGAAACACAGTCGTGCGTGACAAGCTTATTGCAGAATGCAATCAAACGCGTGGAGCAAGTCAAATCCGAGATCAGGAACGAGAACGCTCGCGAGGCACTTCAGCACGCTAGCTTGCGGTGACGCTTGAGGGTCAGATCTAAAATCTCAAATCGGTAGTCGAACTTTGTCGGTGTTCTCCTAGTTAACTGCTAGAATATGTAAAACGGCTAATAGTTGAAACTCCAGCTCCATATAGCTGTCTTACTCGGGAAAATGAAGTCGCTCACGCTCTTCGCGAGGTGCTTGTGAGCAGTATCAACATCAGCTAGCACTTGAAGGACGAATTGCGAGCCCTTCGCCACCTGCCTTGAAAATCTCATTGAGAATACCCGGGTTGACCTTCTCCGTGCTCTCCGCTCGAGTAGCGGTCGATCAACCGTGCTCAGGTATCCTCTGGCTGTCGGGGGAGTCCGATTCCGGCAAGTCGGCAGTCGCGCGTACATTCGCAGAGTACTTGCGTAGGTAATAGGATTTCTTGACACAGTATCTCGCTTGTTTTTGAGAAAGAAATCAAGAATGCAGGTTGCTATTCCAAGAAAGCCTTCATATGCTTATGTTGGGGATGTTGACATTGACCGTACTCGCGGCATAAAGCTGGCGTAAAAGGATCTGAGAAGCGGCCCGGAACTTTCCATAACATCACGTGTGCTCTGCAAGTGCTCTGCATGTTCTGCGTTCCCAACTGGAGACAACGTCAAGTTGATGTCAACGCTAATACGCACGACAAATAAGTAACGAACATGGTTTGGATAGTGACATGTATGAGCACATGTGGTACAGGATCGGTGCTATGATTAGACAGAAAAGGTCAGGAAAGCGCTTGACTTGCGCAGCAAGTCGGGAACCGATGGTAATCAGCATGGTATCGAAAAATACAGATATATATAAAAGGCGTGTGTTGTGTTGGAACAGAAGGTGAGTCGGTGGTATAGTAGTTGGTGCGAAATAAATAAATCAAAACATATCGAAAATAAAATGGCGTGAACTGATCATTCCGTGTCGTCGTGTATCAGGAGTCCAGAATAATCCACAGGAGGGGGTTTGGTATCAGTGGCGAAGGCGTTCAAATCGTCCTCTGCAGATGTCCTTAGGTATAACATCGATGCAAAAGGTCGTCGACTCACTTTAACGATAATCCACTCCGTAATGACGTTCTTTAGCCGCTCCTGGAGCCCCTCACGACACAGGCTGCATCGCACCTTCTCGCCCAGCGGTCCCAGAGCCGCCTGCAACGCAGCCGTCGATAGATCTAAGTACAAGTAAATTTGAGCTGAATATACGCTGCGGAGGACGTTCTGATGCTTACCTGGCCTCGCATCCCAAGCGAGGTATGCAGACGCAAGCGCCCACGCCCGCGACACTCGGTTTTGATCTTCAAAGCTACACGTTGGTGAGGGCGCGTGCGGATGCGGGGGTTGCAGGAGGATGCGCTTCAATGCGTCGGTGCGTCCGAGGTGCAGGAAGAACAGGCGCCTAAGGTATCGCGAGCCAATCCGGTCTGCCATGTCGTCGGTGAGAGATGGAAGAGAGAAGGAGAGAAGGTGGGATGAGGTAGGAACAGCCAGATCATGGAGGTCGTACTGTGCCGCCAGAGCGTACAGTTGGAGCGGACGCAGGGGTGCATGGGAAAGAAGAAGGGTGTATAATGGGGTCGAAGGAACAATGTACCTGGTGGTAGACAAGCCGTACTTGGGGAAGGCCATCACCGCGGCTGATAGCGAATCAAACGAGGGGTTATGATGAGAGCATGACATATTGTAAATGGTGTGAAGGATGACGTCGAGGATGGCGGAATGTTCTTGGGCTACTACAATGGGACCGGCATCGCTACCCGGGTGTTTTGCGGGTAGAGCGAAAAGAGCGCCAAACGCATTGGAGGATGCGCTGAGCAACATGATTGACTCAACGTAGAAGAAGATGGAATCGGATGAAATGATAATGAGGTCCGGGTGAGTCAAATGCGTCTGGGAGCCGGGAAAGAAGGTTGTTGAGACGGAAACCATCCCGCTGTCCTCCACCGTAGGCTCATTTCCTCGCGGCGCAGTGTTGAGAGGAGGGTCTTGTGCTTGCGACTTGTTCGGGAGGGGTAATGGGGAAGGGAGGAGAGTGCTCGGCGGAGGCGTTGGAAGCTGTTGTGCTGTTACATTTGCGTTCTGCATGCTGACGATAGGCAGTTCAGGAAGGTCGGTCTGCTCGTGACTCGTGGGCTCTGTGATGAACTCGAAAACAGAGCCCCAATCGGTGGCTTCTGAGTGGTTGGACATGGTGGAACAGGATGAAAATGATCGCGTGTGCGACTAAGAACTCGTGAGACCGAAGCGGGACAACGCGGAGCGAGAGGTAACGAGTCTGTATGACTGGGAGGATGCTGCAACGACGGAGTAGGTCTAGCATATAATTTTAAGGGCGCAGATTAAAACAGAACCTCGTCGCCATCGAGAAGCGGATATGATGGTTATTCCCTTTACAGTTAGGCAGCTGAGGCTGACAAGGCCCAGAATCTCTTAGAGTTTTCTGTGAGCTTCGTTGCTAGTCGACGCTGCTGCATATACCTACGAGGAGGATCGAGACGGAGCCTCTCGTGAAGGAGAGGCTGCGCAGTTATTAATCAAAAACTCAGTAATGCGCTCGCTTGATCCCGCTGGCGAGTCTTCGTCACAAGTCCTAGTCATAGACGAAGAACCTTGGAGTAAGCAGCTGTGCAGGAGAAAACTGCTGCACAGTGCTTTATCGGCTATACCCGACGTGGATTACACTGGTCAGCTTTGCGCAGAAGCTCGAGCAAACTGACCCGGGCGGCGAACATCCATCGGAGGAGCGCAATACGAAAAATAGGAATTCGACTATCATCCTCGCGCGTCTGGGCTACTATCAAAAGAGAGACGGGGTGAGCATATATCTGAGTCTACGTACGACATGCCGACGCGGGCTGTAAAATCAAACATAAAAGATAATAATAAAGAACGTAACTTAATGCGTGACGAGGTTTGATTCCTGGAATAGGTGGGGGGTGACGCCGAATTAGACGCGAGGAATGCTGCAAGACGGGGGGGTTGAGCGCAGCACTGAGCAACTGTCACGCCAGACCCTTTTCTTGCCCGCAAATCATGCATTATTCCCTGCAATGATCGCGGGTTCTTACCTGCATTCTGTAAGACATTGAAGAGCGGGACTGTGGGGTCCTTATCAGCGAGGCAAATGTTGCAGCAAAAGCTGAAGCCAAGTGGGCAGTGGCCGACCCCACCTGCGGCATCAGCGGCATATGCGCATCTGCCAGGTTACGCTAGAGTCATGAAGACCCCCCCGGCAAATCCCTGGGTACTAGAACATGTTCGGAAACGAGCGTGATAGTCCCATTTGAGATATGACCTACCGAGCTTCGTCTCTATTAACGCGTACTCTTGCGTAGAGGTCGCTGACGGTGAAAGGTGGTCTTGGGTGCAAGCAGGATAGGATGCTCGTCCACTTCAGAAATGAATTCAGCTCCGCAACCCCTCCGGCGTAATGGGTGCGCCGCGCGCTCCACTAGAAGCATCATCTTAGTAAGCAGTCACACGCCATCCGGCTATGTAGCGGGCCGCCAGAGGCCATACATCTACGCGGGGAGAATGGGTAGACCTTGTCGGTCAACGAATTATACTACTACGGAACGCGTTCTCTTAAAACACCTGTGTGTAAAACAAAGTCCATTACAACCTGGCCAACATCTTCTAACCCTAATTCCACTTCTGCTGCGCGTAAAGGCCCAAAATTTGATTCGAAACGACATCGCTGTAAGGCTTGACGTCGCTATCCGCGTACTTCTTTTCCGACTGAAGACCGTTGAGGATCCCAAGCAGCTGCTCCTCGATGAAGTCGACAAAGACGAGGTCGATGGGCGTGTCGTCGGTGACATTTGGCGCATTGCTGCCGATAAAGTCGGGAATGTCGTAGGACGGGATTGAGATGTGCATCGTGTCGTCGCCAGCGCCAGGACATGACTACACAAGACGAAAAGTAAGGATGAGCGTTCCTCATAACAATTCAGAAAAGAGCGTGTCAAAAACTCACATCCTTGGTGACATATCCGAGCGTCAAGTTTCCCGCCTCATTCCCGCGCTTTTCCATACCCGCCCGCTCGTTCATCTCCCGCACCCATGCGTTGAATATAGCGCGAATCTCCTCATCATCATTCCTCCACAAATCACGCTCGAAAACATCGCGCTTCCGCCTACGTTCGGCCGCACCCGCTTTGTTGAGCGCTGGGAGAACCTTGTTCGCGACACTGAACTTGAGGTCGGGGATGTACAAGAACGCATCCTCGAACGGCGACGTAACGAGCTGGTCGTTCTTCGAGAACGGGCCCTTGAACAGGTCAAAACGCTGCGAGCCCGAGTTCGTGATCATGATGTTCGGGATGGACGAGCGACTGTTGTTGATGGCTAGAGCAACGGGAGCAGCTTCGGCAATGAAGAGAGATAGAAGTGAGTTATTCGACGGGTAAGACGCCCTTGCTAGGCGTTAGCATCGAGAAGGATGAACACTAAAGCACGCTCACCCAGTGAGGAAGTAATCCTGAGGCGCAGTGCCATATAGATAGTCGAGATCGTATTTCTTCTCCAACTCATGCAGACCCGATGTGATGAAACGTCCACCCAAGGTGTCAAATGTGAAGTTTCCCCTACCAGTATGGTACTGTTGACAAGTTAGCATACAGGTCTATGTCAAGAAAGCACATATCCTAACCTCATAGGTGACCCGATTTTGGTCCAAGTAGCGCCGATCGAAGGCAATGTCGTTCGAGTTGTCCTTCGCATTGGTAAGGTTTGCGCCTGGAAGATACATTGAGTCATACGCGCACGTTCATCAAGTTTCGGCTGGCACTCACTCATCCAGCCTAATGAGTATCGATGAGTATATGCGCCCATAGACTACGAGCAAACGTACCAACAGTCTCCATGTAGCGGCCACTTTCCAACGCCATAGACCTACCATCGTACTGCTGACAGTCCCGGATATGAGAGTGACCTAAGGATATGTTCATACCTTATCCCGAAACCATGCGCAACTTGAACTTACCTCCAAAGATCAGAATAGGAGTATGCGGGTGTACAGCACGGATAACGTTGAACACGTCTGGCCCTGGTAGTTCGCCAATGGGTAAACGAAGAACACCACAACTGGAGCTCTGAATCGCTTACAATAGTCATCGGAGACAGGCATGTGCCTATACCATCTTTAGCACGTAAAACCAAGTGGATAAGCGAGAGCTTACCCAACCAGAAGGAAAAGGTCAGGTTCATCAGCGATGGCTTCAGCAAACTGTGGACTAGTATGAGCGCCAGCGCGTATACAGCGGAAGATAGCCATACCCATTGCTCTTTCACCATGTCCGAGGCAAATTGAACGGTGGTATTCAGGGCGTTACCGGTGAAGTCAAAGATGACACCGAGCGACGTGACTTTACGGCCTCTGGGGCAAAGTTGAGCGATCATTGGCCACAGACCCGGAAGCGTGGACGGCTAGGCTTACTTCATGGTGCTAAACTTCGCAAATCGATCTGAGAGCAAGCCGCGTGAGACGTATGCGGAAACATAGATAAGTTATGTTAAAGTACCTCCCATGGGTACGCTGACATTCTTCCCATCCAAATCGAGAACAGTGATATTCACGTTCGAGGCTAGGTAACGCCCGTTGAAGTGAGGAACCAGATTCTTGTACCTGGGTAGCGTAAGTAAGGGGAAATTTCTTAGATAACTAGATTTTCGTACGTGTCATACGCATCCGCATACTCATACAGCTCGTGGCTTGAAGAGAGTGCATAAGCCAACGTTAGCCAACAGCTGAGACGTGGCTTACTTTCCGACTGTCATGAGGTCAAACGGTAACTGCGCCAAGAACTTGTTCGTCTGTACAGGAAGATGTTTGGTGGATGAACCCAGATGTTGATACAGATGAGCTCACCTCATGCCCATCGACGCCACCAGCAGGGAACCCATCAGACAGACCAGTGCCTTTCGGAGGTACGTTAGAAGGTTTCGAGTATGAGGCTCCAAGCAGACGTACCATCGTGCAGATCACCGGTATCGACCACAAGGAGGTCCACATCTTTCTCCTACATAGGCGTTGGGGCTCAGTCCGATATACAGCTTGATAAGACGTACAATAGCGATCTGCTTCATGTGTGTAACGAAGCTGGCGAAATCGCCAAGGTCACCGCTGTACGACAAAGATTTGAGCGGGGAGCCTATCTGGTGAACGCTTGAAGGTACGCACCTGTAGTCTGGCTCAGGCCAAGTCGCCTTCTGGTGCCCCAAAAGCCATCCGTGCGTGTCGGTTGTATGGATGACGTTGAAGTCGCCCCATACTAGAGGCCGATACGGAGGAGTTAAGGGAAACTGGGGGTACTCGCGCTTAACGCTGTGGACGTGACCGTGCGCGTGGTCTTGGCCTCTCTTGTGATGAGCGTCGCCGCAGGCAAGTGCCGAAACCGCGAAGGCGAGAACGCCAGTGCGGAAGGCGAGCATGGGGTATTGGTGGTGGTGGCTTGAGGGAAAGGCAAGTCAAGTAGCGCGTCTTTACATATTCCTAGAATTAAGGTACAAGCATCAGCACATGTATCGTTGAAAATTCTAAGGAATCAAAGAAGACTTTGATCGGACCTTGTTTCTCCTTTTGCTGCTCGGACGCAACTCGGACGCGCCGACGACGGACGCGTTATCTTGCACTATCTCGGCCTATCGCGACACTTCCGCGTGGTACATTGGCTTTCACCTCAACTTCGGACGTGGAAGTGGATAGCGCCAGTTAATCAAGAGGCAAGGTCAACGAAGGAGCGTATGAGATTGGGGGCGCTGGTCATCGCCCAGATGGAACAACAGAGACGCGTATGTTTGCAGCGCTTCATCTTTCTTCCCACGGTTCACGCTGTGCGAGAGCAATATCTTCCTTTTTACTATAAACGGCTGCCTAAGGGAGACTAGGTTGTGAGAAACCTCAATTGAACGCGTCCCCTTCTTCCGACACGATCTCGGCAAACTCGAACGGTTCCGGGGAGGAAAACCCTTCTGACTATGTTCCTCGTTACAGAACCTTACTGCTTTGGGCTACTTTTATACTATGTCGCAAAACCTTCAAGAGTCCTGTCCATCGATAAACAATGTCTATTTACCAAGTAATTGGGCATGCCTATACTCCCTCATGAAATTCTCAGCATATCATATCGTGAATGTCTTCTCGGGCTGCTTTAACATCTCAATCATGCCGGCTTTTGCGCTACGCCGGATGACTTGTCCAACGTCGATGTCGAATTTCGTTGGCCATCTCTTCGTCGCGTTGTGCGATAGGCTTGTCAACCCCAATGGCCTCATTTTCGCGTTGATGCTCTGGAGTCATACTATTAGCCTCAACAGCCACAATTGCGCCCGTCCGACCATCGATGCCAAACTGCAGTCCAGTGAGTTTCTCCTCCATCCTCTTTTCGTCATCGTATGGGAGGAGTAATTCGCCGAATCCTGAGCGACAAACCAGTGCAGCGGCTGCGCCGATCGACCCCGGCGATGCTGTAAGGTGGAGTTTACTTCGAGCGCGTGCGTGCATCCAGTGCAGCACCAAACCAATCGAGCCAATAACTAAGAGGAAAACAGCGAGTGCATGAGAAGCGAAAGAGCTAAGCGGAGTAACAAAGGTTGACCAATTAGCCATCAGAGGATAGTTTAATTCCGGAGAATCACGCTGGCTTACTCCAGAAAGAGTCGAGACACGAATGAAGTAAGTTCCCCGGGAACAGAGGACGGTTCTCTGAGAAAGTACGTCGATTTCGATGCCAATGCAAGGTGCTGAGTCTGCAGCGGTATCAGAAGTTTGTTTATATGCAGTTTGTTGTGGAGGACATACATATATATTGCTTGTCACATTGACAAAGCCACCACTTGCACCCTGGAAGAGCGCCACAACACCACCGCTTAGCTGCATCCCATACCGAAATACAGTCTCTGGGATCTCAGATCCGATGGACGTCGCACGGGCATTCACAACGGCGTCATCGCTCGGATTAAATACCACCCTGTAAACAGAAATATCAGTGTTACCCATTTTACGGATGAGGGGTAAAGTTATCTCGATAGAACAAACATACCCGTTCCAGGGTCTTCCATACAGCGGCGCCCCAGTCACATTATCTGAGCCAGAATACGGACTCAGTACTTGAACTGATTGAAGAGAGCCATTGTTCAAATTTTGTACGGCTTGAATATTGTAGAACTCCATCGTAGGACGACAAAACACGGCAGCCGTGAGCGCGTCGTTGGACTGATATAGATAATACCACCAGAACATGACAGGTTGAAAGTTCATGGGCATGTCATCTCCCGGTGGGAGACAAGCTGAGGCATTGACGGTGCCGTACTGGCTTGAAGCTTCCGAGCTGTTGAAGGTGACTTCAGTCGGGCGAGAGCATCCGTCCAATGATGCAGTCAAGGTAGACAACGCATCCGACGATGGAGAACTGAGGGTGGTATTTGTCGCAGCCATGCAGTTAACAGATGTCTCGACGCCGGTTGTGTTCACAGTCAGCGTCGCGTTGAGCACTTCCCAGGCAGACCACTACATATACGGCATCTAATTATAAAATTGAGATGGTTTTGACAGAAACCCACCGAAAACTCTGCTGCCGTCCAACTTCCGTAAACAAATGGGGGATCCGCGAGGTCGTTGTACAGGGCGGCATTTGTGTACTGTAAGGACACGTGAGACACAGTTGACGTCACATTGCTCGATTACTTACCCCAGCCGACGCAATATAAGCCCACAGCTGTGGTAGGTCCCACAACAGTCCTACCTTGGAGACGCTCGTCGCGTTAATTGCTAAAACCGTGACAAATGTTAGCGAACATTAGAAAGCTTCTGTTTATACTCACAGACACTATGAGGAACCTGTCTGATTACAAACACGGAACCTGTGAGCGGCTGTAGAAAGACAATGATAAAGCTCAGGGCGGTAGATATGCAGATAAGCCAGTGTCTTTTTTTGATCGAGGCCCAGAAAACCATCATTCGACTGCAGCAAGGAAGCATTAGTGGGAGCATGATACTTGCCAAGAAAGGTTTAACCTGAGTGTAACCTAAAGAAATCGCGTTTGTTATACTGAAGTTAAGAGCAAAGAAACGAGCTTACATAGTCCAACAGTACGCTGTTGGAGGCTGACGCACTTCCTTCGGATAACATAACATAGGGCTACTTTGGAGTCAGTGCGTCCTAGCACATCCTGTAAGGTGAAAATCATACCTGATACCACCTTACCATCGAATCTGCCGCATTCCAGTAAAACGAGAGCAGGGCTACCAACAACATTGCAAAAAATGACTAGAGAAGAAGACCAAACATTAGAGTAGATATGGTAGTCGTTTGGTCATGCTTATCTCACTGCAAGCACCTGTGTATCCGCAAACTTAATCGGATCGGCTTTCAGCACGTTGAACCCTATTACCAAGAAAAAGCTTGTTCAAAAACACTTATATATGAATCGATTGTTTTGCTTACCGTTGTTTCTGTTCGAAAGATATAGCAGGATCTCTATTGTGATGGCCATGGCAAACATCACGATAGTTACACCCCCGACTACCCACAAGTTAATCGTCCAAGGCTCCTTCAGAGGGTAGATGAGGAATGGGCTTAAAATTGATGACTCGAAGACTGCGCACGCACATAACGCTTTGGTCGAGCCGAAATTTCTCCAGGAGTAGGTATGTCATGGATCGAATGGTGGAATCGAGGAGAGTAGGGAGACGAGTATGGCGACGAAAACGATGACGAGAATGGCGAAGCTGGATCTACGAACTTCAGGTGTCCAGGCATGTTATACCTTTGAGGATACAGGACAAGTTTGGCAACTTCACGCGCTGAAGCTGCGATGTCATATATACCCTACAGCAACCAAAAACAAAAGCAATCCCGATCAAGGAATAGCTCTTCTATACTTATGGCTCGGGAATGCAAGGGGGATTTATGACCGTGTCCATGTCAGCGTTTGACAGTGCTTGATGATCATATGGGTGATCTACAGCATCGTCAAGAATGTAGCCAGGAATCTAGGGCAATGTATCACATTCCAGTAGCCGTATGCGATATTATTGGCCCAGTTCCGTATATCCTGGAGCTGAGCGTGTACTAGATCAAACACCTTGGACGTCAGTTCATCAAGTTTAAGGCAGGGTTGGACTTCAGATGCCACAACTGGGTGTGATGTACAGTAACTCACAGCTTATCCACGGAGGCCGGTGATCAGAACACGAGCTCGGAAAATGATACAGGGTTGGTCCATAAAGCGATCCTTGAATCGCACACCTGCCTGTGTATGTTTCAGGTGAGCAAACGCTGGTAGAAACACCTGCGGAGATGTCACGGTTTCCCGTGGGAACAAGTACTTTTGCGCTTAGCTATGTTCAGTCGGTGTTCAACAAGTACTCGTACCCTCGATATAAGGGCTGGACCGAGGGTCTGCACTCACATTCACCACTCGAAAGTCAGATCTCCCGAACCCTGTTCCTTCAAATTTTCGTCCAAACACTCTACATGTGATGACATGACATGATCACCAGCGATCCCTTGACGATGTATCATGTTACACTCGGTTTCGGTGGCTTTCAGGCTCAGGCACCGGACCGAAGAAACTCAGCCAGGAGTAGCGGTCTACCAAGGAGTGTTAATCCAAGCCTTGCTGAGGTGCTCAGTCTGTTGATACGCCCGTGTGATATGCTCACGCCTGCCAGATACTGTAGACAAGAATGTCCCGGAGATGAACAAGACAAGGATATGCGCTAAAACTTATCAAATGCTGCGGGCGGCGGGCAGTAGCCGCCGTAAAGAGAGAACCACTGAGAGACTTGACATCCGTCGGATGTTCAAGCTAAGGTGTGAGACAGACAAGGGACGAGACGGTGGGACCCGGCGGGTATCGCAAACGCAGTGGAATCACGAGCGGTGTGGGATGTGACACAGCGGGATATACTTCTTCGGTGAGCTCGTCGAATCCTCTAGTTAAGTGATCTTGGCCGAGAGATCAACTGTCTATATATGAGCATTATTGGAACAGCAAATGTTGTCAGTACTAAGGAGCCACTGACAGTCCAAGAAATCGAATGAAACACTTGCGCAAGAGGATAGGTTAAAGGGAGAAAGAGAACCCTAACCCTTCGCTAGATTATTGCCAAATGCAAGCAAATAAAACTTAGGCAAAGCGCATGCAAAGTTTACGCTCGCCTCCTCTGCGCGCGGCAGACAGCGGCTCACGCAACGCAACGCATGTTATCCTCGCCGACGAGTTCACCCCTCGGACGTCAATGTTGCTGAAAACTCTACGACTACCACGAGGCGCCACGCTCGTTAGGCCAACGCTGAACAGGTTGGAAAGGGTCGAGTGTAGATGCAGCAGTGCGGAGGATTTTTATCGCTTGGTATTTTGTGAGCCAGATCCAAACTTTCAGGCCCTTCGAATTCTGTCGTTGTATGTATCGTGGTACTATTCAAATGTCATGCGGCCGTCAACGTGGAGCCAAATGCAATTCGTGGTCACCATCAGTCACGGTAGTGCTTGCGTAACTTCGCCTTGTTGGGCCGCGCGATTGCCTCAACGTCGTTGGGCTCACCCAGTCCTTCACTCCTCTGACATTGTCCATCCCAACTCCACGCAATGTCGTCAAAGAAGTCTCCACTAGTCGATCTAACCCATCCGTTGGATGAAACCATGTCATGTTATCCCGGTGATCCTCCATTCAAGATTTGTTGCGTTCGGAACGTGCCATCCGATGGCTACACCGTCCACTCCCTCGAGCTGGGCTCCCACACTGGCACCCACGTCGATGCACCCTTCCACTTCTTCGAGAACGGTGCCAGGCTGGACAAGATCCCCATCGATGCCTTCGTCGGGCGCGCTGCCGTCATCGATCTTCGGTCCTTCGCGGCACCCTCAGCCAGGATCAGCTGGTCGGATGTCCAGGAAGCGCTCGCCTCCCAGCCTTCCCTCCTCGACAGAATAGGTTCCAGAGACGATGGGAAGTTGGATATCGTCTTATTGATGACGGGCTGGGACGCCCACTGGGGATCACCGACTTACTATCAACACCCCTATCTCGCCAAGGACGTTGCAGAAGAGTTCTGTTCGCGCGGCGTCCGGCTTCTTGGAGTGGACACGCTCAGTCCTGACGAAACGACCGTCGATGACGGCGCGGAGGAGAAGCCTGATGCCTTCGTCGTTCATCGGGTGATCCTGGGACAGGGAAAACTCATCTGCGAGAATCTCACGAATCTGAAAGGGTTAGCTGGTTCCCAACAAGAAGAAGGCGATGGCGACATCTGGGTGAGCTTGATGCCCATCAGCATTCATGAGTCGGACGGGGCGCCTGCTCGTGCATACGGTTGGCGAGAATGGACATCTCAATGACGGAGACTGCGGTCACGTTTCGCCTGAGTAAGTCTTCTTGTTATTCATTAGCTGCGTTTGATCACCCATATCGAATAAAATCGTTAAGATCGGAGGTTGCAATGATTATGTTCATTGATATTCCATTCTCTGCACGGGAAATTATTGAGAGGATCGAAAGCTTATGAATGCGGAAGCATGCAGTCCTTGTCGAGATACTTCAAACACTTAAGGCCGACGAAAACGGGGTTGTTTCACCACGCTAATTCCCACATGACCGATATGCTATTTGGCTGACTCAACGATACCTTCGCTGACGCATCCTTCGTGCTTTACCCCCTAGATGTCATCATACGACTCCAGGATTGGCTGTTTTTCAGACATTATCGTCAGACTGGTGTACCGAAACCGGGTATTACCTCTTTGGTGTGCGCGCTTTCTGTACATATATCTCTAGCTGCCAGTGAAATAATAACCCTAGCTCTCTCTCTCTCGTCGATCGACGCAACTTCAGCTTCAGCGCTCAGCACTCAGCTTCCATCCTCCACAACACAGATATCTCACAGAATGGCCTCAAAGAACGCCGACCACCGGATTGTTCCAACGGACAAAGATGGCTCGTTTAAGCGGCCGGATTCGGCGTTCCGGAACTGGATCGAGAAAGGGGGAAAGTTCGAACCTAAGAAAGGTGTGTATGGAACCTTTCGTGTGGGTTTCAGACGTTGACAGTCTGCAGGACGCTATCATCTATACGTCGCCTACTCTTGCCGTACGCGTTCTTTTCGTCTCGCAGCGAGCCTTGACTGATCCGCATTCCAGCATGGGCGACGCGAACTCTGATCGTGCGCAAGTTGAAAGGCCTTGAGGACTTTATTTGTAGGACTTCGCTCGCTTGATTTGATCATTATTGTTGACGCATGGTGTCCATAATCTGTAGCTGTCGACGTCGTGTCACCAGGTATTACCCCAGAAGGCTGGGTGTTTGCCAACGTGCACGACTTTCCGGGCGCAACACGCGACAGCATACATGGTGACGAAGTGACGCATCTCAGGCAACTATACTTCAAAGCCGATCCCAACTATGCGGGCAGGTGGGTACGACTTCCCTTGTGTACGTGCTTTGCTTGACAGTAGGATATCGCCGCAGGTATACCGTGCCAACTCTTTGGGACAAGGAACTTGAGACAATTGTCAGCAACGAGAGCGCGGATATTATACGGATGCTCAACACCGCGTTTAACGACCAATTGCCGGCAGACAAGGCTGCTATCGATATCTATCCTGAGGTGTACCGCAACGAGATTGACGAGATCAACTCTTGGGTTTACGATACTGTCAACAGTGTGTTTGTTTCTAATACTGTTCTGCTATCATCATTGACACTCTTGTCAGACGGGGTATACAGATCTGGGTTCGCAACAACGCAAAAGGCATACGAGGACGCAGTTGTACCCCTCTTCAAGTCGCTTGACAGGCTCGAGAAGATCCTTGAAGGGAAGGACTATCTCGTCGGTGATCGTTTGACCGAAGCAGACATCCGGCTTTGGGTCACCATTGTCAGTCGGCCCATTTTTCTGATCAGAACGAGAAACTGACACGCATGCCATCCTCAGATCCGCTTCGACCCCGTCTACTTCTCCCATTTCAAGTGCAACATACGCGACATTCGGCATGACTACCCAAACCTGAACCGCTGGTTGAAGAACTTGTACTGGAACAATTCCGCGTTCAAAGAAAGCACATTCCCTGAGCATATCAAGGCGGGTTACTATTCTGGAGTTAAGGTACGATTTACAGCCTTCTTCCAATCTTCTTGTCTGACTTTACCCCGACTATAGATCAATCCAACTGGGATCGTCCCTGTTGGTCCGAACCCCTTCATAGAGCCGCTGTGAGGCATAGCTGCTGCCTGCGTGGTGGAGATCTAGTACTGCCATCCACTCATCCTGTATTTCCTACAATCAATAATATTGGAACGAATAGCCTGTCATCAGTCCCCGATGCAAGCTGCCAGTCATACTACGGTTGCGTTGATTGTGGTTGACAAAGACATCAAATCTTAGTCCGTAGCCTCACGTATCAATCTGTCGTAGACCAGTCAAGGTCCGCAACTTGATACCTCCCATAGTAGTATGAGTGATTCACATTCCACTCATTTCAGTTACTCTCGAAAATCGCGCCTCAGTTTCTCAGCCGTTCGTCTGCAACTCGCGGCAACTCAACCACCCCTATGTATTCCGATCGTCTCAAAAACTTGCCGCGCAGGATTTCACAGACCCATACCTAGGCGACGTCCTACTCGTGACCTTCCTCTCGTGCTAATCCGTTTTGTCCATTCGCTCATCACCTGACGTCATGTAAGCCCCTGTTTATGTTGAGGCGACCTGATATTTAACCATACCGCCCTCGAGTTGGAGTGCTAGACATCACTCAACTCGCCAATCATGAAGAAAGGCTCCAAACCTCTCGAACCTATCGTGAAACATGAGACGTTTTACTTTACCAATGTCTCCTTTCTGGTATGTGCAAGCGCTGTCCCACGAACGATATGACGGCGACCAGAGTCCACTGATTCTGCTCACGGATGTAGGTAGAAAGGACCCTTTTTAGAATCCCCAGATTCGTTCTGGAGCATAGTTCCGAGGTCTTCAAAGATATGTTTCATCTACCCGTAGAAGGCGAAAAGTCAGAGGGCTCGAGTGATGACAACCCGATCGTCCTAGAAGATGTATCCTCATACGATTTCGATCAGTTGCTGAGAGTGTTGTGTTTTCGGTAAGTCTTGCTCTCTGCTAGTAACCCCTGTATCAGTATCTAATGGCCGCGTCTGGTGAAAATGTTTTAATATGTAGGGGCGGCAACCCGAACAAACCAGAAGGTCTCCCGAGTACCCTCCAGGAATGGACAGCCGTGCTCGGGTTGGCACACAAGTGGAACATGGTTGGCGTGCAGACCTTTACAGTCCAACGGATGAATTCTCTTAGCATTGACCCGGCGGACAAGGCACGCCTTGCCCTCAAATACGAGGTCAAGGAGTGGCTCGTCCCGGCCTTCAAAGCCCTCCTTAACCGCAAAGAGCCCATGTGCACCGCAGACGTGGACAAGCTTGGTTTGGATGTGGTCTTGAAGCTGGCTGCCTTGCGAGACGTTAAAAAAGTCACTGCAAGCTGTAGTTACTGCGGGAGTGGAAGTCATGTCACCATTGACAGTAACGCTAATTTAGACCGAACGGCGGAAATCAAACGCCACTTCGGGACGTATTTATCTTGAAGAAATATAATATATGCAATAGCTACGACGGTATCGACGTACACGCTGTACGTTAGGCATGCATATGTTATCAACGAAATATCCGCCTAAACTTGCACCTTTATTTACGCTTTGACCATGTCCGCCTCGTGTGTACAGATTATTGCCACATCAGACTGATTGTGTTGGCTCGAAGATAGGAGCTGGACTCTGCTCGCCTTTAACTGGCTTACCGTGACTCAACGTTACAACCTAGACTGAGAATCCAACCGTCTGAACGATCCTGTGCCCAACTCATGTCTTAAATCAGGAAAGTAGTAGGATACAACACACGCCAATGGTGTCATCATGACGACTGAGTTCAAAAGGTGACCAGAGAAGGAAATACATGGCAAGACATGTAGCATGATATAAAACACTGCACCTCCGCATATAAATATCGCATCTCCACCAACCAACCTAGAAAGGCTCGACGACAAGCGTAAACTGCGTGTCCGCCTTCTCGCGAGCGCGTAGCGTCCGTGACTGAGGCTGTTTCCCTTTGTAGTCCACGCTCTCGTCATACCGGCCCTCGTCGAACTCCCTGCTATGGCGATCAAACGACATGCTGGAGCGCAACGACGCGGCCGAGGACGATCTCTTGTGGCTTCCGTGTGGCGCGTATGGACTTGGGGTTAGCAACCCCGCGCTTGGTGGAGGAGATGGATAGGATGAAGAGGTCGACAGCGGCGAGAGGGGAGGAATAGGCTGGGATGCCGATGCCGAGACATGGGAAATGTACGCGGGGTCCCATGCGCGAGGGCTTGGCCGCGACGGGATAGATGGCTTCGATGTAGAGGACGAGCGAGCGTAGGATGCGTTGTGTTGCTCTGCGCTGAACCCTGAGAGGCGCCGTTGGCCTTGCAGAAGGGTGACGTTCAGTCGACGCGGGTTGAAGAAAAACTGCGGAAGTGTGGTGACATGACAAGGGGTCCAAAATAGATAATCAGGAAGAAATACTCACAGTATTCCAATCATCGACCACCGTGCCCGGCTTTGGTCCACCCGACATGGCCTTGATCGCATTCTTGGCGCCGTCGAATACAAGACCGATAAGCCCGCCTGTGTTGATGTCAGCACAACATAACTAGACAAATATGCGGCAAACGGACCAAGTGGTGTATGTTCTCTGATCGCGGGCGCGACTCCCTTTACGACCATGTCACCCATTACACTCGCCGTCTTCTTGATGTCCGCCAAAAACCTGATTTGCATGTTAGTCGCGGGCTCGCATCAGTACTCAACTAGCAGAAGCGCACTTTTGCCAGTCCTCTCCTCTGATATCATGCGTTGCGAACGGGTGAGGGGCAAATGCGCAGGGTGGCGGGAGCTTCGGGAAGCCTTTGCTGAGATGCCCAGAGTGCGAGTGGAGCACGAGCGGAGGCTCAAACGGCGCGTAAGTTGTCGACGCATCGCGCGAGGGAGGAAGGCGGTTCCATGCCTGTGGAGGGCCCTGGGACGAAGACGCGATGGAAGAGCGAGAGGAGCCAGATGGTTGAGAATGCGGCTCCCATGCGTCGTATGGTGACGGGGGACGGGGGAAGTGGTTCTTGTCAACACTTTGTCTCTGGCCGGGATTCATTGGTAGGTCCTTGAGACCCATCGATGGGCTCAACCAAGGTGCGCTGGTCTGACGGTGCGGTCGGCTGGGTCCCGCGCCGCGGTCCTGGATGTCGTAGACGTCCGCGCTTCCTTGTCGTAAGCCAGGAGGAGCGTAGGAAACATCATTCCTGGTTTGATACGGAAAACTCGAAGGCTCTTCGTCGGGAGGTGCAAGCACGATCTGAGGTGGGGGTGCATGGGTTCCGCTTCCGGTCGAACGAGGCTGGGCAAATGCCTGCGAAGAATGGATTGAGCGGTCTAGTGAGGAGCTAGCATTCGTGAAGCGATAGCTGTTGGGTGGAGTAGTCTGGGATGAAGATGATGCAGAGGGGGATGGTTCGAGATTGTATGCAGGTGGCGGAAGTGCTTCGTCTCCTGGCCGGTTCTGCTGGCGCTCGCGTTGTATTTCGTCCGCCTTGGCTGGTTCGATGATCATCGTGGAATGAGGTGACCCCTACTGGAGGTGAATGATTATGGAGGAGGATCTATGTAATGCTGCGCATACAGCAAGTGTCGATACATGAATATGTTGGCCAATGACAAGCCAACGAACGATGAGGAGGCGATGATGCCTTGATGTCTAACCCCTGTCCCTCACTCAATCCTGTGCTCCCTGTGGGAAACACGCCAGCCAAGCCCTCTGCTCATTGCGCTCCCCCTTCACGCTCGCCGGCTCCGTCGACAGACACGATGTGGTCAGTCCTCGCCTTCTCATCCCCGACAAACACGTCCTGAAACACGCCTGTCCCCGATCATCAACCAAACCTCGATGATGTCGACAACTTGCAACACGACGTGGTTAGCAAACACATCCTCAACGCCCAGGTGTCCATCCGCGCGCCCTGCTGCAAGCAGTGGTTCGACTGCGCCGAATGTCACGCGGAGGCGGAAGACCATCGCCTCGCAAAGACAAACGAAATGGCGTTTATATGCAAAAAGTGCAAGAAGGCGTTTCGCAAAGATATGACCGCGTACGAGGAGAGCGACGAGTTCTGCCCTCACTGCGACAACCACTACGTACGCCCCCTTCTTTTCATTTTGCCTTTGTATTTTGGGGAATAGGGCTGCATCTGAATGCTAATCTGGTTTTGCTACTACAGGTTATAGATGCCAAGACGCCGCAGGCCGTGCTCGGCGTTGAGGGAGAGGACGCGCGCGTGGACGCACGGTATGTCGTCGTTTTCCCTCACGTAGTATATGCGCTTTTCGTCCAATCATACCCATCTATCCTCCGAACCAACGCACATTGTTCATTCTCACTTACGCTCAATTGTAGGATGCTCAAGGACGACCGGGTACGACAAGATCCAAAGCGGTCCCTGTTCGGCCAGGATTTCTCGGATCGGGTCGGCTGATTACTGTCCAAGCCACACCGCGCCCCCTGCCCGCGTTGGGCTACATCTCTACGCCGTTGTATACTATGTCTCACGGAGAAAATACACCAGTCTCGTGGTCTTCTTCCCCAGCCAAACTCTAGGTCACGCTGTTCACCTCCAAGTTATGTCGTTGACGCCGAGGATTTGAGATGCGATGCAAGCGTCTGTTAACGTTGTGGCTGGCGGTTCCGGCTGTATGTAAACCTTGAAGGTAAACACAGGGGTGGTCGTCGGCAATATCGGATATAAAGCCGACGCGATCCATTGGAGTCGATATTCATTCTTTCCTGTGCCTGATATATGTTACTCCTTTTCAAGGCATTCCCAGCATAGGCAGGTTACGAGGCCATAGCAAAAACTTCTGACAAAGTCGTCTTAGCATTGCTCGGCGCAAGGCCCTAGGGGAAGGCTACGACATCCACGAAAAGACATTTCAGTGTTCGGTAGATGTCAACTTTCTCCGTCCTCTCTTTATGACCATTTAATGATATTCTCTCTCTCTATACACCAATTCCGGATAGTAACTGCATACACTGGTGAAACGTGCGTTAGAGCCTGACGAAACGCGGGGTCTTCGCCGTACCTGTCAGCGATCGACGAGCCGCCTCGAATGTTTGAAATAACACCTCAGACAGGGATGATCGGCGAGAGCCGTGCCGTGCTGACGAGTCCTCCTCGTTCCACCACGAATGGAACACGTACGCAAACGAAACGTCATGCATTACCGGCAGCTGCGCCTTTGGTATGGGTGTAGAGCTCGGCCCCAAGCTTATCCATAGGAAAATGGTACCCCATGATGTACCACCTGACTTATAGGGACCCAGATAGTGCATTCAACGGTTATCCAGGCTTCTAGGGTATGTTCCACAGGAGTGTGATCTCACGATGACATACCTCGGATGCGTCCGAGGTTCGAGATACCGGACAAGGATCGCACTATATAACGTGTCCGAGTGATACGCTTTCATTGTTAGAGGCGCCTTATTCTGGTGCCCTTTCTTCAGCCGCACTCACACTCCTCGTCTTCGAGGAACGCACAATACGCACAACACGCGATGGCGAATCATGCATTGGACAACAACCCGCCCGCGGGCGACCGTCACATCACGACGCATGCGTCCGACTGGCTGTGGGCCGTCTTCGCGGTAATGCTCTTAAGTTTCCTCGGTGCTCTTTTGTGGAATCACTCGGTGCGTTCTCGGCGTTGTCTAACCCTGCTAGCGACATGCTGATGCGTTCGGATTTTTGCGACCGTTTTATAACAGAGAAAGCAAAGGACACGGCCGTTCCACCACATCCCCGTTATAGTGTTATGGGTGTCGACGCTCACATACTTCGCGCTGGCCTCTGATCTTGGGTACACCCTTACCCGCGCCGAGTTTAACGGTCAAGGGACCCGCCAAATTTGGGTGCGTTTTCCCCTAATGCACCCCTCTATTTGGTGCCCCCTATGACCATAGTTAAACGTCGCATATACAAATCTTATAGTGGGTTCGGTACATCCAATGGTTCATCAACGCACCCCTAATCCTCCTGGCGCTGATGGGCCTCACGGGCATGCTCGTGAGCGAGATGCTTACGACCATGTTCTTTGCATGGACGCTCGTCATCATGGGCCTCGTCGGCGCGCTCACGCGCAGCTCGTACAAGTGGGGCTTCTACGCATTTGGAGTATTCTCGCTGCTCTACCTGCTGTGGGTGTTGTTTTCCCCTCTGATAATGGTTTGATGCTCATAGTCATCTATTTGGCGTAGGTACCGTCTTTTCGCACACCATCGCCAGTACGGTTCCCGTAGCGGCTACACAGGCGCTCGTGACAGCGCCGGTGCGGGTGCCAACACTGGTACTGGTGCCGGAGCCGGAGCTGGCGGTGGCGGTAAAGGCATTTCGAAGCGCTTCTACCTGCTCGCGAGCTGGATCGCGCTCATTTGGCTCTTGTACCCGATCTGCTGGGGTCTCTCGGAGGGCGGGAACCGAATTACACCCACCTCGGAGATGGTATTCTACGGCATCCTCGATATCTTGTCCGGACCCGTCTTCTTCCTCGCGTACATGCTTATGTTCCGCGGGATGGACTATTGGAAGTTGGGGAGTGGCGGAGGTGACTCTGGTGCGGGGGGTGGGGGATTAGGTTCGGGCACGGGGGCTGGTGCGGGTGTGGGCGGTGCGAACACGAATGCTGCTGGCACGGGATCGGGGGCAGGAGGGTATGGTTCGAATGCTGCTGGAGGTGCGCCTGCAGCCAACTTTGGAGAGAAAGGGGCAGCCGCCAATGGTAATACGCAAGCAGCAGGTCATGTGTGAGATCTCTCTCTCGTCCGGCAGTGTCTCCTTCGATTTAAATCGATGGGCGCATGCGCCACCGGCTCATTCCCTTGGTTTATCTGTTTCCCTTCTCATTCGATACTAGCTTTTTTTTGTCCATCATTATTTCATCTGTAATTCTATACACGTCTGCCCGCTACCTTCGTATACTCTGTGTTTAAAATGCTCTATAAAGTCGAACGCGTAGCTATCAATTGCCAATGTAGATGTTGAAAAATTCGTCATTTTCGCTCTAAGCTCGCCGCCGAGGCAGTGCACTACGCCGGGAAATGTAACGAGTGCTACTGTCATGCCAACCGCAGTAGCCAGCAGAATTCGCACCCATGCTGCAGGTGGATTGGATTATACAATACAGAGGAATCGAGCACATCACCAATGTGTTTCAAGGGATTGCAAGGGTGTCGTATGGTGAAAGCGCCGCCGGATTAGGAGGTGTGCTATGAGGTGCGTTGAGCTTTATCGTCGATATCTTACTGGTGCTGACTCGAAGGAGCAACTGGCTGGGAGACGTGGTAAGTCTAGAAGGTTGCTTCATGACCTTGTTGAATTTGTGGGCCTGTCATCGCCTTCACATTATCGGCCGACGTCGAGATAAGATAAACGAGTTACCAGATGGGTGGATAAACCACCAGACGAGTCAGAAGCCCCGGGCCAAGGCTCGGGGAAATAGAAGCTATACAATAGAGAATCAGAAGCTAACTACGAGTACAGGAGCCACAGAAGTACTCCTAATGTATTTACTAGTATAAAAGAAGCGAAAAATCATACCGGAGCGCTGCGAACACCAGAAGACAAGTGTACATGGTAATGGGAACAGCACGAGATGACGAGTTCTACTTCGAGGTCATCACGTTTCGGGTGCGTCCTTGGACACATGTAACGAAAATGATTGCCTCAGAACTTATGTATAGGTTGAGGACGCGCTCTTTAGAGTGCCCCGGCACGTATTAGAAACGTCGTCGGAAGTCTTCCGCGACATGTTCCTTCTTCCCGTTGGAGTAGGTTCGGCGGAAGGAAAGACAGACAGACATCCTGTAGTCCTTGAAGGTGTATCGAGTCATACGTTCAAGCTCCTGTTGAAAGTATTGCTGGTCAGGTGAGTTGGATCCGTGGCGATTTAGGATGCGCTATCAGTGGTTGAAGCTCACCACCATGTATGAGGTCTGTCGCCCCCGAGAAGTTCTCGTATTCTATGGATGCATGGACGGCAGTATTGAAGCTTAGCGATCAGTGGGGCATGAGCAGCGTTCGCAAGTTCGTGTTGAGGAACTTGAACTCAAAAGAGTCAATGCTGGGTCCACTGGAGAAGGCAGGCTTAGCTCTGGAACTCGACATTAAGAGGTGGCTCGTCCCATCGCTTGAGGCATTGGCAAGAAGGGAAGAGCCGCTGTCGAGGGTGGAAGTGGAAAGACTTGGGATAGAGGCCGTGTTGAAACTAGCTGAGGTCCGGGAAAGCCTCATTGCTCGTAAGTATGGCGGAGTTGCTGTCGGGAAGAGAGAAGCCAAAAATCTAAACTTTAGGGAGAAAATCAGGGAAGTGTTCAGACAGGAACTGACCGAGTAGCTACGGTATTAGCCAACTGTAGCCCGCATCTGCATATGTCAGAACCTGTCGATACGCTGACATCCAGAAGTGATCCTTTGGTTGGTTGTGTGTTGACAATCATACCATGGGTCGTATTTGTGTGCAACAGTCTGCGACAACGCTCTGGGCGACCGTGGGAACATAGCGCCGCCGTCGGTAGCGGTGCCCACAGGAGCTGGCCACGACCGAGTCAACATGACATCGACAGCGCCAGGGCCAACACTGCAGTACAGCAAGCATCACCCTCGCAAATGTACAAAAACGCTCAACCATCCTGACGATCGTACCACCAATCTAGGATACTATCAAGCAGAATGATCCAGCAGAAGCTCAATTTCGGTCAGGCCAGCACCCCCAAGAACACTCCCCAACAGAGCCAGCATAGCAAGCAAAAGGACCGACTCAAGCAGATCGCAGACTCCACTCTCAGGGCTATCGAGGCTGGCCACATCACCATCGGCGACGTCTCGCACGACCTTAGCGCCAAAATCAGGTTCTCGACCCTCCACACCCTCTACTATCCCCCCGACTCCGACCTCTCCTCATGGAGCCGCAGCTCACCCATCAGCCGTCCCCATCAATCCCTCGCATCGCATCCACAGACAGAGTACTCCGTCCTCGAGATATCCACGCTCGACGGCGTGCGCCTGCTCAACCAACACACACGTTCGAGCTCCCCCGGCAGCTTCGGCCGCGTCGCGCTGCTCAACTTCGCTTCCGCCACCAAGCCCGGCGGCGGCTTCCTCTCGGGCGCGCAGGCGCAGGAAGAAAGCATCGCGCGCTCGTCGACGCTCTACCCCTCGCTCATCGCGAAGCCGGCCTCGCAGTTCTACGCGCTGCACGGCCGGGACCGCGCGGGCGGGTTTTACTATGACGCGATGATCTACACCCCGGGGGTCGTCGTCGTGCGGGACGACGCGGGCGGGTGGGTCGAGCCGGAGGAGGCGGACGTGTTGACGAGCGCGGCGGTCAATGCGGGCGATGTGCGGAATAAGAACAAGGTGCAGCGCGGGGAGCGGGAGATCGAGGAGAGGATCGTGGCGGCGATGCGCGAGCGGATGGGGCGCATTCTGTACCTGTTTGAGCTGCAGGGCGCGAGGAATCTGGTGCTGGGGAGTTTTGGGACGGGTGTGTTTAGGAATGATGTGGATGTCGTGGCGGCGTTGTGGGCTGAGCTCCTGTCGACCCGGTTCAAGGACTCGTTCGAGCGCGTTCTCTTTGCCGTGCTCGGGGCTGAGACGTTCAAGACGTTCAAGGAGACGTTTGAGAAGCGAATGAAAGTGCCTAGGTGATCGATGAGCCCGAGTTGTTATCACAGGGATTTAGGAGGAACAAGTAATGTATTTCTATGTCGATCTACTTCGACTTGCTCTAATGCAAACCGATCCACGAAAGCCATCGATGTCGATTGCGCATTTGCGCTGATTGCAACCCAATTGATTTCCCCCGCATCATCTTAATGTCCTGGGTCCTCGTATTTTTCCGCTTTGACGCTCTCAATGACCTTGGGTGGCGCACTGTACGTACTACAACGTATCAAGAGCTGTCTGCAAACCACGCGCGACCATGTTCACCCCCCGACTCGTCTCCAAAATCTGAATATGCGCGACTGGGACATTTTACGCGTGCTCGGCTGACACAGGCGCATGCTCTTACACCAAGATGACCAATTTTGATTCTTCCACTTGTTTGATGCGTAAAGGCGTGCGCTGCTGCCACGATGGGGTTCTGAATCAGCGTGAATGGCGCCGCCCTCAATCCTCAATATCAATCACCACGCGTCTTTCATGATTCTCGGTAGAGTCCGTTTGCTCCCAAGACTCTCTCAGCGCCGTCTCACGCGAAGGGTTCATTTCAGTCGGTGATGAAAACCGCAAGGGTGCTTTCCGGCTCGTCGTTAATAGCAGAGTCGGGCCGACGAGTTACATACTCTCGCGCATTGTTTCCCTCGTTCCGATGTGAGCGCGGCGGTGCATCAGGGAACGAGGGCGGTTATGTGACATGGTGCCGAGGTGGTGGTGAGTAGAGGGTTTGCTTTACCCGATACGAGCCAGGACGGTGTATCCTCTGACTTCCCCAGAAGTTCATGCTCCGAGTCTGAGAATGTACACTCTGAGAAAACTTCGATCGGAGATGAGCACGATAGGAAAGCACCAAGCGTTAGGGAGCAAGCTGCCCTAGGTTTCACATTACGCTCGATTGGATAGGGCTACGTCTGCTTTACCTTCTACCGCACGAGGCAGGATAATCGAGCGCAGCCTCCTGATGACCTGATGATGATCTAAAGGGTACTTGCTGCATGCCCATGTGTTCGACTGAATTGGGTTGAGCAAGCATATTCGCTTTCTGACCCTTGCCTGTGTCCTCGGATGGAGTTCTTATGTACTGATTGAGAGGGCAGTGAGGGCGATAGGCGACTTCATGTTGATTTGCTTCCGTGCGAGTAGGTGGAAGCTGGAAGAGACCACTCAGGGGCTATTGGAGACGCGGGAGACGGACGTGTTTGTACAGCTCTTGACGGAAACAAACACCTTGTCCATTGTCATCGTCCTGTTTACTCAACAAACCACGAAGGATGGCAAGGATCATTAGAAAGTGCAGCGTGTTTCATGAAGGGCCCAGACGCTGGACGACAATAGCGGACACGAGGCTTCAACACGTGTAGCGCTCTATCTACCCACCACTGCTTTCGGAAAACCTATATCTTGCTTTCCTGCCCATTTTTCTCTCTCGAACCCAACCCAACTTCCCTCCCTCCTCCCCCCTTCCCCATCTCCCTCCCTCTCAATCTCAGGAAGAGACGAGCATGTACGGCGTAGAACATGGCGTCTCGCGGGTTGTCCGCCACAAGGAGTTCTACATCCGCGGCGGTGACATGACGGTCCTCGTGAGTACACATTTTTCGTCGCATTCGCCTCCATGTGCTTCGATGTCTCGGATCTGACACGCCTTGCGTACCTCAGGTCGAGAACCACCTGTATCGCATACACTCGTACTTCTTCGAGCGTGAATCCCTGTTTTTCCGTAACAAATTTGCAACCGCATCCGAGAGCGGCGAGGATCGCCTGGGCGCCTCGGAGGAGGCGCCATACTCGCTGGAGGACGTCAAGAGCGAGGACTTTGCCCGGTTTCTTTGGGTGTTCTACAACCCGTAAGTCGATCATCGCTCTGCGGCACCATCGGTGCTATCAGGCGCTTACTGATAACTCCACTTAGCAAATACGGGCAGTACGATGCACCACTCGATTGGTGGCTGAGTATACTTCACCTCGCCACCCGGTGGCAGTTCGACGGTGTCAAGGAGCTCACCATCGCCGCGCTCGAGCAGATCGAGATCGAGGGCGTCGAGAAGATCGCCATCTACCACAACTACAACATCAACAAGCACCTCCTCGTTCCTTCTTACATGGCCGTATGTCGGCGGGAGAAGCCGCTCTCACTTATGGAAGGCTCCAAACTCGGCATGGAGACTGTCCTCCGCATCGCCGAGGCGCGCGAGCGTCTCCGCCAGCAGGCGATGGAGAGCGGCGTCCGCTCGCCGACGTACGAGGACTTTGGGGACGACGAGACCGAGAAGCTCGTCCGCGAGCTCTTCCAGGTCACCGGCCGCTCGCCGACGGTCCCCTCGACGAGCAACATCAACCCCAACTACGGCGGTAGCGGCGGGGCAGCGCCGTCCTCGCCTGAATATGGCTCCGTTTCGAGCGACAAGGGCGGGCGCGGCAACGGCTCGCGGTCCGTCAGCATGGACGTCCGGACACCGTCGCCCTCGCCCGGCCCGGCGCCGCTCCAGACGAACATGAAGAACACGTCCAGCGGCCCGCAATCGTTCACCGGCTCCGGCATGATGATGTCCAAGGAGCCCTCGGAGGGACCCTCGCTGTTCGGGCCTAGCTCAAACGGCGGCGGCCCCAACTCTATCTTCCAGGTCGGCCCCAACGGCAGGTCGCGGCAATCTACTGGTGAGCACGCACCGGTGAACTAATTCCCTCTTTTGCGCTTCTGACGCCTGCTCATCTTGTCCCGTGCATTGTCAAATGGCAGGAAACAGCAGATGAGGCGCGCCGCCGCGCAGTGGGGCCTCTCGCGCCATCGATGTCGGTGCCGGTGTCGGCCCTAGAGGTGCCCGAACGCGAACGCGAACGCCAACCCCTGCCTGCTGAGCCTGCGACTATATCTAACTCTGTATCTGTACCTAAACTGAAAAAATCCAAGAATGCAAAGTCCAAGTCGAAACTCTCTCAATCGTCTGCTCCTCCTTCCGATGCCGCGCCGCCTGAAGCTGAAGCTGAAGTCGCCCGGGGGCCCGAAGCCGCAGCGCAGCGTCCCCAGCTTGAGATCGCCCAGCCCGCTCACTCTCCCTTGCTAAACACCCAAGCTGCTCCTGAGCCTAGTCGTCAGCTCCAGCATCACCACCAGCGCCGGAATTATGTTCCGCCTACTCCCGTTTCTGGGCCCCCGCCGCGGGTGCATGTCTTTGAGCCTACGCCCCCGCCGTCTGCTGTTGAGCCTCAGGCTCGCTCTAGAGCGTTCCATTCCAGTCTTCCCCCCGTTGTTATCCCCGCTTTCGAATCTGAACACCAGCCCGTCGTTATTCCCGCTCCCACTCCCGAACACCAGCCCACACAAGAAGCTTCCGAGCCTCGGATTGTCTCGACGCCGACGACACCGCGGCGGCCCGCTGAGGAGCCGGCGCAGCCTGAGCCGTCGTCGCCTGTAGGAGTAGCTTCACCACCCCCACCTGTCCCGGCGAAGCTCGAGTCTGAAGCTGAGGTCGAGCATGTGGCTGTCACTGAACCTCCCGCTGAGCCCGTCGTCGAGCCTGTGGCCATCGCTGACCCCGTCGTCGAGTCTCCGATTGAGCTGCCACCGGCTGTGGTCGCCGCTCCCATGGCGCCTGCGGAGGCGGCGGCTGAGGACTCGGAGGGGCTTGACGTTGAGCCACCTGTCGAGGTCGTGGCTGAAGAGCCTCTTGTCGTCGTTGCGGCTGCTGAGGTTCCGGCTGGCGCTGCGACTGAAGAACCTGCTGTTGTCGCCGCCAAGATCGCGGTTGGCGCTGCGACCGACGAGGCTCTGGTCGACCTTACGTCTGAGGTCCTACCTGAGACCACGAGCGGAGAACCTGTGGCCGAAGCTCCTGCCGTGGCCGTACCCGAAGCTGAGGCTCTGGCTGAAGCTGCGGCCGAGGCCACCAAGATCGACGAGGCTGAAGCGGCTGTTGAGGTCTCAACTGAGACCCCCGCCGATGCTGCTGCTGAAGCCATGAACGGTGTCTCGACTGAGGCTCCCGCTGGGGATGCTGCTTCTGAGGCCACAGAGGAGCCTGCGGCCGACGCTGCCGTTGCTCCTACTGAAGGAGACGTGGCCGACGCTGCCGTCGCCTCAACTGAAGCAGCTGCGGAAGCCGCGCCTGACGCGTCCGCCGACGCCGTCACTGAAGCCGCTACCGACGCACCTACGGAAGCCGCGGCCGACGCGCTCGCTCAGACCTCCCATGAAGGTAACGGCTGGGGCCTCGACGAGGAGCCGGCGCCTGAGGCTTCTGTTGAGGCTGCGACCGGAGCGCCTGTTGAGCCTACCGCGGAGGCCTTGCTCGACGCTACCGTCGAGGGTCCTGCTGATGCCGAGACACAGGCGCCAGCTGAGAACGCGCCCGAGGTTCCTGCGGAATCCGTGGCGGAGGTGCCGAGGGAGGAGGTTGCAGTTGCCGAAGCCGCGCCTGAAGAGCCCGTTGAGCTCTCTTCCGAGGCCAAGCCTGAGGACGCAGCGGAGGTTAAGGAGGACGTTGAGGCTGAGGCTCCCGATACGGCCGAGGCTGACGCTAAGGCTGAGGGTCTCGCTGAGGCTACGAACGAGGTTGAGGAGGGTGTTCCGGCGGTGTCTTCGACTGAGCCCGGTGTGAATGGCGCGACCGAGGTTCCCGCTGAGGCTTCCGCGGACGCTGTCTCAGAGGTCAAGACCGAGGACAAGGCTACTCCGGCTGAGGTCGTAGCTGAGAACAAGGCTGCGTCAGTTGAGGTCGTGGCCGAGCCTGAGGTCAAGGCTAAGGAGGAGAAGACCGAGAGCGACAACAAGATGGAGGGCATCGACATTATGGCGCAGGATGCCGCCCAGGCTCCAGGAACTGATGGCGACAAAAATACCGACGGCGCTGGCGCCGACAAGCCAGAGGTGGACGACGCGGCGGCAGCGGCGACGAAATCTGAGGAGCTCGAGAAGACGGCGACGGAAACTTCTACTAAACCACTACTTGACGTTGACACTACCGTAGAGCAAACACAGACGGAGGCGAAGAATGACGATGAACCTCTTGATCCTGACAGCGCGGTGGTGAAGACGGAGCCGGGGACGCCGGTGGAAGGCGATGAGAAGAAGAAGAAGAAGAAGAAGAAGACGAAGGAGGTGAACCCGCTCGAGGCGATCAAGCAGCAGGACGTGTTGGACTCGAGTGCACCCGCGAGCCCGACGCAGTCCGAGGGCGGGGAGAGTGCGCAGGCTAGTGAGTGCCCCGTCTTCGCCTAACCACTACTAGGCGAGATATTAACCACGCCGTTATTTCCTTAGGTGCTGAGGGGAAGAAGAAGAAAAAGTCGGGGAAGGGGAAGAAGAAAAAGGAGGCTGCAGACTCGTAGTAGAACCGTCGTTACTTTTCGCTGCCTGATTTTGATTTTCGACATGTATGTGCGAATACAGTCTGTCATCGATCGTGATAGAACTTCTGCGCAACCTTGTCGTGACTAGGCGGACACACAAGCCCAACAAAAACCAACTGAAATGCCATGCTACAGCGACACGAACCCCGAATCTCATACGTGTCGGTGAACGGGGTCTCGATCTTTCTGACATAACGACGACACCGCAATCCATGGCCCAGGTCCCTGGGCAAGCTCAGAACTGAAGTCAACACACGAGCGAGCTACGATTTGCCTCTAATCTTACCGGGCCCCAAAACCCTGGCAGACTCGTGTCAGCCTCGAGGCGGAGAATCAAATCCAGAACCAAGAGCCTCCGGTGACATGAGGCATGATAAACTACGACTGATAGCTCACCGATATCTAATCTGGACTGAGGTGGACTCCAAGTCTGGCGTATCAACGCCAGCAATCTCTAGAGGGAGAGGGTTGAACGTTGATCCTCGTCGACCGTGGCTTTGGGTAAATTACGCGTGGCGTTCCGTGCAACGTGCATCTGTAGGCCTTCCGTCGTGCCACTAGTACACGGATCCTAGGTGAGAACGAGAACATCAGCTCTACCGTAATTGATCAAGCCCGCAATAGCACATGACGGGCCCAGTCATGGCGAATACGGCAAAAGCTTGATAAGGGCTACTTAGGTCGCCGCACAAAGAAGGAAGGTTCCGGGGGGGAACATACCCGGCACTCAGGCTAGGACATCCAGGGGAAGTGATACCACCTGGCATGAGGCTTCTGGGCCCACATCAAACAGGATACTATCTAATCAGGAAATATGGAAGTTTATATTGAATGGCGGTCCTTGTTGGTACTCGGACGACACCTTTAAAAAGCGTCAGCTCGGCGAGGAAGTCTCTCCGACCCTTCTCATTCCCCCACCTTGACCACCATTCTCGCGCAGCGCAAGTGCACCGCTATCTGTCGCTCTCTCCCGCGCTGTCGAACGGGTCCATGCCAGTAGCTTCAAGCACCATGTCTGGAGAGCAGTTCTCCAGGTACCGCCGCCATCACCAGTACTTTCTCCGCGGCGGTGACGTCAGATTCATCGTACGTTTCTTCATTATCATAAGGCGGATGTTCAGGCTGACGAACGAATAGGTCGAAAACACACTTTTCCAAGTGCACAAGTTCTTTTTTGAGCGGGAGTCGCAATTCTTCGCCAAGATGTTCTCAGCGCCACCAGACAGCGCGAAAGCCGACGCCTACATCATCAAAAAGGTCAAAGCAGACGACTTCGCCCAGCTGCTGTGGGTGTTTTACAACCCGTGAGTACTAGTTGCTGTGTTTTTACATGAAACTTAACCTTAACCTAAACCTAACTGCTCCATTGTCGCCACCGCCCGAAATGGCACACAGGCGTTACTCGCTATACGAGGCCACCGTCGACGAGTGGCTCGTCATCCTCGACCTCGCCAAGTCGTGGGGATTCCAGGAGATCGAGACGCTCGTGATCCGCGAGCTCGAGGAGCAGTCCATGGATCCGGTCGACAAGATCGCCATGTACGACAAGTACGGCGTTGACAGGCGCTACGTCGTCCCCGCCTACGCGCATCTCGCCAGCCGGCCCAAGTACCTCAGCCGGGAAGAGGGCAACAAGCTCGGGCTGCGCGTTGTCATTGACGTGAACCATATCCGCGAGGATGCGCTCAGGAGTGCGGCGTCCTCTGGTGGATCGAGCGGGATCACTCCGACGAGCGCGGATCTGGAGCAGAGTATGCTCTTTGACCTTGTCGAACGGCATTTGGGACTGCCGTCGGGTTGTGGTACGCCGAGTCCCAAGACACCGGTGCGTTCCTTCGTGGTTGAGGCAAACTCAGTGGCTAAAAAGCGTTGCAGGGCCTAAAACTCAAAGGAGGCCTCCTTCCTGTCCCAAAGAACGTGAAAAGCCCATCGGAAACGACAGAGGCGAAAGAAGTGAGTGGCGTCCAACAAGATGGGGAACATGTGCGGAGACGTCATACGCAGGACGAACAACAAAACCAAGACCCAGCTAAGACAACGACAACGACAACGACGCCGGCAACAACCCCTGCGCCACCGCCACCGCCAAAGGCGACAAAGTCGTCGCCAGGACCCGCGCAGGACGAGGCTGCCAAAACAGACGTGAAACCAGACGTGGGGCGCGGCAATCAGAAGCAGAAGCAGAAGTCCGTGCCAGTAAGTGCGCGCCGACGCTGACATCCAGTCTTGGTGACGAAGTAGTTTCCCAACAGAAGATACGCACCTCCTAGCAGGTCGCGAAGCCGGCACTCCACCGGCAGCGACGTCGATGTCTTCTATGACGCACTCGAATGACTGGATATATGGCATGTTAATTAGTGTACTTTTATTCGTATGTTTGTATGATCGTTGAGCGTAACCTTACTGTAAGAGTAATGTCAGCGTGTTTCTTGCTCTTTTGAATCATAGCCATGGCGGGAGCGCACCATGAAGACGAAGAACAGAGTCTACTTCGGTGGTGTGCAAACTCTAGGACGTCTTGAGCCCCTCCTTCTCGAGCTCCTTCCGCACTGAAAGAACATCAGAACGCGCATATAAGGATAAATCAAATAGGTACGTACGCATGTCAAGATCCCTCTGCTCATACTCATCCGACCGCGTCTGATCCACCACTGACTGCCTGCGCCCCCACAGCACCTCCAGCCATCCCATCTCGCCCGCAGCCGCTGATGGCCCGTTGTACAGCCCCTTCGAGCCCGACGCGAGCTGCCTTAGCTTCGCCACCTCCTGCCCCGAGATGGCGTCGTCCGAGCGCAGCCGCGCGGCGAGGTCCTCGAGAATGGAGACGTGCGCCTGGATGCGCGCGCGGTCTTCTTCGGCGCACTTGCGTTGCCAGAGGGAGTGAATTGATATCGATGTTATCGCGGTTGCATAGAGTGCGCGCAATGTCGTCGGTTCTTGTCATGTTAATGTCGGGCCAGTTCGAATGTTTGAACGTGTCTTTAAGCCCCTATTCATTCTCGGCACAGCCACACTTAAAGCCCAGTGAAAAGTCCATATTGGATTATTCTTTGAGGTTTTGAATAAAAGTGATTATTAATCTTTAAACGCTCTTCGGATTCTTTAAAACACGTACTATTCATTAAAACGACTTGAGCTTGTGCCCCAATAGGTGTTTTAAACAATTCCTCAAAAGACTTTAAAGACTGGCAAAAAACGGTCATCGACCATTTGATTTCTCGGTAGGGACAGTACAGGTTCTTTAAAATGACATAGAATGTTTTAAAAGCGACCCGAAATCAATAAAAACAGCGGGAGTTTGCGCAAAGAATAAGGCAAGCGTGCAAAGAATAGCAAATGATGGCAATGAAAGCAGTGAATCGGTAAAAACAGCGAAGAGAAGCGAATGTCGGCTTAGCAAGCGGGAGAGCTGATGTTGGCGTGGCGTATGTCAGACTGACAGCATAGTGCGCGAATGACCTGTAAGCAAGCAAAATCATTAGTAAAAAGCCCAAGTTTGATGAACGTGTTAAGTACGTGCACTGTCGGATCAAGCAAGAGGTGTCGTTCTCTCTTCATCGGAAGTATCCTGTCATTTTTGCATTAAAGGTGTTAGTTTCAGCGTAGATATCCGGCAGACAGAGTCACCTTTAACTCTACAGCGCTCTCCCTCACCGACTTCCAAGCCTTGTTGAAGCGTGCCTCCATGTATGGCACGTTTGTTGGGTCATTGATCCAGGCGCGAGTGAACTCCCATCTATACATTGTAGGGTTAGATAGGTAGATAACGAATAGACATATGTACTTGGGGGAGAGATCGTCTTCGGAATGACAAGGAGCTTGCCGCCCTGCCCAGTCGTCGACGTCCGTGCAGTGTCCGTGGCATCTGCAGCCCCCACAGGAGAGCACGGTGTCGAACTCACCACATCTGGCGGGGGAGCTTCGACGTTCTCGGCTGGCGTGGCAGTGGCGGTGCTCGTCGCGAGAACCGCGCTAGTGTCCTCGATCGGAGCGAGAGTCGCGCTCCTGTCCTCGAGGCTTATGACAGGGGCGTCAGCAATCGTGCTAGCGGCGGCGGGCAGCGTCACGTCAGATGCGGTGGGGGCTTCGGTGGGCAGCTCCGGCGCCTTCGCGGAGAGTATGATGGTGGGCGCAGGCATTGGAGGCAGGCACACCTTCTTTTGCTTGCTCTTGCCCTTGGTCACTTTGGGCCCGACTTCGGCGGTGTTGTAAGGGGAGGGAAGGCTTTATAATCAATGGCCGCGATCATGTCGAACCTAGAAACATGTTTTAGTATTGATACCAATGCGCCGGAATAACACTTACAAAGGGCTAGAGAGTGAATTGCCCGAAGGCATCTCGGTCCCGACGCGGACACGGAGCTTGGCAGGGACGACGTAGAAGCGGTTGAAGGCACCAAGTCTGGCACTGAAGCCGTTCGCGCGCGCTTCGACGAACCAGGCTTGGCAGCCGGCGAAGAGCTTCTCTTGGTGAGAAAAGCTGGAGTAGGCTTGCATGCGATGGGTGAAATGGAGGCATGGAAAAGAGGTCATTGATACGAGCGAAGGGAGGAAAAGACACGACGCAGCTATTTGTGCATGTCAAGCCAAATTCCATTTATCTGCTTCTCGGGTTTCTTCTATCTTTGTCCCTTGTTATGACGTCAAAACACTGGACTTCAGCATTCCAAAAGTCTTCGCCACAAGATGTGGTGCTCCTCCGAGCCCAAAGACCATATCAGACGTTCACAGAGTAAGAAGAGTACCAAAGTGAGAGATATAATGAAGGTGCCTGGGCTCCTGGCGCGTCCGGCGATGCCCTTTGTGCGAGTTGTGGCAAGTGCTTTTGTGGACGAGTTTTGATAGGTCTACGAGAGTAGGGACACAGAATTAACATGATGAGTACTTGATCGATGCTACTACTTGTTCCATTGTACACCAGGCTGTTACACTGAAGCGGAAGCCCTGTGGGGAGGCATGCACAATGTAATCAGGGACTTAGACGATTTGATGACTTTGCCTGAGCCTGCCTTGGCCTGGGTCGGCCGAATTTCAAAAGTATCGTGCTAAGAAGCATTCTGAGGCCTTCTCATTAGCTAATAAGGCTAGGCTCTGGTCACACCTTGGCTTTTATTATACAGATAGCTGTTTTAAAGTACAGAGACACCTTTAAAGAGCGGTAAAGTATGGAGCAGAACGGACTTTTCACTGGGCTTAAAGACCGGCCCGAGCGGACACAGTCGAACTCAACGTTCAACGTTAGCCTCGTCCACCACGTCCACCCCTCTCCTCATGCCCATCCCATACTATCTCCCACATGTAAAGTAGTGTTTGGGTATACAGCTACCAATAATATACGTAGATGAACGGTGCATTAATGAGATCCCTCAGTACAGAAGTCAACATGCCTTTGCTGGAACCAGCAGGCACCGACAGAGTATGTCGTGCGCGTGGGGAGCCTAAGCAGAGTTCCGTGTACGACTCCCCATATTACTGCACAGCATAAGCATGGGAGGTTGAGTTCAATTTAGAGGTACGCACTGCTCTGGGCTGTATCGGCCCTGTACGGAGCTTTGGTCCCTCCAGTGGTTTTGCCTTTATCCCAAAGCGTGCTATCAGCGCTTTCGCCACCTCGCCACCTGCAGCACGCTCCCCCTTGATCAACGCGTGCTCCGTCTGCATATACATCGATATCACGCTCGCGTCCGTCTGCTTCAGGTCCAGCCGTAGGTCGTTAATACCGGGCTGCGTCGTCAGAGAGATGCGCGAGCGGGGATAGATGTATGCGCGCGACCCCGAGTTGCCGAACGTCTGCACGAAAACGTGGGGAGGGCCGGATCCGCGCGTTGAGGATGGTGTGCCAGAGGATTGAGGCTTATATGGCGTGACCCAGAATTTACGGACGGAGCGCCCACTAGCGCCCAAGAGCATCGATATGAACAAAGAGCAGAAGCCGGTTTGTGCGGCGATCATGCCGAGGCGCTGCCATGTCGGACGGAGGACCCACTGGGGGGGTTCGGAGTCGGACGGTTCGCTGCTGCGTGGCTTCGGGTCTGGTTCAACGCGCATTGTCCAGTGTGTCCACGTCAATTCGGCGCCGACAACGCTACGCGTCGACGGGGAGCTGTTAGTTCAGACCCGAGGTAAAGGAAGCAGGAGACGCACGCAGTCACCACGCTAGCAAACATAAAAGGCCATGCAAAGCGCACGAGGAGCGGTGCTTTTGTCTGCTGGTAGAACGGGGTCCCGAGGCTTTTGACGTCGACCTTGTCGTGTTTCCGGACGAGGTCTCCCCAGGTGTTTCGAAGCTTATGTATGATTATAGTTGCTGCCATGTTGCTGTGTAAGATTCGCTCAGGAAGGTATAGACGCTATGTCGAAAGTAAAGATGCGTGAAGGGCAGGAGACGCGCCCTCGACGTGCAGAGCGGAGGAGTAGAGCGAGTACATCGCGGTCGCGGTGAAAGCGGCTGGACGGACCGCGCCGTCGGATTTCGGAACGTGCAAAGCCCCTATCCGAGGCTCCAAGTTGCGCGTTGGCAAGTCCAAAGTCCGACATCCTCTCTTTCCTTGCTTAATCTCACTTTGTTCACGCAACGAACTACGCCTGACACAGATGAATGGCTTTTTTCAAGGAATGTCTATGACAAACGCTCTAAACTCAGGGTTACATCATTCTATTGAGACTCGTTGACGTATCGAGTCTCAAAACGCCTAAGTTGTAGCACAATCACCGAATAACGACGCAGCGTTTCCGGTGAGGTTCACGTTCTGACACGTGAAGTTCGCGTTTCCGTAGGAAGTGGGCGGTCTGCGAAGTTTATCAGATAACTGTGACAGAAGTCAAACAGGTACGTACGCCAGGTTGAAGTTGTTCACAGTGATGTTCTCGCAGCGGCCATCGGGGGAGCACGCCAGGCTGGCAACGACGTTCTTCTCATTCCCGGAGGAGGTGCCACTCATGCTGAACACTGGTAAGCCGAGCACTTTGAATTGTGTGGTGTTCACTCACTTGGTGAACGTGATGTCTTGGATGTAGACGTTCGACGGATATGCGGTGCAGTTCGCCTCCGAGGTGAAGTAGCACTGGAATGACTGTCAGTCGTGATCGCCGTCGCTTAACTCGTATATGCTAACGCACCTGATCAATGACCACAGGACTGTCGACGTTGCTCTCCGTGAAGAAGCTGTATGTAACGTTCTTCACGATACCAGATCCCACACCTGGACCGGCGAAGGCTTTGATGCGGGCGCCGTTCTCCGCGTTGGCGATGTATACATTGCTGCGAAGAGTTAGCATTATAAGTATCAAGGAACCAGAACACTGCGACTGACGTGGAGGTAAAGTTTTCGACAATGTCGTATTCTCCTTCGTACTGTCCGAGGGAGCCCACCGAGATGCCGCTGACGATATCTCGTCAGCTATACCCTCCAGTTGCATCATCGCAGCACTTACTGGGACCCGTTGCAGCTGAGGTAGGAGGCAACGATATTCGTCGCATCTCCATGCTGTGTAAGCCGCTCTAACCCCATCTATTGCGAGAAATTCAGCTCACTAGGCTTTAAGGACACGCAGTCGTCGCCATTGTTGATGGTCGAGTTGATGATTGTGACGTTGTTGCTTCGGTAGATGTCCCATCCATCCGTGTTCTTAGCCGGGTTGCTCGAGGTCGAGACAGCGCTGATGTTGATACCGTTGTACAGGATGTTCTCGCCCTCGTTGACCTAGACATGGTCAGATTCCTGTGGAGATCTACAGAAAGAATCTGCTGTACGTACAAAATTGATCCATTCAGGTCCATTCAGCATGTTGATGTTCTCGACGCTTAGGTCCGTGGCTTGATAGACCGTCAATAGAATGGGCCGCAGAAGCGTGTCGTTTGAGGCGCTGGGAAATGAAGTCAATAACCAGCCATTCACTGCGTTCATTTGTGTGCCTTACAATGCATCGTACCATGCCTTTCAAAGTTAGTGAGTCTGTTATGAACCTCGCACAGGATCGTGAAACTCACCTGGCCATTTCCGTTGATAGTACCACCGCCGTAGAGACGGACATTTGTTCCCCCGAGAAGCCAAAACGCAATCTGCGTCTGGAAGTCGAAATAGAACCCGTTCTATGCGTGCTGTCAGACAGGCGTCTCGGAGCGGAGTTTCGAGAAACCCCCTACATTTATCCAGTACGTCATATTATTCGAAAATTCGACCGTTCCGAGCAGTTCCTGTAGATTGCGTGCAGCCATTTTACATTCAGTTCTACCACGTGTAACTGACAGCCACTCACGATGTCCGTGTTGGCAAGACCTGTCATGTTCATTCGGGAGGAGATCGAGAGCGTGGTGGCAGTGGGGATGGTCACCGTGGAACATTCTTGGGCAGCCTGCACAAACGTGGGGCCGTCATCGCCGCCGCTTGCTGTAAGCGTGCATGCCGCCGTGCTTGCTCGTTGTGAAGCCGACACAGCAAGCGGAGCTGCGAGCAGTGCAGCAAAACTAGCTAGTGAGTGCATCGCGCTTTGTGTTTGCTTCGGAGGGTTGCTGGAGATGACCAGGAAGGTGGTAGTCCACATTCCCCATAACGAGGTTCTTTTATGTGCATGTCGTCGCTGGGCGGGCCGCCACTGTTGGCGGCCCGGACTACTATAGCAAGGTCGAGGTCGGCTGCCAGGTATTGTGTGAGATGTGCTGGGAGTCGACGAGGGCTTTCGCTAATTTTGGGACTGAGAACGGGTCACATGTTTTACAGCACGAAAGCGTCCAAACGCCTCGCGTATTAGGATATCCCGGGCCACCTCTGGATTACATACCCGCTGTCACCGTGCTCGTGGCGCGACAGTGGCAGCGCTGCGGCTGTCATGCTTTGTAGCGTCATGCCGCCTTGGGTTAACCCTAGCCCTCCTGTTTTATGCGGAGATGAGTTGCATCCCGCGAGACGTCTGGTTCGACTCTGACCGTTTCACCGTTTTCTTCTTAGTGTTCCGCCGTTCCTGTGTTCTTCTTGGAAAGCATACGCACGCGGAACAGCCATGGGTGATCATCGCTCTTCTTTATCGAGGTAATTTGGAAGTAATGCGACGGTTCTGGAAATCGCCGAGTGGCTGGACGAGTAAGTTCACGTTGTTTAGCGTTTGCTGTAGGCTTCCTCTCTCGGGCAGTACATGAATGGACAAAGCTGTGCTTTTCATGTCCAAACCTCCCCCGACATGTCCTGGAAGCTGTCGACCTCTCCGCTCCCTCTACACGAAAATTAACGGCCTCGAAGCGTAGTTCCTATGTTCTTGTTATATCGGGCGCATTTTAGGTGCGTATAAAGTTACAGAGGGTCAAGTCGTCGTTTTGCATTCGCTGGCTCACCCTCGGAAAAAATATGACTACCGACCTCTTGCTCGCAGCGGTCGCCTTGATCCTTTCGGTCTTCTTCCTCGCCACCGTCATGGTCTCTTTTTCTATCCTAGTAGCCATCTTCCTCATCAAGTTTCTCCAGTCGGTTGGCGGTCCACAGATCGAGGTTCCTGAGATTGCCCGAGGTAAGTATTTCCTTGGCGTTCAGCAAACGTACTCAGCAGTTTTTCTCTGACGACCTTTGCAGATAGGCAAGCGAGGGAGTTTACATACCGCGCAGCAAGGCAGGCGCCTAAGCGGACTATTTCGGGATGTGTAGGTGATTGCCACTTATTGGCCGAGTTTTGGGGTACTGACCGTTCCGACAGAGCGCGCCTCGAGCCTGCTCAGTTCTCGGGTGATGGCGGAGTTGAAGACCATTCTTCGGAGCGCCGATGTGTCAAAGGGCAGCCGTAGAGCTGCCGGTGGCGCGACAGGAGCCGCACTGCAGAACCGAGACGGTCAAACAGCCTTCTCAACGTTCTTGCGCCGTCGGGGCTCAGAAGAAGCTCCAATCAGCACGCCATCGTCTTCGGGGCTGAATCTCCGCAACGTGCATCAAGACCGTGTGGCATTTTCCCCAGACCACGAGTTTTCCATCGCAGCTGTAATGCGGATCGAGGGAGGCATTGTCGAGATGCCCACCGTGATGCTGAGCGGGAAAGACAATTGCGGACCGAGTGCGTTTTGTGCTTTTTTATTAGCAACTTCCATCGCTGACTGGTTCGCGCTGCTCCAGCTAAACAAGTCACTTACACCTCGAGTTCTCCCTCTCGGGCCTCGGAGCATAATAAACTTGACGAGTACCTGCTTTCACCGTCACGATAGTAGGGCTGCGCTTGTCGAGCGGACATACGGTGCAATAAGTATGGACATCTCTCAACCCCGAATCACTATGATTTCTCCCTACATAGATGTCCGTTGACAGTTTTGTAAATTTCCCTGTACATGTTACCTGTGCTTAGTATCGTTGTATAATACGCTCGTTTAGAATTTCCATGAGCCGCAGCCATACGGAGAAGAAGTCGCGTAACTTGCGCATAGCTGGTCATAATTAGCAAATAAACGGTCTCGTACTGGTCTCGGAGATTGTGAAAGGGATCATGCCATCTCGCATTGTGGCGCAAAATATTTCCCCATGAAATGACCCATAGTGCACCGGTGGACAGTCTACTAGTTCATCAAGTGGCTTCTTTCTACATGTCAGTACTATAATTGCGTGAGGTCACATGTTGAACACGAAGGCGCTCACGTCGCGCGCCGCGAGGGTCCATTCATATTACTTCAAGGCCCGGTGTCAAAGAGCCGTTCGTGACTCGCGTCGACGATGGATTTTTGCAATATAACTCTTCATGTAGTGCACAAACTTCGATTGCTCTGGGCAGTGCAATACAGCAGCGTTCAGCGTGGCTTTCAGTGACAGCTGCATCATGGTTTAACCGTGGCGTTCGATACCGTATTTTTCCTCTAGTACTATGCGCGCAAAATCGCCTGCAAATTCTTGTGCTGTATGCCGAAGAAATGTCATGGCTCTGTTATTGTTCTGAATACACAGGAAATACCACTCACCTTAGCTCACAGAATGCACCCAAACTAAACCTAAGCTAATGTTAGGGAGGGTTTGCACTGCTGTGGCAGGCACCCTTCCGGGTGGCACGCCGCACGCTCTAATCTCCGACTGAAACCACTGTTTGCCTTGCCGTGTCCAACATCCTTCTCTGCCTCCACGATATGTTGGATGCTCCTACGTTCTCGGGGCTTTATGCGCGCTGGTGTTACTTTAAAAGAGCACCAATTCAATTGCTTACCTGCATCACCTGATTTCCCGCAAAAGTGAAGATGACGACCGACGTCTTGCTATCGGCTTTCGCCTTGGTTATCATTGCTCTTCTCCTCGCCCTCGTCTTCTTCCTTTCTCTCCTCGCAGCTGTTTTCCTCGCCTTCCAGTTTCTTCCGACGGCTGGCGGTCCGCTGATAAACTTCTCTCGGATCGGCCAAGGTAAGCCCTTCTCTCATGCCACCAGAACGAACCCAAGCCTTTTTCTCTAACGACCTTTGCAGATGGGCGACAGAGAGAATTTACACATGCACCACACCACGCCGCAAGGCAGGCGCCCAAACGGATCAACTCGGGATGTGCAGGTGATTGCCACTTATTGACCAAGTTTTGGGGTTCTGACCGTTTTTAAAGGGCGCACCTCGAGCCTGCTCGGTTCTCGGATGATGGCAGAAATGAAGACCATCCTTCGGAGCGTCGATGTGTCAAAAGGAGGCAACAGAGCTGCCGGCGGCGTCTCAGGAACCGCGCGGCCGAGCCGAGACGATCAAACCACCTTCTCAGCATTCTTGCGGCGCAGAAGCGCAGAAGAAGCGTCGACTGACGCGGCATGGCCTACGGGTCTGGGAAGCCGTAACATGCCGGGCCATGTGGCAGCTCACCAAGACCACGAATTTGCATGGGGGGCTGCCATGAGGATCGAGGGAGGGGTTGTCGAGATGCCCACCGTAATGCTACACGGGCGAGACAACTGCGGACCGAGTGCGTTTTTTTTCTTTGCTATTTTATGAGCAACATCCAATGCTGACTGATTCGTGCCGCTTCAGCTAAACAAGTCACTTACGCCTCACGTTCCCTCTCTCAGGCTTCAAAGCAGAATAAGCATGGAGATTACCTTCTTTCTCCATCGTGATAGTAGGTTGTTGACTGTTGACTGTCGGACAAACGACGTAACATCGGCGTCGCCCAACATCGAATGACTATCTCTCCCTATATAGACATCTACTGATCAGTTGTAAATTCACCATCTGTGCTTTACCTGTGCTTATAATCGTTGTATGAGACCACATTTATAGAAGTAATAGATCCTTGAGCAGCCATACGGAAAACAAGTCGCGTAGCTTGTGCACAGCTTGTGATAATTGGTCTCGGACTGTCTCGGGTTTACTTCGGAGATTATGAAAGGGCTCATCCCCAGTAAGAACTGGACATGCTCAAATCGAGTGTGATCTAGTGAAAAATAGGAATTTCTATTATTCTATTGTTTTCTAGTCGGATCAAGTGATGGCTAGTTACACCTAGGGAAATAGAGTTTGGGAGCTTCGGTGGCTTGAACGTGTTCCATGCGCGTCTAGTTTTGTCTAGTAGCAACTTACAAACTAGATCACACTATCATATCAAATCGATTTAATTACACAGCTAGATCACACTAAATAAACTTGTGTTGTAGGACACTGCAAACTCGTCTCCTTCAGTAGCGTATAAGCCGTTTACCTCGAGAATCTCTAAGTCCCCTCGTCCTTGCCCTCGTCTCAAGAAGTCAAGCTCAATTTAGAAAGCCCCTGTTGGGAGTTTGGACTTATACTTTTTCGCGCCTCTCTTCTGTGTCGCATCTTTCCCTCTCCCCTTTCCCCCACCCCTGCCCCTCTCCAGTTCCACTGTTGTGAGCTCATCTCTCCCCAAGGCTATTGCGATCTCCTCTGATGAGCTCATCTATCAGCATCACAGGCCACAAGCGTACGGTTGATGCTCAACTTGAGGTAATAGAAAAGGTGACAAGGAGTACGAACAAGAGGCGCGAAAAAGGTGAGTACCATCAGCAATATCATTGACAAATTGACAAGGATACTTTTACTATCTGAACCAGGGTAAGTAGTATTCGAGCAATGCATATCAAGATATCCACCAACACACGCATGTATGCATGTTTATAGGACGATACCATTACCCTCAAGACATCTCACCCCGATGGCCCTAACGTGTAAGTCGAGTACAATATGGCGGTCATGTTCTGAATGATAGTAGCTATGTTTACAATGATGTACCCCTATTTTGCAATGCATATTTTGCCCTAGAATGTGATCGAGTGCACATTTTTATCTCGTAATAAGCCATCTGAGTAAGCTATTGGAAACTAGATTATACTAATTTTGACTAGATACCATGCTCCAACCACAGGCCCAACTGATTTTTGCTATAGTTTTATCTAGAATTGTACCATTTTCTAGTTTGATCTAGTCTCAGCTAGTGTTCCCGAAAATGCTAGTCGTGACTGTATATTCCTAGATATGACTGAATCTGACTAAATATAAATAGATTTACCCTAGATCTCGCTGGTTTTGAGCATGTCCAGTTCTTACTGGGGCTCATCTCGCATTGTGGCGTAAGCATTTCCCCATGAAATGACTCAAAGTCACTCACTACTCACCTGCATACGCGCTTAAGCGCTTAAGCTGCCAAGATAGGTCCTTTCTCCGCGCTATTGGTACCTTTTGTGAGGGTGAATGGTGGACGTGCATGTCGACAAATAATTGAAGTCAAGGATGCATGATGCAATACATGATGCAATGTTCACGACTATGGCTCCCACTCGCATCCTTGATCGATAACTTTTAAATCCCTCCGAAGCAGATGCGTGAGACTACGTGGAACTATGGAACTCCAGGAACGATCTTTGTGTTTTCATCCGGCTGGGGCGGATGGGATAGAAGCCGGTGGCTTGGGGACGGTCGTCAAACATATGATAAGGCTTTCGATTGCAAAACCGTTGGGGCTGGATTAATTTTAGCTTGTTATCGCTTCGTCGCAGATTGAAAAGCCGTCCCTGGCAGCGGCAAGGGAACGCCATTTGCATCATATACGATAGTCTTCTGTAGGGCACTCTATCGCGGGCCGGAAGTAGCTGGGCGCAGCCACTTCACGGAAGAAAAGCTTCGATTGCCATGCTCCTAATATGGCAGCCAGATTGCTAGTCGCATTACTTCTTCCAGCGTCTTCCCCAAGAGTTGGAGGTTAGGAGCTGTTCCCTACGACGAGATATGTTTACCTGAAGACAAAAGGTTAAAGCACCTCCAGAGGCTGGAAGAGGTGTTTTCAAGAGGGGTTGTGGCCAAAGAACGGACGGACAATTGGCAAGGCGAGTCTAACGCAGTGAGCCCCTTGGGATGATGCACTGACCAAAGTATGGCATAAGGAATACAGCGGAGAACCCAAGGCATTCACTCAGACGTCATTCGAACCCCAAAGGAATTCACCGTACATATATACCTGCGTCCTCCCTCTGTGATGTCTGTCACGTCTCCCTCCGACAACCACCACCATGTCTCCAGTACCACCGTCGAACGGTCCTCCCCCAATCGACGCCGCCACCTCCCCCGCCACACCCACAATATCTCATCCGAAGCCCAACGGCGAGGGAGAGCCCGCAGACGCCAGCCTTCCGGACAACTATGTCACGTACCAGCTCAGCCGCCAGACACCCCTGCCTCCCATCACTTGGGGCAACTGGTACAAGGAGCTTAACCTACTCCACTTTGCTGTTCTTGGGCTCACCCCGCTCTTGGGCATCATTGGCGCGTTCACAGTCAGCTTGCGCTGGGAGACGGCGGTCTGGTCTGTCATCTACTACTTCATGACCGCAGTTGGTAAGCCGCCTGGCTTATATATGCCTTCATCTCCTTTATACCGTAATCCAGGCATTACCGCAGGATACCATCGACTCTGGGCTCATCGTTCCTATAATGCATCGAAGCCTCTCCAGTATTTCCTTTCCATTCTTGGTGCGGGTGCCGTTCAGGGCTCCATCAGGTGGTGGGCGCGCGGACATCGCGCCCACCATCGGTATACCGACACCGACCTCGATCCTTATAGCGCACACAGGGGCCTTCTCTGGTCGCACATCGGCTGGATGGTTTTCAAGCCTCGTCGCAATCCCGGTGTCGCCGACATTAGCGACTTGTCCAAGAACGAGATTGTCAGGTGGCAACACCGCCATTACCTCCAGCTTGTCGTTCTCATGGGCTACATATTCCCCACTGTTGTCGCTGGCTTGGGGTGGGGTGACTGGAAGGGTGGTTACGTCTATGCTGGTCTTCTGAGACTGTTTTTTGTCCATCAGGTGAGTGTTGCCGAATCTTTTCAAGGTTTCGCCACTTAGACGTCCTGAACCTAGTCTACGTTTTGTGTCAACTCTCTCGCGCATTACCTTGGAGATGCCCCTTTCGACGACAAACACACTCCGCGGGACCATCTCATCACTGCGCTGTGCACCGTTGGTGAAGGTTACCACAACTTTCATCATCAGTTTCCTATGGACTACCGCAACGCCATCAAGTGGTATCAGTATGATCCCACCAAGTGGACGATATGGGTTACGAGCAAGTTGGGTTTGTCATCTCACTTGAAGGTGCGTCTATGTCGGACCACCAGTTACCCATGCTAATTTTACTTTAAGGTGTTTCCTGACAACGAGGTTCGCAAGGGTCAGCTTACCATGCAGCTTAAGAACCTCCGCGAAGTGCAAGAGAAGCTGAGCTGGCCTTCGGATAACAGCCATCTCCCTGTTATTTCTTGGGAAAGCTGTAAGCTGCTCCTCCATAATAGCCCTACGTAAATATTGACTTTGCTTAAGACCTGCAGCAAGCCCAGTCACGGCCACTGATTTGCATCGCCGGGTTTATTCATGATGTCGAGGACTTCCTGGACCAGCACCCAGGCGGTCGTCACTTGCTCACGAAATACATCGGCCGAGACGCCACTACTGCCTTCTTTGGAGGTGTTTACGAGCATAGCAATGCTGCACACAACGCGAGTTTCCTTTCCGTACATTATACGTGTGGTCTAACTTCTCCTATTAGCTGCTCTCCATGAAGCGTGTTGGAGTCTTACACGGTGGAGCCCCTCATGGACTGGAGGACAAGGCTATCCCTCCAAGTCAACGTCTCAGGATCGCTCGTTACAACGAAATGAGTGGAAGTGGTTACAGTTCCGGTGCTCTCTCAGACGGTGATGGTTTTATGGCGTAAGGACCGAGTTCACAATGATTGTTTTCACGGACATTGGTGCTTCGCGGAGGGTGTTTATGAGTTCTTCTTTTAGGTTAATACATAGACTAATCGATATGATGAACAAAGAACCCTACTTGCATTGTAACTTCACCTTGCCTATGATAGATACTACGCCCGCAATAAAAGCTGATCCGACACGCGTAAATCGGAGCGTGGTGTACTCCTGTACTTCTTCGATCGTTCGGTCATCGATTCATCCCTTGTCGTACAGACCTGGCAAGCTAACGATTCAGGATGAGAACATCTACGAGGACAGGTTTATAGTAGGCGCTGAAGCGCTGAAGCATCTGAGTATCTTGGGACTGCCAGAGGAGAAGCCGATGTAATGGGATGAAGAAGAGCGTGGATAGTCATGAGAAACTTGATTGAACGCCCGCCCGCGCTTGGCGCTGGCATGAGTTGACGATGATCCAGACAAATTATTCTGCCCCGCACTCGGACCTTTATCCCCACCTGCGACTCGACCTTGATAGCTTCACTTAGTAACCCGCCATGTCCTCCTACGAGGAAGCCTGGCTCACCGGTCCCCAATCCACCAACTTCTACACGCGTACATACCGCCCCGAAGGCCCGCTGAAAGCCGCCGTCGTCTTCGTGCATGGCTTCATTGAACACATCGCGCGGTACGAGCACGTTCTCCCCGTGTGGACTGCCCGCGGCATCGCGGTCTTCGCATTCGACCTGCGCGGTTTCGGGCGCACAGCACTGGGCGAGAAGGACAAGCGGAGCAAGGACAGCGCGTATGGGAAGACGAGCTGGAGGGAGCAGATGGAGGATGTCGAATGGGCAGTGAGACACACGCAGGAGGCGTTCAAGGAGGGGAATGTGCCGGTGTTTCTGTATGGGCATTCTATGGTGCGTTTCGGAGTCGAGTGTCAGGCTTTTGTCGGGGCACACGGCTCATCTTGGAAGGTGGTAGGGAGGAGGTCTGGCTCTGGCTTTCGCGACTAGGTCGAGTGCTCCGCCAACGCAGGAGGCGGTTGGCTTGCTGTCTGGCGTCATAGGCAGCAGCCCGCTCGTTATCCAGACGAAACCCGCTTCAAAGGTGGCCAGATGGATAGGCGGGAAGGCTAGCACGCTCTCGCCGAACATGAACATTCCCGCCGAGGTCAAGCCTCAGGTGAGCGTCTACCTCTATACGACGAAACTAAACGTTCCTTGACCTTGTCTTACCAAACAGGCCCTCTCCCATGATCCAGAAGTCGGAAAGGCCTTCATGAAAGACCCCTTCGTCAAGCAGACTGGGTCGCTTCGCGGCATCTCCGATATGTTGGACGGCGTGAGTGCCTCCTTGGGCACAGGACGTTTACATTCCTTTGACACTATCGACTGCGCTACAGGGGGAACAACTGCTCGCCAAAGATTACGAAAGGTGGCCTCCCGGTCTCCCGGTACGTTAATGCCTCCCTGACATAAACGCCTTTCGCCTGACAGACTGCTGCCAAGTTATTGATAGTTCACGGTACCGAAGATCAGGTACGAAGAACAATATTTCTAAGCGTTCACTTGGATCTCCCGATGTTCTACCGATGTAACAGACCCTCCTTTGTAGGTCACCTCGTGTAAGTCAAGCAAGGAGTTCCTCGACAAAGTACCAGCAGAGGATAAAACCTTCATACCGTTTGAGGTGAGCACTGCTTTTCAGGTCCGTTCACCTTGACGATGTCGCATGTTGATCACGCTTGGGTCCAGGGTGCATACCACGAGGTCCACAATGAGACCCAGGACATGCGGGAGCCGTTCATCGAGGCATGCATCTCCTGGGTGGAGCGACATCTGGAGCAGAAGCTGGTGGCGTCGAGGCTGTGAACCAGGGCTTTGGGTAGCCCACACAGGAAGGAACACAACGCTGGGGACGGCCGACATCCACGGAAGAAAGCCTGAAGACGCCTTTTTCACATGTCTATATGTACAACTATGAATCCAAGATTAATAAGAACGTTAGCTTTCTCTCGCTCTTCTCTGACGCAGATCTCACGTAGCTTGAGGTTGGATCGTCACGGTAGAATGCTGTACTCAAACTGTACTTGTCCTTGACGGCTTCCTTTTCATGTGGTTTTCCCCTGATTTCTTGCCAGGTTTTACTCTCCGAATTATGCTTTCTCTTTGTGACATAGTTGGTACGATTTATCCATGGCCAACGCCTACATCCGACAACAAATAGCTGCCACGCGTAGTCGACCAGTATAAGGCTCTCACACAAACATTGGTTTTCACTTTTAAATACACCTGTTACCTATAACTGACGACACCAGTTACGTCAGTGCTGGTGTACCGCGGTATATTTCAGTACACAACACTTATTTGACAACAGTTTTCTCTGTCTCCTCGATGGCTTCACAGTAACCCACCATGTCTGCTTTCGAAGAAACCTGGCTCACCGGTCCTGAATCCACCAATTTCTACACGCGCACCTACCACCCCAAAGACCCACCAGTGAAAGCTGCCGTCGTCTTTGTGCACGGTTTCGTTGAGCATATCGCGCGATACGAGCACGTATTCCCCGTCTGGGCTGCCCGTGGCATCGCAGTCTTCGCGTACGATCAGCGCGGTTTCGGGCGCACGGCGCTGGGCGAAGAGTACATCAGGAAAAATCTGAGTGGCTACACGACCCGATGTAGGCTGTGTAGGAGACATAGGGCGGTGGTCACTCCCCTTTCATGTAGTTATACGTAGACACGCGGTGTGGTTCTGTAGCACAACATGATAGGGGTGCACGTGATGTAGTGACGTGTAATACTGGTAGTGCGTGTCAGAAATTGTCACCATAGGCTTTCGTACGTCTTAGTTGTAGATGGTACTATTTCCACAATGAGCTCAATCGTGCATACAGATGAGAAAACGAGAAAATATATTGGCAGGAAATGTATCTAATTAGTTTGACTCTAAATCCAGAAGCATGTCGGCTTTTGCTGTAGCGAACACGGCAGGGTTGTTGATGGGCTGAGGAGCGCGAGATCGAGTGGCGATTCCAGCATGGGAACTACACACCGTCAGCAAATTGAAAGTTGAAACAGAAATCCATCAAAAACGACGTACCTCCCGATTTGATGGACGCGCTGCATGAACTTGGTCAGCACCTGGTCAGCATTGTCACCTTGGCCTTCGAAGTCGTCGAGGTTCTTGAGGTGGGTCTCAAAAACGGCGCGGTAATCCATCTCCGAGAAGGAGACCCGATGGAAGCTGCCGCTCTGCCACTCGTCAATAGCACACTCGATCTAGCCAAGGAAATGATTTTAATAAGAACGCTTCAAGAGAGAAAGAGAATAAACGCACGGCAGAAAGAACTAACGCAAACCCAGGCTTCGGGAATGTGGTGAAAAACTCCTCCCACTTGACGGCCGTTGCTTTCTTCCCCTTATAGAAAATGTCGTTGATCAGCTGTTGGATGATCTTTGCTAGGAACATGCCGCGGTGTTCCTCTGGAGTGTTACCGCGCACCTAGGAGCAGATATCAGAGCTGTGGTTGCAAAAAGAAGGTTGTCACGTACACGGTACACAAAAGATGAGTCTTTCTTGAGATCTTCGACGAGCTTTCGGTTGGCAGCCTGTGCGTCCTCGTCTACAGTGTCTTCGAAACCAAAGGCTGACGCGACCAAGGGACGAGCCTTTGTCTTCAACTCACCCCGTAGATGGCTTGTACGATCTGTAATCTAGCGAGAAAGCCCGTGCATAGTGAGTGATCAACACGCAGATTAAGATCAGGAGACATACCAGCTTTCTCAGCTCTGCTGTCAGACGAATATCATGCTCGTAGTGGTCGCATGCCTTCTTCCATGCCTTATCGGACCATGAGTATTCTTGGAAAGAGGTGGGGAAAGCATGCCCATTGCACATGAGCGCATAGAAGACATGGATGGCGGCAAAGATGAGTTGCTGAACATCGGATGGGAAATCGCGAGCCTTGGGGCGTCGGCGAGTGTGGTCACCGCTGGAGGATATATCACCAGCGTCATCGGTAGTGTTGATCTCACCATCGGATGTATATTCCATGAGTAAGTCGTCGTCATCATTGGTAGGGTCATCCACCTCGAGATCGTGACGTAGGCGCTTGTTCGTAAAGAAGTTGTCGTCGTCATCCAACTCAATGTCATCCGACGGGCGGGCTGAACGCTTGGCTCCAGCATGTGTGAAAACGTTGTTGTCGTCTTCGTCGCCCTGATCGAAATGTTCGTTGGCTGATAGCAAGCGTGAGCTTGGATAGTGCTCCAGAGTATAAGTGACTCACAGCTTGGGGTGTTGGTGCGTTCGCGGATCAACTGCTGCACCTTGTCGGGTGTCAGCCGCCTTGAGGGACTTTGACGCAGTGAGGGGCCATGGCGGTGACGAGGTGCTTGGGTACTAGGGGGTACAGCGGTTGCACGCGGAATAAGCTGGAGTGGATATCCTCGTTCCTGCGCATTCGACCGCAGTGTTTCAACGACGGTGGCATTGAACTATACAAAATGCCAACTGGTGAGTAGTCATCACACCAGTGAAGCAACAACGATTGGCTTACCAGATCATCGGCGCGAGCAGGGGACTGAACACTCCTGGTGGCTGCATGTTTGGTTTTTGTGGTGCCAGATGCTGCCGATGGCGATATCAGTGATGATCAGCGGATAAAAACGTAGATTACCTTGGGTAGACGCACCAGATTTCTGCGCCTTCTTTGCATCACGCACCATCCGTGTTTGGTTGCGGATTATGTCTTGCTGGCGACGTTGGGCATCCTTCTCCGCAGCGTGGGCAGCTGTTGAGCTCATCACTCAGCAGAAGCAGTGTGCGAGTTAAGGGGAAGGGATTACCATTCTGCTTGACCTTGTCAGAGAGTCTGACGGGACGCTTGTTGCCAGAGCGCGGGAGAACTGTGTCAGAGGGCATTGGTGAAGAGCTGGGATAGGGTGGATGACCGTTAGGAGTGGGCGTTGTGGGAGATGACGAGCGAGCTGGGTGAGGGAGAGGCGAGAAAGTACTGCACCTTTATACTGTGCTCGGAGGGGGGATCCATGGGTATATATATCTGTTTGGCGAAATCAACAAGCATGAATGGGTTGATAAACAAAACAAGAACGCGTAAACGCGTCCCAGCACGGGATCGTGTTGGCTGATCATGGTTAGGAAGAAGAGGGACAAAAAGGAAGGAATCGGGTTGTCGGAGTCTAGCGCTAGCCACATGTGGCAGTGCAGATTCTGATTGGACTCCTTAGTTGCTGGCGTTACGACCACTGCACGTCTCCTACCCAGATCAGCACCCCTAGTCAACTATCCCAATGCCCAATGCAGATCTGTGACAATCCTCAGTGTAAACGACCATTCAAAAGTGAAGCCAACCTGAAACGACACCGCGCGCAAACACCAGCATGTCAACAAGCATGGTACCTCAAACTGCATACTCAACCAACCGACTCCGGGTCCGAGGTGGCTGTTAGCTTGAGCATTTCGCAGAAGCAGAGCAGCTGCGCCGCCGCCAGTGCTGGCCCCTCACTTGTATCACCTCTGCTGGACGACGACGTTGATGACGCCATGGACAATGTTGCGTCAACCTTTGTGCTTGCTCAAAACAAGCCACCCGACCAAGATCCTGAGCTCCGTCAGGCAAAACGAGCACGCATCGACGAGGAAGATGAAGACGAACCGCTGATTAGTCCAGACCTGAGGTACATCGAAGAGTTTCACGGAGAGCACGCCTCTACATATGGGACGGCCCCTACCCCTTTCGAACTGCTGCAAGAGAAACAGAACCGCGATGGCTTGAGCATGTACGCACCATTTGCGGACAAGGAGGAGTGGGATCTCTCTTGTTGGCTGCTTGAGAGCGTGACAAAGACGGCTGCCGATAAGTTTCTGAAGCTTGATATTGTGAGTTGGTTTGTCAGAGCTGCAACAATCTGACGCTTACCGCCAACATAACTAGACCAAGTCACGCGTACAACCATCGTTTGGCAGTGCCCATACCTGGATGAAACACATTGATCAGCTGCCCACTGGTCCGGAGTGGAAGTGCGTGCGTATCTCTGCTGACGCAACCAATGTTCAAGTCGTATCTGAGGAAGATGAAGACGAGGATGACGAGGTGTTCGAGTTATGGATGCGTGATCCCGTTGACGCTGTCCAAGAGCTCATCGGGAACCCAGCACTAAAGGAGCACATTGCCTACGCACCTGAACGAGTCTATGCCGATGCGGAGGGGAAGGAGAGAAGGTTTGATGAGATGTGGACAGCGGATTGGTGGTGGCAAACTCAGGTCAGTTTCCATCGACGTCCAATTCCATTGCTGTACTCACCCCAGGCAAAGGAGAAGATCCCCACTGGTGGCACAGTTGCCAGCGTCATCCTCTCCACCGACAAGACACAGTTGTCGCAGTTCCGGGGGGACAAAGTAGCATATCCTGTTTACCTAACGCTAGGCAACATCGCGAAGGGAATACGCCGTCAACCCTCTAAGCATGCGTCAATCCTAATCGGATACCTACCTGTATCAAAGCTCGAGTCCTTTGACAATCCATCTACGACAGCTTACCGCTTGTTTCACTTCAGTATGCGACACATCCTCCGCTCCATGGCTGATGCTGGACGAAACGGAGTCTACATGACTTGTGCAGATGGCTACATTCGTCGTGTCTTCCCCATTCTGGCAGCATATATCGCCGACCACCCGGAGCAGTGCCTTGTTGCGTGCTGTAAGCAGAACCGGTGCCCTAGGTGTCTTGTCGGCCGCGATGAGCGAGGAGACTTGAAGAAATCAGCAAAGCGTCAGCCAAACCACACTCTTGAGACACTCGGTGCCCAACAGGACGGACTCTATCCCCCTAGCTTCCTCACTCAAGGGCTGCAAGAAGTATACGCACCTTTCTGGTCTGATCTTCCCTACTCCGACATCTTCTCCTGCATCTCCTCGGATATCCTTCACCAGTTGCACCAAGGCGTCTTCAAAGACCACCTGCTGAAGTGGTGTACAAAGCTCGTGAGGGGTGGAGGGGACAATTTTGACAGACGCTTCCAAGCTATGCCCATTTACTCGGGGCTCCGGCATTTTACTAAAGGGATCTCGCATATCAGCCAATGGACCGCAGGTGAACATAAGCACGTACAGCGAGTCTTCGTCGCGGCGTTGGCTGGTTCTCAGGATGATGGTCGAGTGGTAACAGCTGCTCGGGCGCTTCTCGACTTCATCACGCTCGCACAGTACCATTCCCACACTACGGCCACCCTTGAACGCATGCGAACTGCTCTCAAGATATTCCACCGTAACAAATCCGCGTTTATTGAGCTCGAAGCCCGCGTTCCCGATCACTTCAATATTTCTAAGCTCCACTCTCTCTTGCACTACATCGAAACAATCATGGCTCTCGGCTCTCTTGACGGTCTGAATAGTGAGCACACAGAGCGCCTTCATATCGATTTTGCCAAGCAAGCCTATCGTGGGACCAATCACAAAGATTACGTTGTTCAGATGACCCTCTGGCTTCAACGCCGTGAGGCCACTGCTCTACGGGAATCGTACCTCTCTTGGCGCGCCTGCATGCACGACAACTGCAAACCCCCATCCGAGCCGAGCCTTGTCGAAGAAGGGTTGTCGGACTCTGATGAAGCGCCAATCTATTCGGGTGCGCCGTGGATTGCCAAAAAATCTCCGCACCCTCGTGTCTCTGTTTCGGCACTTGAAGAGTCCTATGGGGCTAGCGGATTCGTGGATTCACTCACCTTGTTTCTTCAAGAAGAAGGCTTGCTCCGCCCCGGCTTTCATCCGAACCCGCATGACCGCTTCGACGTCTATAACAGCACCAGTCTCTACATGCCTCCAGACGTCCACCTCAATCCCAACAGCCTTCGCATATCTGTGAAGGCAACTGCACAGCGTTCCAACGGGACACGGAAGGCCGAGTCGCCAGCAAGGTGGGATACTATTTTATTTGAGACGGATCCAGTCGCGCGTCGTGAGAAGGGCGGCCTGAACGGTAAGCGTTGCTGTTGGGTCAACATCATTATTCTTACTCTGCTGTTTTAGGTTTACAAGTGGCTGAACTGCACGTTGTTTTTCGATTGCCCGACCACTTGATTTCTCCGTCCAAGGATCCGGGTCCGCTTGCATACGTACATCTGTTCCGTAAACTGGGTGCCCTGGATCCAGAGACGGGAATGTATAGGCTTGTTCGGGCCACTCGACAACTGATGCCCCGTGCATTGATCATTCCTCTATCTAAGATTGTTAGACCATGTCATATTAGCCCACGGTTTGGGCAGGGCAGAGTTCCGAGTTCGTGGCTCAAGGGGAAATCTATCGAACGAGCGGAGGAATTCCTGTTGAATAAGTATATAGACACTGCTATGTTTGAAGCGTACAATATTCCATTACAGTGATAACAGTACGTGCACAAATTGAAATGACATTGCTAGGTGTAAAGAGGGGCCGCAAGAATGTACAGCACTGATGAAGGTACGAATGATGGATCCACTGGCTCCGCGCATGGCCACACTTGTACCACTTGTTTATCGGAAACAAGAAGGTGCGTTTCCCGAGCTGCTTTGAGTACACCATCACCACGCTGAGCGTCTGGTTCGTGACGGTGAGCCCCACGAGCGCGACAGTGTCGGCGTACTGCGCGCGCTTGACGGTCATGCCGCTGCTGTAAGTGAGCGTGAAGTTCTGGCCGGTGGGCAAGGGGGAAGAGGCCTGGGTGGGGTTGGATATGAGGTATCCGGAGCAGGTGGTGCTGCAGTTGGGACCGAAAACATGTTGCTGCTGCCTATGTCGAAAAGGGCTGGAAAGCCGTGCGTTAGAGTCAGTATGAGCGCGCAGTAGAAGCGAGTGAAGACGCACCAAAGTACGTCTGAGCGGACGTCCCGACCGACATGTTCCCGTACCCCAGCGGGTTCGTCATGTCCGTCATGTCAAAGGGATGGAGACGCTCTGGCCTCCGTTGCACTGCTTGGCAGCGATTCGCGCGGACGCGGCCATGATGGAGTCGTCGCCCACAGAGGACGACGAGGTCATGCAGTACCGCGAGGGACTGCGGCGTGATGCAGTACACGGGTGAGAGGGACGTGGCGGGAGCTGGGGGGCATTTGCAAACAGGCGCGACGATGAGGAAAATGGGTGGAGGGAGGGTGGTTGCAGGCGCACGCGGAGACAAGGTCGTCAGCATCCGTCACTAAAGGCACTCAAATGAACTGACACAGAGAGCTACGTACCAGGTTCAAGTTAGCAGCGCTTCATGCATGAACGTTTGAACGTTGCATACGAACGCGAATAGTGGTGGATGGAGAAACAAGCTGGGACACGAGCAACAGACTTGCACGAACTCGCGGCAAGTTACTTTTCTCACGCGTCTGGCCTGCGACGTCAGCGGATGTCATGGAACCAGATTAACGTCGGCTACGTTGTACTACAGCGCACACCCTTTAATACCAATACTACGCAGCCAATGTCACACTATGTTATAAACCTCAAACTATGGGTGAAATCCACTTTTCCTGATGTACAAGCGAAGCAAGGACAGCGCGTATGGGAAGACGAGCTGGAGGGAGCAGATGGAGGATGTCGAGTGGGCTGTGAGGCATACGCGGGAGGTGTTCAAACAGGGCGACGTGCCGGTGTTCTTGTACGGACAGTCAATGGTGCGTCTAACGTCTTGATGGATGTCAGATCATTTGGCTTATTCCGAATGATTATAGGGAGGAGGTCTAGCTCTGGCGTTAGCGACTAGGCCGAGTGCTCCACCAGCTCAGGAGGCAGTTGGCTTGCTGTCTGGCGTCATAGCCAGCAGCCCACTCGTTACCCAGACGAAGCCCGCTTCAAAGGTGGCCAGGTGGATAGGTGGTAGGGCTAGCATGTTCTCGCCAAATATGAACATTCCCGCAGAGATTAATCCTGAGGTAAGGACCTATCTGCATGCACTCAAATTGAACATTCTCGACCCTCTCCTACTGTAACAGCATCTGTCCCGTGATCCCGAGGTCGGAAAGGCCACCCTGAAGGATCCCCTGATCAAACAGATTGGGTCGATACGCGGCATCTCAGACATGCTGGACGGTGTAAGTGGTTTCTTGGACATCACGGTCGCTTGTATTGTGATAAGACTAACATCCATACTACAGGGAGAACAGTTGCTCGCCAAAGACTACGAGCGGTGGCCTCCCGGTCTTCCGGTGCGTTGGCGGCCTTCTGGTATCATCGCCTTGCACCTTACTGACTGCTGTAAAGTTATTGGTAGTTCACGGTACTGAGGACCAGGTACGATGAACATTCTCTGATCATTCCATACACTCACAAATGCTCTGTCGAAATGACAACCTCTCCGCCCTAGGTCACGTCACCTAGGGCAAGTGAGGAGTTCTTCAACAAAGTACCGGCAGAAGATAAAACCTACATACCCTTTGAGGTGAGCGCTGAAGCGCTGATATTTCGGTCGTACATCCGACGACATCGTGCGCTGATAACGTCTGGGTACAGGGTGCATACCATGAGGTCCATAACGAGATCCAGAACACGCGGGAGCAGCTGGTTGAGGCGTGCATTTCCTGGGTGGAGCGCCATCTGGAGCAGAAGCCAGTGGAGTCTATGTTGTGAACCAGGGCTATGGATATCCCACTGTAACACAGGAAGAAATGGACTATAATAATGACGGCGGTCGACAATCATGGAAGAAAGTTTGAAGAATCCTTTTTTCGCATGCCTATGCACTAAATATGAGTCCAACTTTATGAAAACGTTACCTTTCTCTTATTCTGCCCGTGTACATGAGACCATGCCAGATTCAGCTGAAAATGCACCCCACGGTCTCGTCTGGTCTCTTTAGCTCCTATCAACCTCACGACAACACACTAGCTTTCAGTAGCTGCTCTCGTTCGTTAGTGGGTCTTGCACCATGTCCTTACGGCGGTCTAGAGGCTGATGCGGCTTGTGAGTGACCTATATCTATTACTAATCACGTTATAAACTGATTCCCTCTGCGCCAACGTCAACTTCTCAACTCAAAGGACAGCTATGGGACCAGTCAAAGGGAAGTACTGTGATCACTGCGCACCAGACGGACTCGTGTGTATTGAAGATTCATTCATGATATCACCCCATACTTTAATGCACTCGCAGTGGCAGATCTTGATCACCTGTTTCAACCTCCCGTATTAATCTGCGATTGTCCAGTTCTTATTGAGTCATGCTCGTGTTAATGACCCCATGGGCAGTATATTATCTTGTTAGAAATTCTATATATCTTGAACTCGCATTCCATGCTTCTGTTACATCTGTTATAAATTGTAATCATCACACAGAGACTATCGAGCATGGCAGGCTGCCCGCGTAAGAATACATATTTTCCATGGTTAGCTGGCTTTGATTCGTCAATTTCTTCCCGTCTGACTTATGTAGATTCATAGCCACTATTCATCTGTAGCAAAGCTGAGCTATTCTCAACAGCATGGTGTGTATACGTATGCTTCACGTTAGCACTGTTCTCTTCTCCTGTGTTCCAACTCATAACTGCTTCTATCTAGCCTGATTATATTGGACTGTTCATCTTGAAAATGAAGAGACGATATCCTTGTGTTTGTACTCAGCAATGCCGCACGCTCGGCACTAGCCAAGGAAAGCTGCAAGCGTGAGGCAAGGAGAGGGTGGAAGTTGGCCTGATAGCTATGGCAAAATTTGTGAAACGTAAAGTAAGACAGAGACAAAAGAATAAAACGCACGTATCAAAGGCACTAATAGCAACTCCCTGTTCAACGGTACTTAGCACAATTAAAAGTAACAAACAATGAACACACACAGGAATGGAGGATGTGACCATATTTGCGATTGAGAGGACTTCATTTATCACAGAATGAGGTGCAAGGACACGAATCAAGTACAGATACTTACGGATTATGCAGAAGCAGTAGAGAACTCCATCGTGCATCAAAGCTCTAAGAAGGCCGGCGCGCGGCCGATCCTGGACAGCACGTACTGCAATCAAAACTAGTATTACTGCGCATGCGTCAGCTGAGGTTAGAGCCAGCTTATATGTTGTGAGAGACGGTGCCCTCTAACCTGATTCAATAATAATAAGCATGATGAATGCGCTTGATACAAGGCTAGAATCAGACTTGACAATCATGCATCCTGGGGTGTTTGCACTGATGGACGATACCGCGACTAATCAAGAGCCGCATCAGGACCCGCACATGAAAACCATAATATTAACACTTGCATTCTATAGTAGGGATGTATATGGCCACAAGGATGGTAACCGGCACAAGCCCCATCTGAGTGCATTGTCAACTTAGTAAGATATGCCCGTATGATTCTGTAGGTTCACGCACCAAGACCAAACACCACATAATAAACCAAATGCTTGGTCGGCATTGCCACATGAAGTACGTGCGCACTAGAAATAGACCTAGATCACAGCATATTCAACGGCAGAATAGAGTCCGGGGTAAAATTTCCTACACTCTGCACACAGCAGTGAAAGCATTTGGGTAGCTGCAGACACTATAAGGGCCGCGCAAGCAATATACTTGGGAGGAATTCATACATGTATAAGCACGAAATATTGAACGGCATGTCTAATGGGCGAGGTCAATCAACGACTTGTTCATGCTGTATTTATCTCTACTTACCTCAATACTGAGGTTAGGAAGGAACATGACTAGTGGGCAACATTAAGAAAACTCTTCATTGTCACAAATGGGAAACCTACAAAGAAGTTGGGCGACTGTCGAGAAGAAGGGAAGATATCGTGTTATGACATAAAAAACCTTGCCGGGACCCATTTTACGACTGGTCCATACAAAATCAATCTGGAAAAGGAAAAAATTAAACCTCACGGGTGATATCCATGAACTGAAACGCACATCCTCAGAAAAAGTGAGAATATAATTATACACCTGAAGATCTCATGAGTGAGCATGTTTGAACTAGTAGAAGGGTGTGGATCCATCGATGCGCACCAGCACAGAAGTGACGGAGACTGGGTTAGCTGTAAGAAAACATGCTGGACAAGGAATTGTAAATGATATCTTACCGTTCATGTACTAGATGTTCGGAGAATATTAATGTAGGTTGTAAACTTTCCTTGCATAGAAAAGTACGGTTGGTGGCGAACAAAGGACTCACATTGCTCAACCGCATACTTTCGGCTAAAATAACCGTTTGCTCCATCACAAGGTCCTGTTCATACGGAGTAACTTATCGAGTCTCGTAAAGTGATGGAATGGAAAACAAGTAGGTGTAGCCGAGCTCTTGGGACCTAAAAGGAAGGACTGGTGAACAGCTTATCGCGCTGGTCTGCCCCCGGTTCTTTAACTGTGACAAATGTTGCGATGTATCCTGTACCGCTAGCGGTTTGGTTACACGGGCGGGTTTCAGGTATCTTTGGATGACCTGGTGCCTCGTGCAGGGATAATAGTAGACAAAAACAGACAACCGCTTGGCCGAGTCACCTCGTGACTGAATACGCCGGCATGCAAGCGTGCAAGTACACCACTTTGTTTGTAAAATAGCACTGGAGCTGTGAACGGTCAAGAGAATAGCGGGCAAGAGTATCTGATATCCTGGTAGAAAGCTATTCTCATTTTGCCATCAAATGACGCTCGCTGTGCGCTTGCGGAGTAGATTGAAACACACGCATGCTCACAGTCTACATGCTCCGTTGATGCCTTCGGAATGCTGCGAGTAATCCAATTTCTGGTGTTTCCATGTCATCATCAGTCAGCCTGACATATCATGCATATGTACCAGCTTGTCTGTCTAGCGTTCATACAGTAATCGCTCCAAGTGTGCTTGTTGCGATATCAATTAGGCGTATCTTTAACATTTACTCGTTTTCTCATTTTTGGTGGAGAACTGAATGTTAGATTGAGTATCCGTTATCGTGCTTTGACATCAGACGGAGCGGAGTGGAGGATTCTGTCTTGTACCTCCGATAAATAATACATGTTCTATCAAAAGCTATGCTCTCACCCCCACCAGTTAGTGGGCTACTTTGGGCTGGTATGCACCGATCTATGGCGGCGCGCCAGTGCAGTGCATTGACAACATGACACAAGTCACACTGCCAGTAATTGCCTGCAACACTATTGGTTTATAGAAGTAGGAAGTTGAGTACGCAAAGGCAGAAATATCAATGACCACATAGTCGTGGTGCAGTAAGAAATCTCGACCGGCGGCTGGATCAGGCGCGGACGAAGAGCCAACGAATCGGTAGTGCTGAGTTCGGCGGAAAAGCCACATCATGCCCTACAGTCTCATTAAAATCGTATGTAGCAGATGCTTTGCTAAAAAATCACACACGAGTCTTCTCTGCAATGCCCTTCCACAATTATGTTCCTCGAGCCTTTGGGCTTAAACCATACCAGTAGCAAGCATGTGCAGCGATGAGAACACTTATATAGCATCTTGATATTATCTATCTCGTCGAGGAAGGTTCTATGCCCACTGAATACACCGTGACAACATCGGGACGCGATTTCCTAAGTCCGACATCCCCCCTTCCAATATAGGCGTTCAGAAGGTCAGGTCACCTGGCTAGCTGCAGCAATTATAAACTTGAAGCTGTCTCGGCTCAAATTTGAGCATCAGGCTGCGACCCTCATGATGGCTTCCCTCCGCGTTGCCAACGCTCCCTTCAACGCCTCTGGTGCCGACATCGTCTTTCGCACTTCTGATGATGTAGATTTCAAGCTCCACCGTGTCATCCTCGCGATGGCTTCTACCGTGTTCAAGGACATGCTAGGTCTTCCCCAACCCCCTTCCAGTAACAAATCACTCCCAGTCGTCCCAGTCTCTGAGAGCAGCAGCGTTCTGAAGCCGCTGCTCTTGTTCTGCTATCCTACAGCGCCGCCAGATATCGATACACTCAATGATGCTCGCCTTATCCTTGATGCCGCTGTCAAGTACGACATAACCTGCGTGCAGAAAGCAATGGCCGTCCACGTCAGTTCCCAGCGCTTCATGGAAGACAACCCTGTGGGAGTGTATTGCATAGCGTGTCGGTACGGGTGGGAGCAAGTGGCCAGGTCGGCCGCACGTCATTGTCTCAAAATTAGCTCTCTTGGAAGGCCCAGCACGTTCACCGAAGAGCTAAGGTTTACCACAGCGATTGCCTACCACAGGCTCCTCGCTTATCACACCGAATGCGGTAAAGTTGCTTGTGCAGTGGGGCGCGAAAATCTTCAGTGGCTTGAAGATCCCAAGTTTCCTAACTGCTCAAGATGCGCACACTATTTAATCCTGAACAACAGACCCGTTGGCCGTTTCCATGTTCCTTGCTGGTTTAGAAACGCTCTACACGCTCTAGCCGGCGACCTCCTAGAAAGGCCAGACAGCACGACAGTCATAACATCCAGCCGATTTGAAGCCCAGACGGAAAATTTTCACGAATGCAACACCTGCAGACAGTTCACTTCGGTGGTTGGATTTTCCTTTTTGAGGAAAATTTTTGCTCAAAAGGTCAAAGAGGAAACTGGAAAGGTACGTCCTATTCAATGATGAAAGTGTACTGCATGAAGCTCAAGGACGTATCAAAGGTTGAACTGGAGTTCGAGGCCGATTAATCTCGCAAGGAAACGATAACAGCCATTCAAAAACGTTGTACAGTATAGCGACTTGAAATGCAGCGCTCAGGTACTTGACGGAAATTTGCCAGATTGGACAGAGGTTGTGGGGAGCGCAGTGACGATAATAATTGCCATCAGAGACTACGTACTAAGGACTCAGCTGATTGTGGTTGATGCAAAGAAAAAGCTTGACGGAAGGTTAGCGCGCAAGTCCTTTCCGCCGCAAGTACGCCTGAACCACGAGCTGCTCGATTCTGCGCTCAGTGGTCAGTCCGTGGGATCTGCGGCGAAGAATAGGTCCAGATACTCACCGTTGCTTCACCATCAATGCTACTCCCTGCGTGATGATCCCCTTCATGATCTGCGACTGCAGCCCTCGGTACAGTGCCGCCACCCCGCCTTCCTGGTACGTCTTCACGAGGACGCCTCGAACTGTCGCTGTGCGCTTCGCCTCTGAGAGGGACATGGACCTTCCCTCGGATGCCTCCGCAGCGCGAGCAGCCTGGATGAGTGTCTTGGCGAGAATGAGTGGGTAGAGGATAGAAACGGCTGTGATGACGTCATGCGATTAGCTCCGGCGTTAGTGCGACTGGGCTGGCAAGGACGCGGAGACGCACCTATGGAGCTAGCGACGGCTCCTCCTACGAATGACTGCACTGGGGTGGGCATGCGACACATCAACCACTTTGGGTATAACTCGAGCATTTGGATTATAATCGCTTGGCCCCATTACTACGTGTCTTGAATCCGTAAGTAAATCGCCTCTCGTGGCTAAGTTCTTGTACTCTCTGTGTCACCCGTGTAGTCCTAGAGGATCTTCAGACCACATATTTGCCATGTACATCTGTGTTTCAGACTCAGACCACGGAGGACTTGTGGAGGAGAGAAGCGGTCTAGCTTTTTGAGACGGTTGCACAGCTAGCGACTTGTAGGTTGTAGACGGTCGATGAGCGTGTTTCAGCTGGCAGCTAAAATTGGTTATGGCATCACTGCACCACACTGACACTCTCAATTGGGCTGCACACAGCCATCGGGAGCACATGCGCTGTTCTGTAGTGACAACTACAGTATGTCAGTACACACTAGCAACCTGATTAGTTCGAGACCGAGCGAGACCGAGCGCTCTATCCAAGGCTGACCTTGGTGGTGATTTCACCCGGAAGCACCATATAAATAGACGTCACCATCGAGTGAATCTGCTTAGGTGGTGATTCTGTAGTGGTCCCATCCAATAACTCTAAAGGCGTGCCAGCGATTATAATCACCACTTTTGTCGAACTAGAGCTGCTGATAGTGCATGATACCGAGGATCATGCATATGTTTGAAGTGCATTTCTGAGCATTGTTATGGATCGCCTCAATTTTGCCCAAATGACCACCGTCTGTGCTAGGGTGACCGTGCCCTGTGAGACGAGCGAAAACTTTCTTAGGCTTGAGACAGATCCAATAAAGGACGGAACCTTCACGAGAATTCAAGAGTACCACTCTCTCTGACCACACGTCCGATGGTGTACAAGTAGCATGGCGGAAACACCTGGGTCCAGGGTGAATACGCGAGAATCCACAATTGAGGCTCGGGACATGCGGCAACGGTTCGGCATGCGTCTCTTGGGTGGAACGTCATCTGGAGCAAAAAGTGGTGGCGTCTCGGTTATGAACCAGGGCTATGGGCCGCATGCTGGTTTATGAATTCCACAACGAGTAATGGGAACGTTACTATTTTCTTACTCTGCCCCTGCACAGGCGATCGTGTCGTTTTCAGCAGAAAATGCGGAAAGTGAGATAACATAGGCTATGTCGCATCGCTCCTAGCCAAGAAAAAAGGTGAATTAAGGTGGAGGAAGAAGCAAGGTGGTATGGATAAGTTAGGCATGTTACATCTAGTATCCCGCAGCGCCCGGCGCGGCATCGCCCTCGCGCCTGAGCCGGAGCAGGACCTCCTTGAACCGCGTGAGGTCGGTCGTGCCAGCACCAGTGCGGGCGAGCGTCTTGCTCTGCGAGTTTTGGAGCTCGATGAGCTCGGCGATACGCTCCCATGTCGTGCCCTTAGACAGCTTCGAAGTGAGCGAGTCGACGTAATCCGCCTCTTCGTCTCTGAGATTTTCGAATGCAAAGTGAGGATGAAGCTACATGGTGCAGTGTTAAGGGGATACGCACTTGTTTTGGCGGATCGTGCGCTCTTTCTTGGCGGTGTACTCTTCGTAGAACTGGTCGATGGCGCGCTCGGCCTTGGAGATGGTCTCCTGGCGCTTTGCATTGCTCGCTTCGTCGCGAGCCTTGATCTCTTCCGCTTGCCTTTCACGCCAATCCCTGAGTATAGAGTAAGGCTCGCATGCGCAATACGATATGGGGAGGTACTCACTTGATGACCTGCGGCTCTTCCTCTTCGATCGGCTGGTTGAGGATAGGCGTGGACGAGAACGCGGATGGCTGAGGACGAGGTGCAAACGGCGTCGATGTGCCAAAGGAAGCGCCAAAGGATGGGGCAGTAGAGGCGGAGGGAGGGGGAGATTGCTGTAGATGCCGAAAGAAGTTCCTTTCATCAGCGCATACATCCAACCAAGGACAGTGTGGACACGTACAAGAGGTACATCCAGCTCGGGGAACTGGTCCTCAAACTTCTCGATCTCATCGTCGCCTGTTATCTTAACATCCGTCACGGTCTCTTTCGGCGGCGCGTCGAAATCGTCAAAGTCGAAGTCGCCGCCGTGGACACCAACGCCAGAGGGCAGTGCGGGGACGTCACCCTCGCCGTCGAGCGAGATATCAGGGAATTGGGAAGCAGCTTTGTCGAAGTCGAAGTCGTCACCGCCGGTTCCGCCGAGGAGGTCGCTGTCGAGGCCGCTCATAGTCGTGAGTTGGTGGTGTTACCGTTGTCGTTCGTGTCGACGAGCCGCGGTGAGCCTACGCTTGGCAGTCGGCGCTAGCCGGTGGCTGTGTTCTCTTCCCAAAGCCATGCGCGTCACCTTTTCCCCTTTCATTTCTTACACTCTGCTTAGTGCTCTTTCTCGGCTGAGGTTGTACAGATGCCTCTCAATGTCCCTGGGATCCTAGCGCCATTTCAGCTGCTTTGGAACCCGAGGATTATCTTGCCTCATGTCATAGTACAAGGTAAGGTAGCTTGTCTAGTTCCTGGGCCGACTTTTCTGACCGTGTTTCCCCGACTAGGAAGACGTCCGCCATATTGACTTTGCCGCCCTAAAGAGGGCAGGCTATCGTGGTGCTGTGTTCGACAAAGATAACTGCCTGGTGTGTGGGCCATGCTTTCACCTTCGCTCCTCGCTTATACCTGCCTAGACAATTCCTTATGAGGACCGTCTCGTGGACGAGCTGTCGGTGGGTGTTGTGCTTGTCTTGAAGGTTTCGCGCATGTTTGACAAGGTTTTAGGAATCATGGAAGCAATGCAAAGAGACGTTTGGAGAAGGGAACGTGCTCATAGTGAGCAACTCTGCTGGAACGAAGATGGACGCGGGCGAGATACAGGTACGAAACGCGTCTGCTGACCCCAGAGTTTGACCCCTGACCCGTCACGCGTCCTTCATCAGGCTGAGTCCGTGTCCCACCACCTCGCCGTTCCCGTCCTGCGACACTCCACTCCAAAGCCAGGGTATGCATGCATATCCTCGATACGCGCCTATTTCTCCTCTCTGCGGCGACCGATACGTGACGACGAGCTTATCGTAGTCGGAGACCGCGTGTTCACCGATGTGGTACTCGCAATACGCATGTCGAAACTTGTGGTCCGACGAAACGTGCATTCCGACAAGGTTAACTCGGCAACGTTATCCAACGAGAGAAGACAGTCGCTTGGTGGCCCGCTATCGATCCTGACGATAGGTGTATTTAAGAAGGAGAGCATGGTCATGCGCTTCGTGGAGAAGCAGCTCATGGGAGCGGTGGAGAGGTGGACTGAGGGTCGTGAGGACATTTCAGACTGGAGTAGACGGTTCGTGAAGGAACCTCCACGGATTGAGCCGTCCAAACCACCTAGCATCGTGTCGAGATTGCTTTCGAGATTTTCTAGGGCATAGCCAATATTCTCTTGCTATCTTCCTTGGTCATACTATCTAATACCGGCATAATTCACCTCACTCTCGAATCATTGGCGTTAGTTCAAAGTTTGATTAGTAGAGCTTGCTTACAGTGTCCGAGCAGTTCCGGGCCACCCGGACCCAACTTCCCACGGACGACGGCCGGGTGACAAACGTCAGAGTGCAGTTGCGTTATTATTCGGCACGCCCCTCGACGCGTAGACCGTCCCATCCCACTCGTTCCTCAGTCTCCTCGACGATCAGCTCATGCCAGCCTGCTCATAGCAATGCTCGGTATTTATGTTTCGTCTCTGGCGAGGTCCCACTTGCTTGCGTCGTGTCGTGCTTTGCGCACCAGCCCTCTGACTCGGCGTTCGGTCACAACCCTCGCAAGCCCACGGTCGCCAAATCCTTTTGGCCCCCAAGCGTCGTTCTTTTTCAACAACAAGCTATACTCTACCCAAACACAAAGGTCAACATCTCCAGCCACACCCCAGACGCCAAAGAACACATCCATACTTTCACGAATCCTCCCCTCTACATTCCGTTCTGCATCCGCCAGCACCAGCAATGCCTCCTCCTTTCGCAAGGTCGTCGCGCTTGCAAGGCCTGAGCGGAAAGACCTCACGATAGCCGTCGGCCTGCTTCTCGTCTCCTCAACCGTGGCGATGAGCATACCGTTCACGATTGGAAAGCTCATTGACTTCTTCTCGTCTCCTAATCCGGTACGTGAACCATGCCTTGAATCTTGAATCATTCCTCGACGCATTTTGACACCCACCGTTACGTTCAGCAAATACCCTACGATCTTTCACTCGCTCAGGCGTCTGCGATACTCTTTGTTCTGTTTACCACTGGTGCGGTTTGCAATGCTGGGAGGGCGTTCTTGATGCGGATGTCAGGTAAGTTGCCATGAGTTCATATGACCCAATGTGAAGGATGCATTCATGTATGCGATCTAGGCCAACGAATAGTCGCCCGTCTGAGAGAACGTACTTATGCTGCAGCCCTGCGGCAGGAGGTCGAGTTCGTGGAAAAGGGCGAGGGTGATGTCCTCAGCAGGCTGAGCGCGGATTCGAGTATTGTCGGAGAGAGGCAAGTCTTAGAACGTTCAATACATTCCACCTTTGAGGCTAATATATTTGACGCGTAGCGTCACGAACAACCTCTCAGATGGTCTCAGGGCATCCGTCATGTCTATTGCGGGGCGTACGTTCTCCCGTTATCATATTATTTCCGTGTCCCATCTGAGTTTATGACTTCCCATAGTGGGCGCAATGTTCTACATCTCTCCGCAGCTGACCCTCCTTATGCTTGGCATCGTGCCGCCTGTTTCTTTGGGAGCTGTATGTCAAATTCGGCGTCCATGTCGATCTACAGAACGCTTACATGTGGATATAGTGGTTCTATGGTCGCTATCTGAGGCGTTTGTCAAATAAAACTCAAGAGGCGCTAGGAGAAATGACAAAGGTCCGCCGTCCTAACGTTCTCCCTATCCAGTGTCTAATACGTTGCGGTTCCGTCTCCGTTAGGTTGCCCAAGAGTCATTGTCAGCCCTCCGGACCGTGCAAGCGTACAATGCCGCCCCGCAGGAAGAAAAGAAGTTCCACAGCAAGGTTACGGAGGTCCTGAAGCTAGCACGCAAGGAAGCCATCGCGAGCGGGATATTCTTCGGAAGTACGGGTTGGAGTGGTAACCTAACGATGCTTGGCCTGCTCGGATACGGTTCGTGTGTTTCCATCCGTTCCGACCGTCGGTCCCGTGCCTTCCAAAGTCTAACCTTGTTTCACAAAACATGCAGGCGGCTCGCTCGTTTCAGAAGGCATGATTACGGTCGGCAACCTGACAAGTCTATTGCTCTACACCGTCTACGTAGGCAGCGGCCTTCAGATGCTAACGTAGGTCTTATCAGTGTTGTCCCCGTTTGCGTCCGTAAATGCTAACGTGATTCTAGGACGTTCTTCGTGAGTAGTTTTACTGTTGACTCGTTTCACCTCTCAAATTGGTAACTAAACTAACACTTACAGTCTTCGATCATGCGTGGCATTGGCGCCGGTACCCGAATCTTCGAGCTCCTTGATCGGGAACCCGTCATCCGCCCGGATACCGGTGTCCCACTTGATCCTTCCAGACGCGGCACGGTGCGGTTTGAGAACGTTTCGTTTGAGTATCCTACTCGTAAGGAAGTCCAAATTTTGGACAATTTTAATCTGGAGATTGGAGTTGGTGAGAGTGTTGCTATCGTGTAAGTGCATCCATTTTCATTTCCGCATCTCTTCTCACGTTGGCGTTTGCTTCTTGCATCCGACTAGTGGAAAGAGCGGCGGAGGCAAGTCATCGGTCCAGTCTCTTCTGCTGCGGTACTACGATCCAGTGAAGGGTACGATTACCTTCGATGGGCAAGGTAACGTTTTACTTAATGCAACGTTCCAGTTTCATGAATGCTGAGGCGCAGTGCGCAGATATCCGGGAGTTCACGCCGTCTTCATGGCGCCATATTATTGGTATAGTGCCCCAGGTAAGGCCGATGGTAGCAAATGCAAAGATTGCGATACGCTAACGCACGATTTAATGAAGGACCCGATTCTGTTCACAGGCACCATTGCCTCCAACATTGCGTACGGTAATGAACACGCAACACGGGAGATGATTGAGGCTGCAGCGCGGGAGGCAAACTGCGAGTTCATCTGGGGGATGCCGAAGGGCTTTGACACTGAAAGTAAGCTCCTGTCAATGCGAGACCTCGGATATGAGCACCGTTTTTAACGCTCGAAATTTTCTACTATTCAGTTGGACGTATGAGTCTTAGCGGTGGCCAACGCCAGCGGCTTGCGATCGCGCGTGCATTACTGAAGAAGCCGGCGATACTTGCTCTGGATGAGGCAACAAGCTCTCTCGATGCAACCTCAGAGCACCGGGCACGTTACTACTCCTTACTGAACAATGGCTCCGAATCTAACTTGGCTTTCTAATCTTCCTGACAGGTTAACGACGCCATCGACAAGATTCTGATGGGCCGCCAGACGACTTGTATTATTGTGGCTCACCGGCTCTCTACAATTGCGAGATCTGAACGCATCGTCGTGCTAGAAGGTGCGTCGGAACGTTCTTAAGCAGTGCCTACCTATGCATATTGATAAATGAACGTCAATGCTTGACAGATGGGCGGATTACAGAGTCTGGAACATATCGTCAGCTAGTGGCAAATAAGAACTCGCGCTTCAGAGCATTGATGGCCGCCCAGCTTAACGCTGCCGCCACAGGCGATGAAGAAGTACGTCTTCCGAGCCCTTGATCAGCTTCTCATACTTAGACTTGACGTCGACACATTATCTAATCTTCTCTGCAGCAGCCCACCGCTCAATTATCGTAATCACTTGCTAACGACTATAGAACAATCATATTTATAGATATTGTTTGCTTGAATTAATGAGCTATATCACATATCCGATCTCATCTCGGCATGCGGAAGAGTCGTTCCACATGAGTACGACAGCTGACAGGCCCTAGGCGCAAGGGTTCTTATGGCAAGTTTGAAGCAACATGAAGCTTATTAGAACGTTCTTACGCCGTTTAAACTTTCACGATCGATGTCCTATCTTATTCGATCCCGTTTGCGAAGATACTTAAACATCCTCTCGCAGCCGCAGTCTGATCACGCCTCCGCCACCCTCCAGCAGTTTTGTCTTCTTACCCAGACACAACGGTATGTACATCCCACATGTGGCCCTTGTCTAAAATTACCCCCGAGAGCTGCGCCTTCAACAACCCTTGTCAACGATCGCCCTTGTATACATGAGTCTTGACACGAGCTGATACTATGCTTTGCAGTCACCCGCAAACCCACACCTCGCTGCAATGCCCCAGTCGAAGACGTCAAAAACAACCGTGGCGCAACACGCTGAGAAGATGTTCAGCTACGCAGAGAAACCTCACGCCTATCGTCCCTCGTCGTCTCGAGGGCCCGTTTACTATAAGACGATCAGGCCACTTGCCGGAGCCTGGCTTACTCAAGCTCTTCCTCGCCCTGTAACCCATAAACCCAGTCCTTCCTTCCTCCACATGATGCAGGACATCGTCCCCGAGCACATCCAGACTGAGCTTCCTGATGCTTTCGTTCGCAGGGCGAATGAAATTTTCCGACCCATCATGCTTCACTTCGTCGCGGCCTTACAGTTGATCTTGGGCCAGACACCTACGCGATACACGTGGCCGGGATTGACCGCTGCGAGCAAGCTCCAGTGGGCTGGACGCATACTAGACGAAATCAGGATCGTAATCGACAAAGCCTTCCAGGAGGACTCTGACGATGTCTGTGAAATGTTTAGGGAGATGCTTGATGGGTGAGATCCTTCGTCTTGCGCCTTGCTTCCTACGCGCTGATCATGACATGATGCCGTACAAGGTATGAATCTTGCCAACGCCAGCTGCAAAAGAGATCTTTCTTTGAGGTCTGGGGATGGGATGCTGATCTGAAGGAGCATATGCTCAAGTGTCGGGATCTCTGGGACTATGTTTTGGTATGAGCAACTTATCCGCTAAACGCATAAGATTCGACTTACGAGCAAACCTGTTCTCAGCAACAGGCCGGCGTTGATCTGGAGAAGCGCGACCCGAGCGTTATAAAGAGTAATGAATACTCGATTACAGTTGCACCAAAGTTACACGCTAACTAAGCTCGCAGACTTTATCAAAGATACTCGGCAAGAAGCGGAACAAAGCCAGCTTGAATCGCCGAGTTCGCTTTTCTCGCCGATATCATGCCAAGACCGGTTCCCATGTCCTGTACCGGCATCGTCTGACGGGAGCGTGTCAGATATCGACGAGTCCAATATTGAAAAGGTTGATATGCAAGAGGTCATTAAGAGCTTGAGAGCCACTTTCTCGGCTCCTTTGCCAGTCGATGGTATTGCAACTGGGCCCAGGGGCGGGGGTAAGAGAAGCGACTCCCTCCCCGTCTCTATACGTTTCCCCACCAATTCGAACACGACTGGTGACTCTTCTCTCCTCACTTGGCTGCTCTCATACTCACCACTGTCTCAGATCCATTCCGCCGCCGAGGCGAGAGCCCAGCCCCATTCAGGAGAGCTTCTCGTGCTCTTTAAGCTCAGAGGAATGATTTTTATCAGTCTTTATTTTTTCTGCCAGACGACAACTGGTAGTGCTGTATATGTACCACTGGTTTGCATTTTATATTAGCGGGGAATATGGTTTGCGAGAGAAATGTTGCAGGGTTTTTATTTTCGTATTTCTATCCCGTGTAACACGTTTAAAATGCTTTTGAAGTCATATATCATATATCACTGAATGTGTGGAGGCACGCAGCGAATTGAATCTTGCCGTCAAAGACTGCATAATTCTTCCTGCCATATATGATGTATAGTATTTCTTCTAGGGCCTCGAAGGTTTCAATACACATATTTTACAGAATACATAAAAAGAGGAGAAACAAACAGACAGAGAACGTTCGCTTCCACGAACATGAAGCTCATGCTTCGCACCGGATGTGGTTGTTCACCGGTGATCTTCCTTCGTGTATGGTTATAGGCACTTCTACTATCGAAGCGCAAATGTCTTCCTTGTCAAAACATTCAAGATGCCTACACTTAAGAGCACTGAATTTTATTATCGAAAGACTACGTAGGCGGTACACCGGAGAGGTTACCGTGCGCAAGGCTATGTTCATTCCTTTAATAATGAGAACGTGAAGCCCCAGGACTTCATAGATCAATAACGTGCACTCTAGCCAATACGCCGATTATTGCGCGGCTAACGACAAGGCGGCACGTCCACGAAATTTACCACCATGTACACAGCACAAAGTGACGCTGGCACTGTCGGAATCAAGGACTTCCTTCAGCATGAAAAGTCAAGAAAATAATATGCGTCGGTGGCAGTTTTCGTGACTCACTGGCACTGAAAGCGTGAGCAAGATATAGCTACAATTCTCAAACGTCATCGCAGTCGTGATTATCGTGAAGTCATGAATGTCGTGTATGCAAGTAGGCAACCCTCTACTCCGAGTGAACCTCCGATGATTTCTCTGAGTCCGTAGCGGTCTTTGCCGGCCTGCGAATACGTAAATGATGTTGGTGGAACCAAAGCATGTATGAACCAACGTACCTCCTAACTCCACAGCAATAACACACACGAGCCGACAGTAACCCCACTGCAATCCACGTGGCCACCACTGCGGCGAGGATCATCCACACCGCGTTTCCAAAGTTGACCGTGAATGTCGCTCCGGAGAATAGCGTGTTGATCTTGGACTTTACTACCAAAACGATAGCAAGATCGGCCGCGAACACGACCGTGCCGAGCGCCGCGCATACAGCAGCGATGATGAGTGCAGCGAGGGCGACGTCATGGTCGTGAAGGAAGAGCGAGAGACCGAAGACGACAGTTGACAGTGCTGCACAGACGAGGTGCAGGACGAGGAGAACAAGCAATCCGCCAAGCGCAAGATCTGCGGTCTTCGTGGCTATGCCGGCGTCGGTAAGAATGTACGATGGAACAGTGTACCCCAGTTGCGGGCCGATGCACTGAGATGTGTTCAGTGGGCTGCGATAGGCGAAGAATAGATTGTGGAGTCAGCCTCAGCAGCTCCTGAGAGCACATGGGAAAGCAGCGAATATCACATACCTATACGCACAAGCTCCCCACACGCCGAATCGTAACTCCGTCGCGGCGTCCGAGATGGGATCGACCGAGTGATATGCGGCGACATCGATGATGTAGATGCTCTTGATGATCGGCAGGGAGAGACCGACGAGGAGAAAGAGGAGGAAAGAGGACAAGTAGATGATCAGGTTACAGAGTGAGATGGCAACGTGTTCCTGCAATGGTCGTGGGCATTTGCGTATCCAGGAAGGAGACATGGCTGATATGGTTCGTTTACGCTTGTCCAACGTTGTCTTTGATGTTTCGTCTCCTCAAGCGTCTTGACTGCTTGAGTAGGCTTGAGTGCTCGTCGAGTGGATTCAAGAGCGCAGAACCTCAAGCAAGGAAGAAGGAGAGATGGACACCAGAAGCCAAGGTGTCTCAGCATGTTTTGGAAGCATGGTCGCCGTATATACCATTCCCATACGAATTCTCATGGCTAGCGACGAAAACGAACGCGCTGGACCGTGATTCGCAGTGGCAGGCTGCCACGAGCTCACGAGAAGACAAGTTAAGCTGAAGCGAGCAAGGTGCTGGCATCTGACCGTGCCAACTGATCTGTTTATAGCGGATGGGGTTTATAGGCTGCCATCAACGTGCGTCTCCACAGGCGGCTGAGAGCGCCACCAAGGTTTATCAGGTGTTATCAAGCGCTGCAGAGTAGCGATCAGGTGGAGGATGCACCCTAGTCAACAGTGGAGTAAGTAGTGTGCTTTTTAGGTACATCCTGAAGGCAAAGGCGCTGGGGAAGAAAGCTCCAGAGACAGAGTGCAGCAACCCTGTGAAAAATGAGCCAGCGCGGTTGCCATGTGCTGGCAATCGGACGCACAAGGTCCGAAAAGACGCACTTGTATCCAGAAGCAGCGGAAATTTTATGGGGAGTCAGGAAGCTCAAGGTCATAATAAACCCCGAGAGGTAACAGATGCTCCGCTTTCTTGCTGTTTTCCTATGAAGTGACGAGTAAGCGTAGTGTAGGCGGTCCATGAATGCATGAGTCAAGGTAGATTTTAGGTTTAAGACACCACGCAAATTGCGAATGATTTGCTTACTAATCCACCTGCATATATCTTGGCCCCCAATCGTGATCCGTTTTTGTCATCGTCTGTGGACAGGCCTCCTATTGCGCTGGTAACACTACGCTTTTCGCTCACAAGCACAAGTTATACGAAGACCCACTTGGCTAAGTTTATACCGGCCTGTTCTGGCGTTATAGCACCCTTGTTGATTCAATAGTACAACTGGCACTGGCACCAGACTGGCACCTCACCGTTTCTGAAAGTGACACGTCGACGACACGTCCATCTGAGCGGTGCTTGCTGACACCTAGTTTCCTTTCGTGCTTACCAGTTGATTGGATGGGGCTGAAAGAACTGCCCTTCGACGTTCGCGTCGAGCTCTCTGGCACGCCCATTCGGCCCGCGTTCCTCTCAATCCCGTCAGGTACTGGAAGCCGCTATGACTCGCAGCTCAGTGGTTGATCGATGATCGACATGCGGTCTCTACCATGGCTAGAATCGAACGCGGCGATACCAATATCAGAGCGAAAATAGTCATCGGATTGCCAACGGTCGGATCATCTCGCGTCAATACGACACTGACCTTTACAGAGACCTGTATTTACTTGATGTCGAGGACCCAAAACTTCTTATTCGTACGTAGCGATGGAAGGATATAGTGTGTTTAGCTGGGTTGAAGTCACTGAAATCGTCGGCTGTGATGGATACATGGGGGCCATCATATATCGAGAAGAAACGGACAGTACACATGTGAAACTATGAGACAAATCTTTACTCGAGGAGCGTAGTTGAAGGAAGCTGAAGAATATTCGAAGGATGATATCGAGGTTTTCAGATACTGCGCAGATTAACCTCAAAGAGGTTTACGTGCATTCCTTCATCCATACCGAGGACGATGTTGCGGTACAGTGGTCCGAGTTGGATATGGTCATCGGCCCATCAGCGATCCTCGCGCTGTGGCGTGACTCTGTCCGGCCCCGATTTGTTATTCTAGATTTTGATGAGCCACGGACTGACGCCCCGGCTCAAACAATTGTGCGCAATAACGAAGAGGCGAACCAGGCTTAATAATACTCGTGAACGGGAGAATTTGCCTTCATGAAGGCACGTGGGAGACATGAAAGGAAAAGAGGATGGAAGGGCTCAAGTATGAAATCATAGTATTAGACTTCTGCTAGCTTTTTCTAGCTAAGGTAGGCCGCACTCATAACCAACATCATCACGTGCCAAACATGTGACGCAAATTTGGCGGGCGGGGCAGCGAATCCCTTCAGAATCCCTGCCAAAACAGCCCACGTGAACAGCACGTGATGATGTTGGTTATGAGTGCGGCCTACCTTACCTAGTCCAGCTTCTAGGTGAAGTGGCATAGAGTCAAATAGAATCAAGGTCGTGTAAGATTAGATTGGCTTACCAAGCATACTAAGTAGATAGCCGTGAAAATTTCGGTTATCAAAGAAAGAACTGACCTTTGCTTTTCTTGGTTCGTCCAGAAGCACTAACTTGCTTGTCGTGAAAGAGATCGAGCAAAGGCAATGCGGCGCAATCCGGGAGTATCCCAGAGTATGAAGCGTTATATGAGCAGCAAGGTATAGTTAATGTACATCCAATATTTGCAAACCAATTCGATCCCATGCATGGAAACCAACCCGTAATAAAAATAGCAAATATACAAGCAAAAAAGTCCCAGTTTGCCATCGACATCTACGTGCAGTAGATGGTGCCGATGTAGATGCCCTGGTACGGACCAAGGTGGTCGAGGAGGTCGCTCTCAAAGATATTGGGAACTGTGCTGATCGTGCACTGCGAGTCGGTCGCGTCGTCGTCACCGGGACACTTGTACGCGTCGCTCGTAGACTCGATGTGGATCTCGCCCTGGACGTGCGAGAACCCCAAGAAGCGACCAGGCAAGATCGGGATGGGGTCCAACTCGTTGTTGATGCGGACAAAGTCTGAGACCTATAGATAGACGGATCAGCATCAAGATATGGGGCCTCAAAAGCTTCACCACTCGGACGGGATGCACTGACCTGGCTATCAAAGTACGCCGCGTAATTGGGATCGCCGACGCGCGGCGTGCCGTACGTCTGGCCCTTGACGTGGATGCTCGCCGGGAGGTTGAGCCGCATGTAGAGCGACTCGAGCTCAGAGAGCGCGCCGCCGAGCGAGTGACCGACGAGGACGACCTGGGTCGCGCCGTACTGCGAGATGAGACTATTGACCTCCTTCAGGATCGGCGCCGCGGTCTTGGCGTGCTCGTCCGCGAAGCCCTTGTGCACCCAGACATCGTCCGGTACGCCCGGGAAGAGGGTTGCGTCTAGGTTCTCTTGTGCGATGTCGGCGTCGGTCAGATCCGACTCGCTGTATGCGCCAGAGACAGTGAGCTTGTGAACGAACACGTTCATGCAGATGAAATCGAAGAGAAACGCACAATTGGGTCGGGTCAGTGCCCTGGTGCGCGACGACAACGGAATTTTGGGAGGGCCAATACCCGACGAAATCTGTAATACGAAATCAGGATGTAACCAGCGTCTCATCAATGAGAAAATAGACATACAATATTGGACGCTGTCACCATCGCCACCCGTAAGCGTCGCCGTGAAACCAGGCACAGCATCACAAGCCTCTGTGGGTAAAAAGGGAAAGATTAGCATTTGTACAAAACCTTAGCGCCTACGCAGCGATTGGCTGGGCAACCGGCGTACCTCCACAGTTCCATCCCTGGATCTTGCTGGGGTCGCAGTATGCCGCCCGCGCGAACTGGGTGTATGGTGCCCAGGCAGAGAGGTCGCTCGCCGAGACCTGGGTTACCGTGTTCACCCAGGTTTCGACGGGCGTGGGCGACGCGTGCGCGCCGCGGAGGACAGCGCTGGCAAGGGCGAGGGCAAAGCTGGTGGAGGCACGCATGACTCTTAGGTTGAGCTGCCGGGGCACGACGGGTATTGGCGCGGGTGCGGGGAAGCCAGCGGGGGGAAGCCTGACAGGACCACTGTGCCCCGCACTCCCCCGCGTTTTATACGCTCGACAGGAAGGTACATCCCATCAAGTGACCATGCCGCAGACGGGACAAAGAGCCTGAACAAGGGCTGATGCTGGGTGATGATAGGTGATGATGTTGCCCGTCGACGCGGCACAACGGTTCCCGCAGTTGTATGCCATGGTCCCTGAGCGCCTGAGCGCGAGCACGCGAGCACACGGACACGGGACTATAGGGCCTTGTGGCCAACCGTCAACCCCAGGGCTCTTGGCCAGTCTTGGAGACTCTTGGCCTATTCTTGGGTCTGGAGAATGCTGAGTGGACAGGAAATGCCCCGCCAGGTGGCATCGAAAATCTTGTCCATCAGGACCGATGGGACCAGGAACGGAACACGGGGAGATTTGTCGGGATGCCGCGCGTCGCCGACAGCTTCCGCGGCGTGGCTGGGACAAGTCTCAGAAAATTACATGGGGACACGGATCCATTGCAAGGCGGGGTGCATACATCCAACTCACGATAATGAAATGCGGGGAATACGAGTGTGGCACTAGTGTGGCAAAGTAACGTCCCGTGGTCCTGATGCCTCCGCGTCCAATCGCGCTCTAGCGCATGTTTAGGTTCCTGAAGAAAAGGAGCCAATCACCAGAGGGTCCCGCAGATGTGCCATGCGTGCGTGAGCGTAGAAGAAGGTAGAACAAGGAACGAAATACAATTAGCTGCAGATCGTCGTGCCAAAGAAGCACCCAGGAGACGTACCTCCGCACTACGCAAGCTGAGAATGGCCTCCAATGACGCCGTGTTCCGCGTGGCTCACTGGCTCACTGGTCAATGAAAGGCACTTCGGGCTCCCCCTATATATAAGTCAGGGCATCTAGCGTGGTCCTGTGGCCAAAACACCTGAGCGCGAAGAAGAGCGTGATTACGTCGGGAAGCTGATATCTAACACCGGAGCCGGAGTTATCAGCAGAACGTGCGACACCAAAACTATGGGTGAATTGGTGGACAACGACTCGGAAAGGTGAACCAATGACCCCGCGCTGTCCACATTGCAAGACCTCGACGCGGAGCATGCATGCATACATGCACTCAGTGTCTCCTCCTCTTTGGCCCTGAGCAAAGGTAGCACTGACGGTATGTAATTAAGCATGGTATGGTTTTACACTGTCCGGTATCGAGTGCTCAGCTAGATGACGCAAGGGTAAGATGGATCAGGAATCAGATGGAAGGCGAAACATAGGCCCAGCAGTCAGTACATCGTGGATTTGGTATATTGCAGCACCAGCGCATTCAGCTCAACGCGGGCTTTTCTACATCGATAGTTTTCTTCCTTGGTCTGTAGAATAACATCAATGAGCGAGCGAGCCCAGAAGTCTCCCCGTAGGTGCAGGGGGGATAACAAGACACGCGGAGGCACTCACTGTCTGATTCCAAAACAAAAGAACATCCTCGCCATCAGAACTATCACCGCGCCCCATATCAAAAAGTCGCCTGCGAGGACCATCCACGTCGCATTCCCAAAGTCGACCTTGAACGCCAGTTCCGGCGTAAGCGGGCCAATGTTCGTCTTGACGAACAGGGTGAATGCGATGTCCGCCGCGAGCGCCGCGGTGCCGAGGAGCGCGGTGATGAGGGCGAGGAAGAAGGCACCGACAGCGATGGGCTGGATGTGCAGGAAGGGCACCATGAAGAGGAGGATGAAGGAGAAGGCGGCGCAGGCGACGTGGAAAATGAGCAGGGACTGGAGGACTCTGAGCGCGTGCGGTCCGAGACCGTCGTTGATCCCCATGTTGGTCAGGACATCGTAGGGAATCTCATACCCTAGCGAAGGGCCGTTGCAGATAGTTATGTTTGGACTATATGAGCATAGTGTAGAATGGTAAGCTTCCCTGCTTCAGTCGAGACGCATATATGCAAGGAGGGAGGACGCACGCGGAGGCGCAGACACCCCACATGCCAAAGCGTGTGACGCTGCTCAGGCCTACGCTGGGGTCATTTGATTCGACTGCATAGACCTCGAAGACGAAGATGCGTTTTATGATGGAAGAGGAGAGGGAGACGAGGAGGAGTAGGAGGAAGAACGCAAAGATGAGGAAGAACACGATGGCAGCGATGAACCGGTGCTCGCGATGGACGATCGTCTGCGTCTTCGCCTTGCTCGCTGCTGGAGTGGTACTTGCCCGGGATGACTTGAACCTGCTGAAGAACGTGGGGGCCATCGTCGAGCGTCTGTGAGCGTGGCCTGGCGGGACCTAGGTGAGGTCAAGGAGCTCCAAGAACCGAGGCGCGGGACCACTTGACGCTAAAGGGTCCATTGGTTCGCTGACCCAGGGACCGGCAGACTCGCGGCATAGCAGAAAACGCATGGATTGTTCCTTGATTGTTCCGAAACCATCAGTTCACGAGCCTATAGTAGATTTGACTGAAAGAGTTGCAAAGAAGAGGACTCAAGTGGATTCGTATTCGTAGAGTGTCAGGACGATAACAGGCAAGGATTGCAATGCGGTACACACTGCACATACTTCAAACGCTCGCCGGTCCAGAGCTCCGTGTGCGCGCATTGGGGGCAATTGCCCTTGTTTCTGTAGAAAAACTCGAAATATTCCGGGGTAAATCTTCTAATTGGGCAGGTCATCTTCTACATATGTACTTTCGAGCAGAACATTTTGGATATTTCGCACAAGTTTTCCCTGGAAACATCTACCAATGCCCCCAGTGCGTTGCGAATCTCATTCAATCTCCTTACATTCATGCCATCTGCAAAACACGTCGTGCACCCTAGAGAGATGTTTGTTCGTTCTCATTCTTGCGTACACTTCTCAGTCAAAACTCAGCACGGCACAGGCCCCACCGCGCGTAACCTTCGTCTAAAGAAGGGCCGGTCCTCGAGGTATGTTCTAGCACAATCCAGAGTCCTCCCGGAGCTGGAGTAACCTGCGACCAGGCATTGGATATTGGAAGGCTGCGCATTGGTGGGGGACTCCGGCCGCAGTGTTACCGTGACGCATGAGCACTATGTCGTATGCTACGGCCTATGGCCCCATAGTCGCCAAATAGTCGCATCGTCCCGAGGCATAGTCCGCGCTCTCTCGGCCAACGGTGCAGCATAGGTGCGGATGTATCCACTGACCTCATATTCTCGTCAATCTTCACCGACGTGTTTCCCTCCGGGAGTTTCCTGCGCCGCGACACGACCTGCCAAGCCCATTCAATCCTGTCGCGATCACGTGATGTCACCACGTCATGGGTGGGTCCTGGCCTAATTTGAACATCTGTCTGACGTCAGTCGATGACTCCTATATGTTAAAACGGAAGCTCGTCGTCTCCAAAGTCGGTTTTCAACCTTTCTCCAGCAACCCTATCCTTTGTTCAACGTCAACGCCATACAACTCCCTTCTCCCTTCATCCACTATGCAACGTTTGATACGCACCCTCAAGCCCAACTCGAAGAAGCACCACCAGAATGGCGACGAAGTGGTCGAAAACAGCTCGAGCACGTCAGATCTATCGAGCCCACAGATGAACGAGAGCACCGGATCCAACTTTGAGCTCACTGATAGTGTCCCCAATATCCCGCCATCCGCTGATGGTAAGATGGACGGGGCCGAACTCGCGGATATCGTCGCCAAGCACGGCCATTCTTCCGCCACCGCCTGGCTCGAGACCGACCACTACCGCATCTGGCGTCCCTCAGCCTCAGAGCCGATCAAGCAATCGTCTTTCCCTCCCGTTCAAGGCTACCTCGAGGCCAATAATTATGTCTTCGCCTGGGGCAACCCAATCGTCTCTGACGTCGCCGCGCTCAAGCCTACGCTCGAGGCGTTCATCGCGTGGGTCACGTCCAGGAATTCCAAGCCTGTTTTCTCCTGCGTCAACAGCGAGGTTGAGAGTATACTCGCGAGCATGGGCTGGGCGACTGTCTCATGCATCAACGAGGACGTCGTTGACCCCGAACACGTCTACGAGCTCACCCACGAGGAGGCTGTGACGTCCGATGACGGCAACGCGGGTATGGTCAAGGATATGAAGAAGAACCTGCGTCGTGCCGACAAGGCTGATCTCAAAGTGGAGGAGATAACAGGAGACGCTTGGACAGACGATGTCAAGAAAGAGATTGACGACGGCGTTGCTGCGTGGAAAAAGAGCCGTTCGGGTATCCAGCTTGCCGCCGTAAGTGACCTCACTTAGTCTCGCCTACTCCACTCAATTTGACCAACCTTCACATTAGACCGATTTTCTGCCATGGCTGGACTTCGAGCACCGCCGCTATTGGCTCGCCCGTCACGAGGGCAAGGTACGGCTCATCTCTCGCTATCTATCAACCGATACTCACAGAAAATCTCACTTTTATAGGCTGTCGGTATCATCATCATCTCCCCCGTCCGAGATCAGTACGTCATCAAGAACGCCGTCCACTTCCCCAAGGCGCCCAAGGGCACCTCGGAGCAGCTTATCCACCAGGCCCTCACCGACCTCCGTAACGAGCGCTCCGATGGAGAGGACCACCCCAGCGTCGGCGACATCTCCGTCACGTTCTCCATCTCCGCCGCGGGCGATCTCAAGCCAACGAAGAACATCTCCGGCTGGAGGTTCACGTGGCTGAACAAGACGTACAGCAACGTCTCGAGCAGCGCCGGTCTCTTGAACCGCGGTGACTTCAGGGTAAGCCTTTTATTTGGATAGTTTCGAATCGCGAAGTTACTAACCCATACCGCAGAGCAAGTTCGACTCAAAGCGTGAACCAATGTTCGTGTGTTACTCGAGCGAGGATGGTTTCGGTCTCGACGGCATCGAGACGCTCGTCAAGCTCCTTCGCCGATAGTGGTTTGAGTATACCTCCACATCAGCGCGCACGTGCTAGACGAATATATCCCCGCACTATTCAATTCCTCCCGGGCGACTCGTCCACTACACACGTCTACACGAACGCCCATACACGAAAGCACCACATAGACCACCGGTTTCCTTTCCCTCGCGTACCTCATAACTCTTTCCCCTACCCCGTCGCTCCCTCCCGCTGTTATCGAACGAACCAACGGACATGTGTATCATCATCAGTTTAGGAAACGTAGCATACCTAGTACGAAGCTGTAAAGGCACAGCACGTAATCTTTGTAGCCATCACTCATACACGCTCGCTGAAGTGGTGTAGTATTTCATACCCCTTGTAATAGAGCCTTTGAAATACGATACGAATCAAAGTGTAATCGACGTTCTTCGTAAGCTGCAACCATTTGTCACTGCCCAGGCCGAGACGTATTATATTAGGTCTCATGGCACGTTTACATTGTGGGAAGTCAGAGGCTACCGTCAGCTCATGATGTCGACGCAGCAAGCAAGGTGAATATTGTGCAAATGGAGTATCTATAGGTGTCATGCCCACATTACATTACATAATTGGTACAGGGTATAATGGGACCCCAAGTTTGCAGCGCTGTACGTACAGTTACTTACACGAGGTGAACATCGATAACGTCACAGCCCAAGCGCTTTCTTGGCTTCCTGGAGCGTTCTGGTGTAAAACTTGACTCTTTCGTTTGGAATCTGTTCTGCACGAGCACTCTTCTCGTTAATACTGAGGGCTGCCAGTGAACAGAAGTACGCGCGCTGATACTGCTTCAGCTCCAACGCCGTATGAGAAGCATGACCCAGGCACGCCGCGAGCAAGTACCGGACTCGGGGTGCAGCCTGGGCGTATGCGCCGCCTGTGATATCATCGAAGATCACCAGGGCCGCTGCGAGCTCAGCAGCGTCGGAAAAAGCAAGATTGGCAAGTGTTATCGCAGGAGCGCCACCCACGCCATTGTCTCTCCACTCGTAGGCCTCGTCGAGACGGCTACGGATACGACCGACAGATATCTTGAGAAACCGTCTGATGACGTCCGGATGCGTCATTTGCTGGATCTGAGAAAGAGATGTGGACGAAATGCCATCGGGGGTCTTTTGCAGGAACTGGATGCCGTTCAAGGCATTCCTCTGCGCCAACACCACTAAAAGGCGGGCAAAGGCTATTGGTCCTAAAACGCGCTCCGGAGATACGTGAAAAGGGGCAATATATTTGTCGTTTTTGTCTTGAAGCTCCACCCATGCTGGCCATTCGCGGATATCTCCGCTGCGATGAGGCTCTTTGCCAATCTTCAAGCTGCCCTGGTATGCGATTGCTAATAGCGAGTAAATGTCGCTGTTCTTAAGCCCAGCTGCATCGGCGTTGTATGTGAGCATCGCGATGATTCGAAGGATACAAATGCGACAGTGGCCTTTGCGTTGATTTAGCGAGGTTGGACCACAGCTAATATGAGCCACCTACCGGCTGTCTGAGAAAAACTCTCACGCAAATCTTGTGTGAACGGGGCCCGCGATTTTCCATAGAGTGCTCTAGCAGCATGAAAACTACTGTAGTGGAAACGAGTCTCAGTATAACACATAGGAATATGGAGGCATCGATACTATCGCTCACCGCGTCCACTTCTCAGTCTCTTTAGGGTCAGGTACAGAGTTTATCCAGACCTGAGTGAGTCTGTCCGTCCAGTCGGGCTGCGAGACAAACACTTGCGTATACTGGCCCATCGCTTTTGCGTCCTTTACACCAAGCGCTTTCAGCTCCGCTGGATGCGGGACCCCAGGAATTGCGTCAGATGGCCACCGAAAAAAATCGCATAGAGCTGCGCATGCCAAGGATGCCGTGGCTCCGTCTGGGTAGCCATGAAGGCGCTCTAGAATGCAGCAATCAAGTAGCAAGTCAAAAAGAGCTGGAGAATGTCTGATAATTTCAAGGCGAGTCCTTGGGGACGAATTCGGGTTCATAGCGAGAATAACGCGTGCGGCATCCATGGAGTTTGATCGTATCTCTCCGAAGATGCGTCTTGCCATAAGACGGCGCGATTCGCGATTCTTGCTCCAGGGATCTTCGGGATATAGTCTAGCCAGTCGCCACTGCCATTCCGTCCTAGGATCAATTAGTAGATCCAATGTTGCCTCCGAATCTTGTAGCGCCAACGTGCATAAAGCTGATAGAAGGATACCAGCATCTTGTGGCTGGATTCTCGGCGAAAGTAAAGATGCGCTGCATAGCATGCTAATCATCCTAACTGCTACTCCACGGAACATCAAGAAACGATGGCTCAGGGTCTATATATGCATGGATCAGCTCAGCTTGGCAGGTAGAGAATTTCCGAAAAGTGACTTACCTTTAAAGATATATCGACGACTTTTAGCTTTGTCAATTTATCAAGCGCAGAGCGTAGTTCATGGATATTTCCTGAGCTGGATACCTGGACTGCGATGTTCCATGCCTGCCATTGACACATGTAGCCGTGCACGAGCCGACTAGCACCCGACTCGGTCGCCAAGGTTTCGTTCCACGGTACGGCAATTATATGCATCAACGACTCGAATAAGCCAGCGTTTACGCTTGCCTTGATCGATGAACTCCATTTCGCCGAGCTTGGAGCTATGCTCTCTGATGGAAATGCTTCATCCGAAATAACAGACTGGCATTTCACTGTCGTCAGCAGCTGCATTTGGTAACAGAGATATGCATGTTCACCAGAACTTCGTAGACGGATTCACTGTCTATGCTAAGCTCTTTCAGTTCCCTGAAAGTTACCGATAACATGGTGGAACGCTGAGGCTCGGAGGAAGCAAAAATTGTTTGGAGCATGCCTCTTCTCGAATTATACTCCATGAGCGATGACGAATGCTATGCCACAGAGCGCAATTGCAAGGCAAGCATATAGAATGCACCTGAGTTTGGACCCTTATTAATGAAGGTTTGAAGGCTCACCAGATATCGGATCAGAAATGCACTCTTCGTCGCTCAACGGGATGTTCAAGTTCATCCGATGAAGGAGGATGAAGGTTTGGTGGCGTGATAATAATAGTTGAAACGTTGAAGCGGCGCTTCAATATCTAAACCCTCGCAGCTGTCCGCGTACCGTTGGCGTACCGCTTAAGTTGCCCGCACCTTCGCTTTGCTCTCATTGTCGACGATACTATCATTTCATCAGTACTAGTGAGATGTATGTGAAGTTAGATAACTCCTCGAGGATTACTGTGGAAGCCCCACGCCACGCTTGATGTCCCGGGATTATCAAATCACTTTAGTTCCGAGCACCGCAATGAGAAATCTTTCGCGAGAGATGCACCCAACTGATAGCACCGCGGGTGGCGCCAAAACTGGGTTAAACAGGATCCTTGTAGTCGCTAATTACATCCACCGTATCATCTAATTCTTACCGAAGTTTGCCAATATTCCTAACAGAGCTGGGTGCTTCGAATTGGCAACTACTGCTATATCAGCTTTTCACGACATCCCTCTAGTGGATTCAAAGGTTGTGAGAGATGGACCATGAATCATTATAAACCTATAATTATGAGTGCTACTCTGGTCATCTATCGTATGTGATTTTAAGGGACAACCGATAGCATTCTATACATGCATAGCTGTATAAACTCGACTTCCTTGGAAATTTCCACGTGAATGTACATAGTTTCTCGGGACTCGATACAACCAAAATACCTGGAATTTGCGTCCCACAAACGAGACCATGGAATCGAGCATAATTCTTCTGCTTTCTCGGACGCCTCGCTAACAGATAGACTTATGGGGTACTTCTTAGTTCCAGCCAACGCAAACACGCAATTCTTCAAGATCCATGATGGACGAACTCAGGACATACCCCAACCCTTGTGACGAGAGTGTCGTGGGAGTGGACCGTTCTTCATCCATTCAGCGCCACTGAGGTGCTTTTGGTGCTGAGTGATGTGATGGCTTTTTGTCTGGCACCAGACCTCGGATGGGAGCTATGCCCGATCTTCGTCTGCAGACGGATTCTATTGAGGTGACATCAATCAATTCCGCCTTATTGAAGACCGTGATCGGGATGATGCAAGAGGGCTTGCTCTTGACATCACGCTGCGTCAGCAACGTTCTAAGGAGGATTAGCTCAACGCCTTTTGGTCGCAGAACGTTCTCTAGATTGAACCATTTGAAAGTTCACTAGGTTCGTAATTCATGTCGCTCTGATTTTTTTCCGAAGTGTGTGAGCAAACTGCTTGACATAGAATATTAAACGGATGAATGTAGTCGCAACAATGTCGAAGCCAGCGTCAATAACGTTATATGTGCCACTGCCAACCCTCCCTGGAACGTTCTCTCTCCGTTTCCCGCGGGTATGGAGCCTCAGGAGGTAGTACCGATTGGGGATGTGTCCATCTACTTGACTTCATCCTGGTCTGCCGCCGCATGTGGAACAAGCTCAAGTTGACCTCATCGCGAGGGATGTGCCTTATCCGCAGCCACAGCACGGAGAGGTCATTTTTCTGTACTACAACCGTTGAACGTGGATCTACGTCATCACAAACTCATCTAAGACGAATGACTTGAATCTGGCAATGGCGAAAGCCATGAAACTGAAGTCCATAGTGACGCAAATATATGTGATGATCTGCTCGGATACGCACACCGACAGTACCCCGCCAGAAGTTAAATAGTGACATGATGAGTCCTTACTAGGACGAACCATGCGCACACAAGAGCTCGCACAAACCAACCCGTGTCCAAGATTCAGCCAGGGATATGTTGTGGATCATCCCAAAGGAGTGCGATTAGATAGAAGCTCACATCTGTGCATACTCGGTATGCCGGGCATGGATAGCGCCTGCAAATGACCAGGAGTGTTGACATTGGTGAACTTACCCTCCCTCTGATACACTGATTGAGACTCACCTTCCACCACGAAGTCATAGTTCGTTACAGCATCAAGTGGTACAGTTCAGCCTTGCCATAGTTTGTCAGCATCAGCCTTCTTCAATGCTTTCTTGATCTTGTTGTCCCGACGGTTCGGGGCGAGCGCTAAGCACGTCGGGACGTTCTCTGGTTGCTCAACCCAGAGGTGATGTAGTACACCCGCCGTTGTTAAAACCTCAGAAAGCCTCACAAGAGCGGTTCCGTTCGGGACCTGAAGACGGAACAAATGAAGACAGAACAGCGATGATCAGCAGTCGAGTGAATGCTAAGGTAATGATTAATCTTACCTGATGAACGAGCTGTCAGAACGAGAGCATAAGTCCAAGAAACTCAAAGGGGGTACTCAGTCACGCCCCTTATGCATGCCCTTGAGATCGGCGAGATACGCTTGCGTGTTGGGGTCGCCTCGCGTCTCATGGATCACAGCCGTGGCGGCATGCGCTACCTGCGCCATCAGCGGCCCCACGCCCCATCCTTTGCTCCGCTCTTCCGAATCCTGTGTCGGGCGCACGATGTGATCCGTGAGCTATGGGGCAATGGATCGAGCCGAAACACTGCGCACCTCGAGAAGATCGCGTCGGACGACTATCTGCATCACAAGGGGGCTCTCCTTCTTCGGCGGCGCGTCTGTCCGAGGAACCTGTGACTCGGAATCTGAGATGCCGGTCGATTTGTTGTCTTTTGGAACTAGATTCGTTGCAGGACCTGAGGCCATGCATGTGGCTAGGGCGCGTCAAAAGTCGCTGGGGGCGGACAAGCGTAGGCCGAAGGAGTGAAGTGCGGAGCATGGCTCAGGGGCTCAATTAACGCCGGGATTGGTCATAGGCGCCGGTGGTTCGGAGTTCGAAACTCTGGGAACCTTTGTCTCCTCGACATCTTGCTCCACGGTCACTCTTCGTCCCACTATGACATCTCGGCAGTTACTGCGCACGTATCCATTTTTGCTATAGCAAGTGCCTTCAAACCGACATTGCTTACTATTTGTTCTGCAACATCATCCCCTGTCTGAGGCTGCGCAAAATCCAACGCACGAACACTTGAGTTCCGTCGAGCACGCGGCATAGCGGCTACCGCTACATATCTCCTTTTCCTCTCAGTAAGCTGCTAATTTTGTTTCAGTGCTAATTTTATCCTAGGAACGCTGCCGCACACGGCAGCGTGCTCCTTTCCGTCGACGGAAGCATCTTCATTTCGTCATTTCATTGCCCGAACGTTCAACGTTGTCAACAGTGCGTATGCCACTCTTTACCTTAATGAACCCTTCAAATATATCTCCGAAATTAGCCGAGCCCGTTTTAGTGGAATCGGTTTTTGATAGGTGTCGCCTATGTGTATACTATCGTGCAATGCTCTGTTCTGCAAAGACGCTTGCTTGTCAGTGCAAAAATACTACGATGGACCCCCCTCTTTCGTCCAACCTGACCGCTCACTCAATATTGAAATCGTACTGCTCCGGACAGTTTGTGCCTTACAATCAACATAGGGGACCTGAAACTGACGTTTCACGAAAATAGATGACTAAATTTAGCAAATGAATGCAAATCATCGAGCTACGTTAACTCGTGCTTCAGCTTGCCGGTTTGCCGCCAGCGAAAGCTCCTATAATCTCCATACACTCCAGCACTGGTGATAAGCGACGCAATCAGTCATCGTTGGACTCGCAGTGCTGAAGTCAGCGAGAGTACACCATTGCGCTCGAGAAATGACGACCGAGGGCTCGTCATGTTACGCTCGCCTGCGAGGTCTCTTTTGGTACGTCTCCTGAATATCGTACTATAAATGCCCTGTGAAATCATTCGAAGGTGATACCGAACCAAGCCCACTCATCCTCTCATCCACCAATTCATCCTCGTACCGTCTCATCTTTTACTATCCAACATGAAGTTCATCTCCCCCGCTGCTCTCGCTCTCGCCATTGCCGTCTCCGGCTCTGTCGTTGAAGGCGCTGCTATCCATCCCGGCGCCGGTGTACAAGCGTTCCGCAGGAGTCCTGTATGTGTGATCCATTTTATATATGTTTGTCGATGCTCACTCGATATCCTATAGCTCGTCGGAGATGACGCCATGATCCACCTCGCGGGGTAAGCAAACGTTCGAAGGATCCCCATTCTCAGTCGCTTACCTTGGCTTCAGAGGTGGCGATGGCTATGGTGGCTCAAGCTTTGGCAGCGACAACGGCTATGGAAAGAAAGACAGCGTACGTGTTCCTTGTTTCATTCTCGCAGATGGTTGCTGACGGAGTTGCGCAGTCCAAGAACGACGATAGCGTAAGTAACGTGTGCCAGCGGGCTACACACGTGGGGGCTTACACCTTTCTTATAGCACAAGAACGACGACAACAAGAAGGACAAAGACTACAACAAGGATCTTAACATCGACATCGACCAGAACAAGGACAAGGAGAATGTGCAGAAGAATAACGACAAGAACGCAAAGAACGACGATAAGGATAGTTCCAAGAAGAACGCCTTCAATTTGGGCTCGAAATCGGACCAGCACTCTGGTTGGAAGCGCGGGGGCGACGAAGTGAGTGCTTCTTTCGATACTGTTCGCTCCAGTGGCAGTTGCTAACTTGCTCAGGATAATGGCGGTAACTACGGTAAATTCAATGAGGTGAGTTAGAGTCTTACAGATCAAGATCTTCGATTTACATATGAGTAGCAGAATGCCAGCGGCAAGAATGTAATATTTTCATTCCTACCTCCCTTCTCGCCGCTAAATTACTCGTCTCGCCAACAGGACCAGAAAAATAAGAACGACAAGAACGAAAAGAACGAGGTTTGTTTAGTTAACTCTTCGTTGGATTGGACTTACGTTTTCCCCATAGAATAACGACGAAAAGGCGAACAAGGACAAGGAGAATAATAGCATCAAGATATCGGACAAGGAGAACAGCAAAGACGACGAATCTAACAAGAATGATGCCGACCACAAGGAAGACTCGAAGCAGAAAAACGACAACGCTTTTGGCAAGCAGGCCGCCCAACAGGGCTGGAAGCGCGGCAGTGATGGCTACGGCGGAGGCTCTGAGGGACAGTCTTATGAAGTGAGTTTTGACTCGTCTGCTTTACTCCGTGCAATAGCTGATGTATATCTGGCAGAACCATGCTAACGGCTATAACGTGCGTCTTTATCTTTCCTTATTCTCGTCTCTTTGACATGTATTAACTGTGCACGTTTAGAACGATCAGAAGCAAAATGACAAGGGCGAGAAGCAGGATGTGAGCCACCGCCCCCGCGTTTTTTCATCATCATCATCATAATACATTCGCTAACGCGCCCATTCCTTTACTCAGAACGATGACTTGAAAAAGTCGAAGGACAAGGAGAACACTGATGTCCATATCTCCGACAAAGAGAATGCCAACGACGATGAGTCCAACAAGAAGGATTCCGACCACAAGAAGGACGATAAGAACAAGAGCGATCACGGATACGGCAAGCAGTACGGCCAAGCTGGTCGTAAACGTGGTGGGGACGAAGGCGGGTCTGGCGGATATGGCAGCCAGAATGGTTCCGGCAAGAAAGATAGCGTAAGTCTTTTTTGCATGCGCTACCAAGACGTCCTTCTGATCGGTTTTATTCAGGACAAGAAAGAATCTGACGTGGGTGAATGATCACATTTCCTGAGCTACCAACCTAACGAGTGTATTCTAGCAAAAGAAAGACGACTCGAACAAGGACAAGGACTACAACAAGGACTTGAACATCGACGTCGACCAGAATAAGGACATAGAAAATGTTCAGAAGAACAACGACAAAGATGCTAAGCACGACGATAAAGACGATTCGAAGAAGAACGCTTTCTCGTCCGGCAACAAGTCGAAGCAGTATGGCTCTTACTAGTCGATTGATACTTGTTTTCGCTGGACAGAGCGCGGTATGAGTGTTATTGATGTGGACTATGATAGGCTCGGACTCCACTAATTACGTACTACTTAACGCATGTTTTATTCCCTCCAATGAATCTTTTCTTCTCTTCTACATCTTCGTCCTTTACCTTTGAAGTTTGCTGCGAACGTGAGCTCAGGAGTTATTTATCTATTCTCGGAAACTTCTCCTCGAAACTTTCCGCGGCTATCAATCAATCAGGCACGCGTCCCCTTGGTTGTCACCTTGTCACCCGCAGTCTAACTTCAACTTGCGCCCGAAAGGTGTTGTCAACTCTTGGCATATCCACACCTTTTCTCAGAAGCCTCTCCGCTGACCAATAGCGTCAAGGACTATAAGCATTATCAAAGAACTTGAGGCGACGTAGCAGCACGTTCAGCCATGCAGGCAACTGCGTGTCAAATTTTGATCAAGCCTATAAGCTTGTGTTTACGACAAGTCCACTAGGCGGGTCCCGCGGCCGAAAGCTGTTCAGAGTAGACGTCTCATCGTTATCTATATCTTGGAACAGCGTCTACACAACTAGCAAATTTAACAGGCGAAATACGGGGCCACTTTATTTGCGAAGCAAACTATCATTTTGGATGGAGGCCTGAGGTCGGTCTGGACGCGAAGTGCGTCTTGCTGACATAAACCCTTTGGCCGAATACCGGCTGCCAAGCTGGAGCTCAGGAGCATGCAAGGCTTGGCAATGCTGGAACAAGCTGTGGCGTGTGTCCGCGTCAATGGATTGGGCGGCTGGTAAGGTTCGTGTTCTGGTCTCTGCCGTTGACCATACAGTACATTCGTGAAACGCCGGAGATAATTTTGTTCGACGAGCGTTTATACGAACGTGGGCGGTGGGAAAAGGAGGAAGCGCACGAAAGCCAAGAGATATGTGACATGTCACGCCTGTCAAGCGTGACGGATATTATACCTTGGCCATTGCAGCCATGATGGCGGTCTGCTTGAAACGCCACCGAATGCTCCTCCTCCTCTTTTTCCTATCTCTGCTATGGTTTGTCGTCGCAACAAACGCCGCAGACTCCTCCGGGGACAATGGCTACTCTTCCGATCCCATTCTCAGGTATAGACCCCCGTTCTCCAAGTCTCTGCCCGTCCAGATCCTCTCCACCGGAATCATCCTCACACTCGTCGTCATGCTCTTCCTCCACCTCCTTTTCACCGCACAATACCACTATCCGATGGCACGAGCCAACTACGTCCTCCAAATGATATGTGTTATCTCCCTCATGGTCTCCCTCATCGCCACTTTATACCTCATCTTTCGGTCAACCGTGCAAGAAAGCCAGCATTGGCCCTACATGCTCAGCTATCTTCAGGTCGACATGCCTCGTTTCGACTACGGCAATGGTCCGACAAACAGCACCGATCCTACGATGCTGTATGCGCATGTCTGGACTGCAGCGGAGAGCGCAACTTGGATAGTGATGAATGCGACGACATCGACAGTCGTCCAGGTTCGTCCCTCTATCCTATTAATAGATAGCCCCATCCAACTCTCCCCATGCAGATCACTCATATCCATTTCTTGACGCTCCTCTACCCATCATCTCTTGAGGCAAGACTCATATTTTGCCTGCTCGGTAAGTCGTGCGTTTAAGTTGCTTTTCGCAATCTATTTCCCCCCATTTCGCCATTCATTCTTCTTGCGCACGAATCAATCATTCCGTCGGGGCTAACCGACATCAGCTCCCTTTACCCACCTTTCTTCCTCCTTCTTTCACCGTATGACCGTATCACTGATTATTAGCCTGCAGGCCCTTTGGCAATCGTTGCGGCCGTTATGCAAGTCCTCCCCGTAGCCATAACTTCCCCAGAGGTTCTCAGCGTGCTTGAGGATGTCCGAAATGTCTGTAATGCGACCCTCTCCCTCCTTTTCACCACCGCTCTCGTCCTATGGGGCTTCGTCGTCAACCGCGAACAAGCTTGGCGCACTGATGGTGGTACTGCGACTTTTGGTGCCGGTGCCATCATACTCGCCCTTATCTCCACGACCCTCAACTTCTTCTACATCCCTCGCTCTGACCAGTACACCTGGCTCCCGAAGCTTATCTGGGCAGTGACACTGTGGCAAAGTTTCCTCGGATATTGGTGGTGGGTGGGCTCAGGCGTCGGGGTGCGCGAGGCGGAAAAGCGTATAGAGTGGGAAGAAAAGAACATCCAGAAACGCCAGCTGCGCGCTCAGCGGAGGAAGGAACAACGCGAGAAGGCCAAGGTCGTTTGGAAGGGTGTCACCAGTGCGTTCAAGCCTAAACCCGATTCTCTCGGGTCTCTGCAGAAGCGCCGGGCGCAGTCAAGCGACAGCGATGCTGTCTCGGTAGGGGAAGGAGAGGCTCCAGATGACCAGTCTGAGAGACACGCTGGTTCTGCGACGGTCATGGACTCAGGCTCGACGGCCCCGTCCTCGTCGGCTGTGGACTCGACTGGACCCACGTTTCTGCGACCATGGCGCAGTTGGTTCACAGCTCTCCGTCACGCCCACCTTACTGCCGCTCGTGAACAGGCAGTCGAACGCACCGAGCGTATACACCAGGTATACGGCCGCGAAGATAGGCGCAACTCTCAGCGAGAGCCAAATGCGCGCGTTATTGGCTGGGGATTGGGGAGTTTTGGCTTGCGGCAGTCAGAGCGGGGGCGGAGGGAACTTGAGGATGGAGCCGTAGATGATGAAACGGACGCTGCGACGCTGACGAATGAGCCGGGAGTTGTAGGGGACGCAGAAGATGGGAGGGGCCGATCGCGAACGAGGCAAGCATTAGCCATTGAGGAGACGGAGGCGAGGACGTGGACACGTACGTTGTGGTGGTGGTCGCCGTTCCGGCAGTGGAGGTTGCAGGACTCGACGGCGTATCGATGATGTTTGCTGCGTTGAACAGCCTCGGTATGGTGACGTGTTTTCTTATTTTACTGACTCTGCTGTAATATTGTGTACTTATATGTGCTATTGCATGGAAGCGGACCCGGCTCCTTCGGACGTCTCTCAGACCCATCGCGTTTCGCGCAAATGCCGTGGGAGGGAAGCAAAGTTATATGACTGTGGCCATCTGGGATTCACGATCCCAAGATCAACGCATCGCTGCACTGTTATCAAGCGCTCACCCGTCTAACATGAATCGTTCCGCAGTGACATTCCAGCCATCGACTACCGAGTGGATGTGTGCCAAGTTGCTTCGTGATGACGCAGAGAGTACCATTCCCCGACCAGACGAGAAAGCCTTTCGTTCGTTTGGACGGGATAAGGTGCCGATACGAGTTATGTACGACGCTCTGAAGATGAGGGAGAGTGGTATGGTGTCTGGTTTGATGGTCAGTCTCGTTCATCTCACCTTGTCACCGAACGCGTGAAAATTCAATCGAACGTCGTTTAGGTACTGCTGAGGAAATATGTGACACAAACGCTCAACTTGACATGCTACTTTGATAAGCAGAGAAAAGATGCTATTGAGTCGCTTCGGGACGAGGTACGTCACTTCCTTCCTAACACTATGCAGCCACACCGTGGACATGCGACGTTGATGTTGACGATACGAACGTCCGCTCAGATCCGAGCGGATTCTTCGCAAGACTCTTCGTACTCTGCGTTTCTACGCGTATTGTTCGTACGCTATGAGGATGCGTGGCCTATCGAGGCGCTCACGAGAAGGTTGATGATACGCAGGACAGAGATGCTGCGCGAAAAACTGGTGTGTGCTCGTTTGACCCTGTGACTAGAACAGTTCTGCGTCACATCTCCGGGCCTGACACTGATACGCGGACACAGGGCAAGAAACGGGCGCCAGCGTTGCGTGGAGTGCTTGTGCGCCTTTGGGAGGAGCGTCCTGGCGCATCCTCTAGGCTACGCTATACGTACCCATCCTCTGCAATGGTCACTACCCGATCCTCAGCCAAGGCTTCCGCGTTGACGAGGAAGCGTGTGCGCATCGTGGCTCCGGGAGATGGACTCTACCGGCGCAGTAGTCGAAACCGCGTCCAGCGCAAGTCCACTAGGAATTTGAGCGTCCAAATGGGCAGCCAACGGATGCTTGTGTCGCTGCAAGAAGCGCTCCCGCGGAAGCTGAGTGCCGTCTGGATCGCCTTCCTCACGCGGGATCATGCGTTCAAGTCGGACGCTGGTCTGAGTCAGATGTCGAGGTGGGGTGTGAGGCAGCTGGCGCCTTGGTTGAGCGAGATGTTGGACGATGCTAGTGACAGGGATGTTGCTCAGTTTTGTACGTTCTTGCTGAGTTTTTTCGCATGTGCTTGAGAACCGCTTCGTGTCTCATGCATATGTGGATCTGGGTTATCATTTGACGCTTTTGAACCATGTCGAGACGTACTATAAGCAGAGAAAAGGAAGCACACATGCATTCGTTTCTTTTACCGAAGCATCGCCGAGATATGGAGTACTGACTTACGAGCTATCTCTAGATGGAAGTTCACTAGCACTTGCTCTCTTTAGATAGCGCTCGTGTTTACCATGTGGCAGGAAGATTGGAGATCGTATAATAACCTTCAACCCTGCCGTCTACGTACCTTTCCCGGAACCAACGCGTTTCTGCGGTGCTGTTCAAGGTTATCCTAGACTGGAAATGAGCTGCCCTGTCTTGACATCGCAAGTGCTAACATCTCAGCCGTTCGTCAATGAATGGATGTGTAGGGAAATACTCTCAGATGACGCCGGGAGCATCATCTCCCGTCCTCAAGAGGATATATTTCATGCCTCTGGTAGTGACAAGGCTCCGGTCCACATCATGTATGATGCTCTCAAAATGAAGACTGGCGCCACCGTAAAAGGATTCTTGGTCAGTCTCACCATAAAAACATCGAGCACACGAGAGCTGAGCGCTGGCTGCGTGCTAACCAGACGCTGCTGAAGCCATACATAAAGAAGACGTTTGACTTGACCCGCCCGTTTAATGCGCAGAGGCCAGATGCCCTGAGGAGGCTTTATGGCGAGGTAAATTGCCTTCCCTTGATAACATTCACCATCCGTCCCTGACCTGTGGCGTTGACACTGCGCACACTCGAATAGGTGTTTATTGCCGCCTCGGGCGAGTGTTGCTGTGCGCTCTTTCGCGTGTTGTTCCTGCGTTATGAGGACGCATGGGCCATAGAGGCGTTGGCGAGGAGAGTCATGATCCGTCGAAATGATTTACTACTAGAAACCCAAGTGAGTTGGCTTCACCCATGATCGAAATCTTCTTCGATGGTCACACCGACTCTTTCAGGGCAAGAAACGGCCGTGTGTGGTGAGAGGCACATTGATACATGTTTGGGAGAAGCGCCCAGCAATTCCCTCTGTGCACCTGGAAAGCATCCCTTCGTCAGGTGCACGGCTTGAAGTAGCTGTATCGGACAATGTTTCTACGCCAGTTGAGAGGCGAGCGCCGTCGCATTCATCGGGTGCACGGCTTGGAATTCCCGCGTTGAACAATGTCTCTACACCTGCGGAGAGACGAGCGCTCCTGGTGCCGTCAAAAGATGCGCCACCGTGTCCCCTCAACACGCCGTACGGCGTCTGCGAGCCTCATATTAACCTCATTGGCCCACTGATGCAAGACCAGCAACGCCTGGTGCAACTCAACAATGCCCTTCCTCGGGAGCTGAGCGCGATCTGGGTCGCCTTCCTCACGAGGGTTCACCCGTACAAGTCAGACGCTGGCCTAGACGAGATGTCAAAGTGGGATATGAACAAGACGGTCGAATGGCTGAGCAGGACACTGGGAGACGCGCGTGACTCGGACGTTGCGAAGTTCTGTACGTTCTTGCGGAGGTTTTTGGTGGGCGTCTGAGGGCTGCCCGCACGGTCCGCTGGGCACATGTAGACCGCCAATCCCCAATGAATTGATTAACCCATGCGCGTGTATGTATAACGCCAAAAGACAAGAAGAAGAAGTAGAGTTGATATCTATGTGAATGATGCGACACACGAGATGACAATGCGTGAATAAAATAGAATGCATGCATAGAGGAACAATGCGAATGGCCGATGATATGAGACATGGGCAAGAAGACGCCAAGAAAACGTGTATAACGACGAAATGAAGTTGTCTACAATGGGCATAATGAACATAGAGAAACTGACGAGAGGCGGGATATGTAAGATAATGAACGTAAGCAAGGTGAAGCTCACTTACATTGCGATGCTTTACACAGATCGTGTGCGCCAACTCTTTTGCAAGCGGGGTTTCCCAGGCCGTCAATGGTGTTGAGAAGCTATTCAGGAAAAGTCATTAGTGCACGAGGGATAAATCATGAAAAGGCTTACGAAAATGCACACTTCAACTGAAACTCCCTCCCCCTCCCCTATCTTCCTCGTAACTGTGGAAACTGGCCTCACCGCTCATGATTGCATGGCGCTCGGGAGTTCGGTGAAGATCGTCCTGACACAAGCGCCCGATACCCTGAACAGGCAATCCCGATGCCTCCTGCGGGACCCACTCGTAGCTATTAGGTGTGACCGCGCTCGGGTCCATGTTGTACGAGACGACGGGCTCTCGAAACCCAACGGTGAAGGCCTGGGGTTGTTCGCGCGAGCCGTCTGGCCTGAACCCGTGCGTGCGGAGATGCCGCGTCGCATTCGAGCGGACCACGAAGCGCTTGTCGCAGCCGGACACCTGGCATTTGAACGCTGTTGGGTTGTGTTAGATGTGGTCAAGACATGGAACCCGGAACTGAATGAACGGACACCGATTCACCGATTCGAGGTTACGATCTCCTCAAAGCGGTACGGCTATGAAAAGGGTGCTGCGGATGGGCTCACGTCTGGCCCCAGTATGCGTGCTCATGTGCGTTGCCAGACCGCTTGGGCGGGAGAAGACTTTGTAGCAGACCGGGCACTCGTGGAACCGGCGCTTCGCCCCTGATTTCTTCAACGCCTGTTTCTGTTCCTTCTTCTGCTCCTGCTCCTGCTCCTGTCCCTGCTCCTGCCCCTGCCCTTGCCCCTGCTGCAACTCCTCGTTGGCGTGCTCGTCCGAAACCTGTTTCTGGGCTTCAGCCGCATACGCCATCGATAGATTCTGGAAAGAGCCGGCAGTTTCGTCCGAATCCTTCCTGCGATACCCAATAGCACCGCTCTGAGTCATATAGTATCCTGCCGGTGGCAGGGGCATGTTGCACTCGTCGGTGCACTCGTGCGACCACAGGGGTGAGGCACCGTCGCTGAGGGAGGTGCTCATCCACGCTGGCGAGTTCGGCCAATAGCCGGTGGAGCGAGCCGGGCTTGAGAATGCCATGGATGAAGGTGAGGCGGGTCGTCCTGGGCCCAGGGCTGCAGTCAGCTCGGAGTAGCCGGTTTGGAGGGACAGCTGAGAGGGATCCTGGCCCATATGCTCAGATGGCATGGGGGCGTAGTGTCCCTGGTCGGACGACGAAGACGGGGGTGGATTTCGGCTAAAAGACGGCGGAGCACTGTCCATAGAGTCACGGAAGGAATCGTAATACGATCCTGAAGACAGCGCCGATGACAGTGGGTGGTACGTAGGAGCATTTTGAGCGATTTGTTGCGGCTGGGCCTGGACAGTTTGGGAAAGATCGGGCTCCGTCAGATTATATGACGGGTTTGCGGCAGAGTACTAGTCGGGGGAGAGTAAATGAATGGTCTGAGGTAGAGGTGAGTCACACTGCTCACCGAGCTGAACTCATCACCGTAGCCACCTGTTCCGACACCAAAATCCGTGCGTTGGAAACGCTCTGGATATCCTACTTGTTGCTGTTGCCCAGCTGAGTGATATTGGGGGGTATCGCACGAGGAATTTTGGTGATATTTGTTGAGAGCGTGGATATCGGTTCTGGTATGAGACATGGGCAGGGATGTAGCTAGGCCAGCACACATCATCGCCGACGATGGGTAGGGTATGGTGGAGTGTGGCTGGGACCCTATCTCAGAGTCATCATGGGGGCTTTGGCCAATCATGTACATGGTGGGAGTGAGAAATGAAGCAGAGGCGGCTACCAGGATAAGAGAACGAGGCGACGGAGAAGTGACTTAAACTCCCTTGCCTTAGGTTTGAAATGAATGCTGCACCGAGCGACCTGCCAAGGACAGATTGATGGCCGACGGAGTGGTACAGCTCCCGTTGGAGGCTGGAGCATCGATGTTTTAACCTCGTGACGTACTATGCCTGTGCCCCCGATGAAACAACGCGCCTGTCGTGAAACATCCTCGACTTGCACTCAGTCCCTTGGCCACATACTCCTACAACAACCTTCAAAAACTTAATATTCATATATCGCAGTGTCTTCCACAGCCTGAGACAAAGCGACAGACTTGCCTGTTGTCTGGGAGAGATGCCAGCGAGATGCCGGCTTCCACCGCGCTAAACCCCCTATCTTCCATGGACAACATTCCAACGTTTATATGTCACATTTATCTAAACATTAGTGTACACAATTAATGTACAGTGCTCTTTGGGTACCAGTCATATCGTCACCGGGAGCTCAAAGAAATTGGGTAACATTTAACCCGGTGCCCTGAGCGAATAAGCCTTGAAGGGTAGAACACACGACAGTCTTTCGAGCCGTATTTACTCAATTTTAGGATCTAGCTTCTGAGCTTCGACTATGCTATCAAATAGACCTAGCACAGTCCACAAACAAATTTTGGGAGGTAATGGCTGAGAGACGCGTTCAAGATACTTGAAGTACATGCATGTTTCACGAAGGGCGCGTTGTTTCATCGGGGGCACAGGCATAGTATATGTCAGATTTGAGCTCTGGGTTGCGATCAGCGAAGGACCGACGAAATGGCGGAAGCGGCTCCACTCCCGTGATTGCGGTATGATGCATGCATGACGCCGCGGCGTAATACGAGTACTTGTTGAACCAAGATGGACAGCGAATATTTGGGGGGGTGCCGTTAGGTATAGGCGGTGTGAGGATGCATGACTGGCAGCTGAAAACAAGACAAGGGTGAATACTATTAGTGGAATAAGCGCGCTTGAGCTCCCATTTTTACAAGAAATAGGAGCACCTAGACCTTCCTAGGCTCCATCCACAGCCCAGCTGCGATCCCTTGTGCGAATGAGGGGGCGAACTTACCACCGCTGGCGAATATTAATGTTACTCGAACCCAGTGATGTGAGACTATAAAGCCTCATCGAGCCTCTGACGATCACCCTGTTAGCCTAATAGAAGACCGCCGCCTTATTGGATGACGTACACTGACCTGCTCCCCTCTAATGTGCCCAGACCTACGCATCCGGGGGCGCAACGCACAGGTTGGCCGCCGCAGTCGGCAAAACATCAAGGTTATGTTCACAAGGTTTGCACACTCTCTCGACTTTCGAATTCGGCTGCTGCAGGAACCCGGTCTGCATTTCGTGCTGGACGCCACTAGGTGATCTCGATCAGGATCTTTTATTGGGGAAGCCCTATGACTCCGCCTGCCGCTCGGCGCACGTGAGCGCCGGCAATGCCCGAGCTGGCGACGCGAAGACGCTGCTATTGCATGGCGGCTTCGACTCACACTAAAGGAAAGTGATTAGGTGGCTCGGTAAGTCGGAACACCTTTCCCGGGTGCAACATAACGCAGGCTCGCATTCCAAGTTAATTAAGCCCCGGTTCAGAGTCCGTGAAACTCGCCCAGCTAATCCGATTTGGTTACCGAGCTTCGATATCCCGATGTCGGAAGCGTCGTACCATAACGTCCCCTGACGATCATTAATATTTCCGATTGACGTGCATCGGGAGCAAGATAGGAGGTCCATTTGGGTATCCTTTTTCACCGTTTCGACACTATCGGGCGTATCTGGCGCCTCAGAAGAGAAGCAAACGAATGGAGCTCGAACGTTATATGTGAGCGTCGGTGCGGCGCCGTCCCTGATTCGCCTATGCCGCAAGCGTCTGGGGGTAATAAGCCGTTCGCGTTGGTGTCGTGTCATATATAGCTCATGTATATCTAGGCTTAGAAGTTTAGGCAAAAACACTCACTTAGGCCACTATCGCCTTGGGACTTTGAAATGTGGTTTTCAATAGATTATGGGCCATATCTACGCTTCCTGTGAGCTGGAAGCAACTCTAGTCTCAGGTTGTTTGTCTGTTGTGGCAGCTACTGAATCTCTGGAGAATCCGAATCTCTAACAGACCCCAGACCGCTTCATCAGCGTCATCCATGTGGCTCTTGCAATACTGAAGTTCGCTTGAACTGAAATTTGACCTCATTTTTTGATATCAAGACAATACTTGGCACCCAACGACGAAGCATATAAAAAGCCAATGGAAAAGCCCCCGGTCAATCCGGTAGGGTGAGCGACAGGGCTAGATAATGGCCCGAAATGCGAGATTCATGAAGTCACATGGTGACTTATTTCGTTAAAAAAATATACAAGAAGGCCCTGTGCCAGAAGAGTCGACACATGAAGCCAACGTTCTCTAGCGCTCTTTTCGGTTACCCCGGCCCGTGGAGAAAATGAAGACGTTTGAATAGCACGGGCCGCAAGAGCAGCGGAAATTACATGCCACAGATACATTGCAGACGTGGTTAGTACGAGCCCCTTTAGCTATGAGTAGACAGATGAACACCCGCCACTTGACATCGTGTGATCCTGCGACACCGATGAACGCGTTCTATGCACTGTTGGTTGACTGAAAAGCAAGTTACATATATATACGACGGTGATCCCCGCCACGATAGCGTACGGATGAATAAATACATGGATACAGTATAGTGCAACGGGATGAACATGTATCACGAACATGATCATTGAGTACGAAAGACATGGCGTGCGTGGTGGATTGTTTATAGATTGTAGAACAGACTCGCGAGACGGTCGATAGAGACGTATGTCATCGTGCGCCTATTGAGGGCACGACGAGGCGAATTGGCGAGCGTGGGCCGGCTTCGCCCATCGCAAAGCTAGTTTGAACCGCAAGAGCAAGCCTTCCCTTGTTTGGTGCACTGGCAATCGTCACCGGAGCCATTGCATGAACACTACGAAACAGGGATCAGTAAGAGGGGATTGGCGATACAAGGATGTTCGGGAACACCGAACATACCTTGGATGAGTGTGTCGCGTTCACGCACTGCTGACAGTCGCATTTGTTTTTGGGGCAGGCGCAGCCGGTACCGGTAGGGCCGCAAGCGCTGTAGATGGTGTGAGCGCGTGAAGAGGTGAGATGGTCAAAGGGATGCGTGCTCACCCGCAGTTACTCTGGCAGGTGCAATCGGTGGCCATTGCGATAAAATCTGGACAGTGGTGGGTTGTGCGGTAAGGGATGCTGAGTGTGCCGGTGAAAGTTCGAGGGGGCGAAGTGAGATCTGAGAGCCATGGGGTTTATATGGATGGAGAGGGGATGATCCGCCTCCATGACGTCGTATGTTACGATGCTGCGTCGCAAACCACAGGCAGGACTGAAATCTGCGCTTACGCCCGGCAGTCATAGGAATCCGTGTCTAGACCGTGTCTCCATGCGTGGCTTGACGAAAGGCCCTGTAAGATGCTCACCGGAGGAGTTCCGGAGAGTTCATTGCGCTTCGCGAGCAAACGCCATATGCACACCGCGCAAAAGTTTAGGATGGTATTGAATCAGTGCGCGAACGTGTGAAGACGAGGGTCGGTAATGTTGCAAGACCGTATTGACAGGTTTGCGGTCGACGCGGCCAGGGACCGAGGTATGCCCTGGTGCTGAACTGTGTTGAACGCTGAGACCTGCTGAGAGTTGGTTGAGAGGCAATGTCGGCATGATGCCGACGGGAAGCGGTATTCCATGTCGGGCTATGTTTTTTCTCACGGGCGGTTTACATCGCGTCTTGCATCTCGACATCATCCACCAGCTGACTGGCCACTTACTCATGTTTTGCTTTTGGTAAATTATACCGTTCTTCGTCTGTTACCAGGAGAGACAAGCACCTTTGGATACCTGACGTCAGTGTAAATCATTGAGTTGTTGCACGGTGGTCGTTCTATAACAGTGAGTGATTCGACCATCGCGCGACGAGCTTCCGAGTGTTTATTGCGTCGAAGCCATGAACTCGTATCCACCAGAGCTGCTCGTGCAGCTCGCCCCCGTTATGTTCGTGGCTGGTCTCGATCCTCCTCCAACCCCCGTCGACACGCCTTCACCCCCTCCAGTCGCCCAAACGTCCACCTCCCCGCCACCGCCAGGCGCGCCGCCCACCCACAGATCCACACCTTCGCGCTCCCAAGACCCATTCGCTTCCCTCATTCTCCGCCTTCGCGAGTCCCTTGATGCACAGCGAAAGCCCTCAGTTTGGGCACCGGATGCCTCCAAGACCTTCCAGATCATCCTTGTTGACAGGAACGTCGACTTCCCGCCGCGCAAGCTCGCTCCACCTGACGATCCTCACCAGTCACCCTATGCCGCCGCAACCGCGGCTCACTCGCCTCTGTCACCTCTCACGCCGAGTTCCCCGCTACACCCTGACGGACTCATCGCGCCGATATGGATCAGAAAACACACCGCGCTCGTCCCGAGCGTCTTCGTCCTCTTCCTGAAGATGTATGAAGCACCGAGCACGTCGCCACGATCCCCGCTCGAACCACCAGACGCGGACAGGGAGCGAGAGAGGGCAGATGAGGAGAGGAGACGCGACTTGGAGCTCGCTGCTGAGATCGCGGCGCGCAAGCGGAGCACGGGCGAGAGGAACATCAAGCTGACTGTTGTCCTCATTGCGAGTCGCAAGATGCTTGGTAGGTGCTTATATGCGCATATATCTTGCATTGAGCGACTTGACGTACGCATATATGCAGATGACCCGGCACTCGATGCAAGACTTACCTTCGTCAGAAGGCAGAGCGGGCTCGACTCACGTGCAGCGCTTTTCGTTCTTAGCCCTGTTGCGCCCTCAGAGCTCGCCGAGTTCGTACGCAGGTACCCACCAATCGCGCATATATCCATGATGGTGTCCTAAACTTCGCTATGCCCCAGCTTACAAGACGCCCTCTACGAACCTGCGGTTGAGTACTACACCGCACATAGCAAACGCGTCCGCCGTAAACGTAACCGGCACGCACAGTCTTTTTCTTCATTTGCGCCTTCGTATACACCCCTCTCTCCTCTAGGAGGTGCCCCAGCCCGTCCTCTGAGGCCCGAGGGATGGACAGTGCGGTATGAGTACAAGATGGCATGCTTCGCGGAGTTTCGGAGGGAGGATGAGGTCGCGCTCAAGTGAGTACTTTATACTACGAGTACGCGGATGGACGTTCATTGAGGCCAGGCACTATCAGGATGCGTACGCCTCGTTGCTCATCATGTTTGGCTCGACAGCAATCCTTCCGCCGCGGACAAAACGGTGGGCAGAGGCCAAGGTGCTCGCGGACGCGATCAACATCAAGGTGCGCTCTTCTGTCCCATGTATGCGCCCTTGGGCGTGCGGATTGCGTTGAATTTTGACCATGGATGGCTGAATACTGGCGTTAGATCGTGAAGCTGTACCTTTACAACAACGAGCATGCCCTTGCACTCTCGCGGCATTCGGGTCACATGCGCCGCTTCTCCGATTTTTCGCGAGGATGGGGCATCGGCGAGGAGACGTTCGAGTTTTGGAGCTGGCTTGCAAGGCAGTGAGTTGCATTTACCCCCTTTACCACCGCCACCCGATCTCCGACGTCTCTTTCGATGATCACTCACTCCGTCATTCAACGCCGCAGACACCGTGTCCTTGCCGAACTTCTCGAACGCGGTCTCGCATCTACACTCATCCTTCCCTCGTTTTCACCTGAGCCGCGGCTGCCATCCGCTGTAGGCTCTCCTGGAACAACGACATTGGAGCTCGAGGGACTGACCGGTGGACGTGCCGCCGGTGTGAATCCCAGTCATGCGCTGCAGCATCCTGGCCACTACTACTACATGGCAGCACGGTGCACTGAGGCTCGGCGTGAGCGCTTCCTGGCGAGCGAGGTTGGTTGTTTGTTTACGAGGCTCCGAGGCGATGATATTTGAGACCTGATGATTGGTGGCTAGGGCACATCGCAAGGGGCTTCTGCGGCTCCTGGGCTGACAAACGAGCGCAAAGTGGACCATCTGACTATCATTCTCGAGGTAACGTTTAACAAGTTTGTGTGTCAAGCGAGCTCTGTTGACAATATGCACAGTTGTATACCAAAGCGTACGAGTTGTTCAAACGATACGGCGCCCAAAGCCAAGGGCGCCTCACGCTCTGGATTGCGGGGCGTATCGCGATGACGTACGAGCAGGCGGGCGACACCGAGCGGGCGTGCCAGTTCGTCCATCTCTTTTACCTTCCTGGGTTACATTTTTACCAACGTGGACGTGGTGGGATGCGACAGATTCTTCAGCCGCATTGCAAAGACGTACCGCCGGGAGAGATGGCACGACGTTCTGCTGCCTCTCCTTGTGCGATGGCACGCGTGTGCGCAGAAGCTTGGGGACACCGAGGTGGCCGTGAGGCTGCTTGTTGAGATGGCGGGTCAGGGTAAGTTGGTTATATCACCAATTTAGTTTGACATTGGCTGACAGTGGATGCGACATAGGAGCGGAGACGGCGCAGGAAGAACTGGTTTCTATCCTACAGGTTAGGTTTTCTCATGTGCTCGGAGAAGTGAGGTTTCTGACGGGCACAAACGATATCAGGGTTCAGAGCCTCCGTCTACGGAATCGATCCTCATCGACCAAGAAGATTGTGAGCCGCTACGTAAGTAGTCTTCCCTTAAAAGCATAATTTCAATATTTACGTTCTCACGTACGTTTTCGTAGTGGATACAAACGTTGTGTTCTGGACGCCGGAGGTGCGCGTTGGCGAGGAGGCGTCCTTCCAGATTACACTTTCCACCCCGGAGCATATCATGCTCGATAAGATGCCCATACAACAAATCAAGATCTCGTTGGGCGAGGGCCACAAGCCGATCGTGCTGAAGCACAAGGACGAAGCGGTTGATGGTTCCGAGCAGGGGGTGCGCCTTGTGAAAGTCGGAAGGGTACGGCTGGTGAAAGAGGGTAATGACGGGGGAGAAGAAAGCGGAAGTAGTAGTGATGAAGGGGACGAAGATGAGGAAGACGAAGGTGTGGATGAAGATGACGGAGAAGAAGATGGGAGTGATGATAGTGGCGGGGACATTACTGAAACCTCGCTACGCTGGAAGGCCGGCGAGAAGCTTGTGCTCGCGGGCAAGATCAGCTCCGACGTGCCTGCCACGCTCCAGGTGAGCCCGTCAATATGCTGCGTCACCGGATGAGGTTACTAATGCCTCTATCAGGTCCAGTCGATTGAGGTGACCTTGCAGGAAGGAAAGTGGACCATCATTGTTCCGCACGCATCTTTCGCCTCACATGGGCACTCGGTCGTTACGCCCCGATGGCTGACTTCGTCGAAGCCGCTCAGGTTTTTGCCTATCGGACGAGAACACTGGTCCAGCGTTGTGTGAGCCATGCAGCCCTAAACTTTGGTTTCAATGCTAACTTTTCTCAGGGTTCATCACCGGCCACACCAGCTCGCGCTTGCGTTCGAGCACCACGAACAGGCTTTGCTGGACGAAGATTACCCTATCGTCATTAGTGTGACAAATACGGACTCTCGGACACTGGATGTGGCTATCGATGCCTTACTGCAGCCCACGGCGTTCGACGGTACTGGTGTGTCCCGTTTACTTCTCTTTTGTGCGAGCAAGGTCTAACGATGGGTAGACAACTATATCGTGGTCGACGAACAGCGCTCGGCGAGCCTTATCAAAGGTGTTCGTCTTGGAACGCTTGCACCTGGCGTGTCGACCCAGAAAACACTACACCTGTTCAGCACGGGCGCACCTGGAGAGCGTGTCATCGACGTGTCGGTACAGTCTACGCATCGGACCAAGCGCATGAGAGACGAGACGGCCCGCCATAAGTCCGGAGAAACTCCGGACACTGCATCTGAGTCCGCGGAGATCGATACTGGAACGCAGGAAGGCGCGGAAAACTCGACGGAGGAAACGGAGGAGGAAGAAAATGTGGAGGCGAACGAGATGCTCGAGACGCTCGTCGTTCCTGCTCTTGAAGCGCTTCGCGTTATCTACGATGTGGGGTACAGGAGGATGATGCCTCGTGCGCTTTTGGGAGGTATTTTGGACGCGAGTGTGGGACCAGAGGATGCACCTTGGGGTGAGCATGATGCAGGCGAAGCGCTTGTGCATGCGACTGTGCAGTGTGCCGGCCCGGTCGGGTTGAAGGTGGATAGCGCGAAGCTTGTCCGAGAGGTGAGCGACATCGCTATCCGTCTTCTCAAGTGATGGGGTACTGACTCGGGATAGGATGGTATAAGCGCCAGAATTTTGGATGCATTCCTTGACGAAGCCGGCGAGGAGATGTTCGAGGATGGTATGTTCACACTGGTGGTACCTTGCTTGCATTTAAACCTGACATTCTATATCCCCAGAATATCTTCCCGGAGACGAGTTTGGCGATTCATGTCGGATTTCCCTCGTCCCCGATGAAGAGGAAATGTCGAGCGGCGAATATATACCCGGACCGGGGTACTACGAAATTACCTGGCGAAGGTGAGCCAAGCACCCTCCAACGCTTGCACGTTTCTGACAGCGCTGTAAATGACCAGAGTGCTCCAAGGTGGCAACTATGGGCCTCCCTCAACTTCCCTCTTCGCACTGCCAACCCTCCAGCCACCTCGCGACGGCCTCATCGGCCTTCTCAGCGTACCAAGCACCGCCAAGCTCCATGTCCCCACCCACATGCACCTAACAATACGCAACCGACACCCGTCGCGTACAGCGACCGTCACAGTCCAGTTGGAAAGCGACCCACAGCAGCAGGACGGGAGCACGAGCCTTGGTGGAGGCATACTTGTCGCAGGCCTGCGTACCGGGCGTGTACCCGTTCTCTTACCTGGCATGGAGTACACGCTTAGCTGGCGGATCATCCCGCTCGAGTGTGGATCAGTCCGTGTGCCGGGCGTCAAGGTATTTGACATGCGGAGCGCAGCTGCAGATACCGGCGCCAACGGGGAGGAGGTGGAGATTGTGGATGTGCGGACAGAATGGCGGGGCGAGAATGCTGAGGAGTCGGCTGGGACAGTGCAGCCACTGCCACTGAAATCGACGCCTCGGCAAGGAGGGGAGAAGGCGGTAAGGCCGCCTCAGTGTATATTGGTTCTGCCTTGACTTTGGTGTACGATGATATGTGATAAACACCCTTTTTCTTGCATCTATTGTAGAACCATGCTGGAGCAATCAAGTGTCCCCGCATTTTGATTCTAATCGATTGCGCATATACAGCGGATTCATACGAGTACATCAACTTGAGGCCACTCAAAAGAAATGAGTTGATGCAAAGGCGGTAATTAAAGCCTAAATATCCGTGGCATCAGAAGCTTAGCCATGGCTATGTCTTTTATTGTCAACTGGGACTGCTGGCCTTGGGATTCAGACTTGCCCGTAAACTGTGGTGGAGCCACTTGAGTGCTACCAACGTTTGGTCGCCGATAAGTCGATTGGACGAGAAACCGACACGAATAGTAGTAATAAGCCTACGTGATTTGAAGTTGAAACCCTTTCAAGACCAATCTAGCAAGGATACTCGCAGAAATATGTCAGAAACTGGATTAACTGACCCGAAGTTGATGGAAACGTAAGAAGTGGCAGAGAGGGCTACATCAACCAAGTTGCTGAGATTGAAACGAGCGGACAAGATCGAAACGTAACTCGAACTAATTAGTAGCGCGTTGCTCAACGAACTCCATCGTTTTCAACCTTTACTGTGCCACCATCGCTCAGCGTAATTAATGAACCCAAGGAAATCAATTATTAACGAATGTATCAAATGAGTGACTAGTGGTAACGATATTCATCGATGGGGAAAACGATAAAAAGCCCAAATAGAATCCTTCTCAAGCCCTAAAACCTCTCATTCAACCTGACTGAAGGCCGCCGACATGCGCAGAACTATGGCGTGGCCAACGACGACTGGTGAACGACTCCAGTTAGTTGTTGTTGGGGGTGATCTTCACGGGGGAAAGGACACCGCCGGTGACGTAGTAGTCCTTGCCGTCCGAGCCCGAGACCGGGTACGTGAGTTGAGCGTACACGTTGTAGCCCGCGTCGAAGTAGGTCGCGTAGGGCAGCTGAGACACGGCGGATCAGATAGGCGGCTGCACCACATGACAAGATCACTTACAGTCGTGTCAAACGAGTCCGAGGCAGCACCGCTCGCGGGCGTGCTGTGCTTCAGGAGGATGGGAGCCTCGTAACCGTTGTTGCCTGTCGGGACATTGAGGTAATAGTCGATGAACTCCGGCTTGATGCCCTTCTGCGTAGCGCAGGTCAGGTCAAGCTTTCCGGAGATGGCCTAAGCAGAGAGGGTCAGCATCTTGGTGGAAGACAATTATAATGCAAACGCACAGAGCCAGCAGCGAGGCCGTTGGTAGGCGTGACGGTGAGAGCGCCAAAGCGGGCGGCCTCAGGGCACGAAGCAGCGCGAGTGGTGGGGGCAGCACTGGCGACAGCAGCAGCAGCGAGGGTGAAGAGGGAAGCGAAGATCATCTGCATGATTGAGCGAGGTGTGTGTGTGAGACGAGAGAAGGGAAGGGCTTGAAGGCTGTTGGTGGAATGAAATGAGACTAGATGCGATGAGAACCCGGTGGACTTGAGGGCCCTCCTTTTATGCATGTTCGAGTGGCCGCCTATTTGTCAATAGAACCACTTGTGTCGCCAGACATGTTTCTCTGGGGTGCAGGGCCTGAGCGGTCGGTCAGGCTCGGTCATTCAAGGAAGCCGCGCTGATGCGCTTAAAGTGTGATTTACCGGGAAAACGTTACCAGCGGTAATTCTTGTTCCCGCGGAGGATCGGTCAGCCAATTACAATGCATATGTGCCACGTGCCAGTAGGTGGTTAAGAAGTCATAGCCGTCACCTCACGAGCTCAGATCTCAGGAATCATAAGAAGCGCGGTCCTCGATGGCCGTTTTGGTCTCGTGATCGGCTCCGCTGCTTCTGCAACACTCTCGAGGTGCCTAAGTATTGATGGAAGTTCCTCTAGTGTCTTGACCGAGATTAAGCCACCTGTGTTTTATCGTAGTGCATTATACAGAGGTTACACGGAGTCTTTGTTGGCGGAGACATAGTGCTCTCTGGGATCCGAAGTCTGTAGAACAAGGTGGGTCACGAACTCGGAAAGCAAGGTTCACCGACCGGAAGAGATTCACTGCCAGAGAGCAAATTACCATGTAGCCAATATCACTCGCCGCTCTGACGTAGAGAAGCGTACAAGCGACTTCAGGGCTGCAGAGGGGAATGTGGGACGGACTAATATCGCTGACGACATAATTTGGGGAGCGGCTGATCCGATCAGGTATGGTTCTCGCTCCGAGTTGCGACTCTGTGAGCTAACATGTTTGGCTTGCGGTCGATACCAACGTATCCACGACAAACCATACATTTTTGCGCTGCGTCTGAGGGAATAAAACTTTCTTTCACCATGAACGAAATAAAAGCATTCAAGGAATCATACTTTCGATGAGGTGAAAATCATATTGATGGTAAAGCAATAAGCAGTAAGCAGGGAAAAGGTAGGGAAAACCCGACGGGGGCGTCCCGCATCTGCGCCAGAATCTCAGTCGCTAACTTCACTTGAGTCGAAAATAAACCCTCACTTACGACGTGTCGATATTCTAATTGTGCATGCCCGGTGCAGCCCATCGCCGTAGCCACAAACCCACATGGCCTCCGCCGGCCCAACACTGTCGCGAAGAACGATGGTTCCATTGAGTTCGAGTCGCTGCAAACTCTTGCTGGTCTGGCCGCCTCGCCGGACTACAAAGATCTCCGAAGTGTGTCTGCAACCAACCGTTGTGCAAAACTCCGAAGCGACGTAGCACTTCTATGCGTGACGCTGTGGCTTTCTCTTATTCCGCAAGAGCCGAAGCTCTCTGTGTTCCTGCAGTCCCAATCGAAGCTCTATTCAGCAGAGCATCGGTACGACTGCTGGCCGTTAGGCTCCCCTGCCGCGGATGGTCGGTGTGTTACAAGGCCGACCATGATAGTGAAGCAGAGCGTGTCAAAGCAGGATCGCTGCTGGATGTGCCAAAGCTGTGAAATTACGGTCCTGGATGACCGCAAGCCCATCGTGACACGGTGTCCCCACGAGTCACAACCAGGGTCGTCACCGCGTCTGGACTCGATGTATAGCCACAGCAAGATCATTCAACCAATACTAGTAGCCCTAGCCGACGTGACTCAAGGCGAGGCTAAGCCATGCTTAGGGCTCTAGAGACCCCCAGTAGAACGTGAGAATTCGCGATACGGAGAGTTCATGAAGTTGTTCATCTGGATCCAGAAGTAGAGCCACGATTGGCTCCGAAGCGCGTTGCGTCAAACAGCCAATCAAGCAAAGGGAGTACATTTATTAGACAAGCTACGCAGACAAAGGCAAAGCGGGGCACACAAGTTGATGTTCGATCTTCCGTTCCGTGTCACGGTTCCGAGCATATAACTCCAATCTCCGCAGGTGAGGAGCTTCTCCCACCAAATAGCGCACCGCGTCCAGCAGAGATGTCCTGTACTTGATGTAAAGCCGGATGCTCTTGCAGCGGTGCAGATGATGCTGCAGATGCATCATGACGTGCTCTACGCGCGCGCTCTCGTGCTCGTCATCGGGACGATACCACCCGTTCTGGGTTTGACGACGCGTGATCTCCACGTCTATAAGTTTGTCGCGCGACCAAGCGAAGTACTCAGGGATGAACGAGGCAGGTGTGCCCGCCTTGTCAACGAAGATGACAACTCTTGTCCAGAAGGCGGGTTCCATAGCGAGAACGGCTCGCCACTTGTGGCAGACAGCAGCAGGGGAGAGGGGGAAGAGGGTGGTACATTTGGGACGGCGCACTTTCCATTTCCAAAACTTAGGGTTCCTAGTATCCACCGCCTCCTTGCTGTAGTACTCGGTATCTGCTTTGCGTCTCTCGCGATCCTCGTCGAAAAGGAGTTGGAAGATGGTAAGCAAGATTTCGTTGGGAAGGTTATCGATCAGAGTGTAGGCTGGCCAGAAAGTGTCTTGCGCCCGACGTTGCGAGAAATGGTCGACCGTTGATTCGTCGACATCCTACACGTCGCGGCGGAAGCGTAAACCAGAGGAAACGCGCAGGAAGTTGGTAACGCACCATTGCGGCCATGTCGGCAAGCTTCCGTCTCCTCTCTCCTACAGTAGTGCTGTCGTACAGCTCTCGTTGTTGGCCTCGCGCCTTGATGCTGAAAGGAAGGAGTTAAATCGCTTGCAGCGACAGTGAAAAATCAAGGAGATAAAGTCAAAACGTGTTTGCAGTGCGCTTGGTTCATGTTTAGGCGCCAGAATGTTGGCTTGGACCCAACTGCGGCAAGCGCGAACGCGTGTTTCGCCACAAATTTCGCCCCAAATTAGCTAATTCAGCCCAAATTTAGTACTCAAGCCCCTGTTCCCAGATCTAGAACCAGAGCTTTGACGAGGCACCACCAGCTACACTACGTTGGCGCCAACATTATTCACGCCCTTCGATTGCAGTGCGAGCCTGAGTCCGCGAGCAACATGAACGCTAACGCATGAAAAGGCCTGCAGCGTGTCAAAGAGGTCACCTCTGGTACTTGAACCTTGTGCGACGGATACGATATGATGTGCCTTCCTGAGCGACCATGAGGAACTTAGTGCATGTTCACCATTTACCTCTGACTTCCCTAACCTTCATCAAGCGAGGCGCTTCGCAGCCTCTCCCGCTTAGATTCGTCAGCACATCACCTTGAGCGCGAAGGCACAACAGAGAAACGAGGGGTAGCACCAGTGTTTGGTGACAATAAAGCCGTGCATGTGAATCATGCACACTACATACGATACATACGATGCAGTGATAGAGGATGGTGTATAATACATGCAGACTTCCCTCTGGATCTTCCACGGTCATTCCGCTGTGACGCGCGGGAAATCGTAAATGTCTGCAATGAAAGATTGTCTTCGGCTCACGGACGCGCTATATAGACCGATCCAACAACGGCAGCGACATACGCCACATCGACAATGGTGTGTCCGAGTTAGTCGGGCGCTGCAGAATGGCAGCCTTCGTTTTCAGATGGAGCCAATAGGATTTTCTACCTCCAGAGACTGGTCAAGTAAAGCTAAAGGTTACGTCAGTCAGGTTATCGTATCGAAGTGCGAGCGAATCAACTCACTGCATATTATGAGCTCTGCGAGTTAGTGGACGACGTCCGGTGTCATCACAGCGGGTCTCTTTGTCTCAACTGATTTTTCTGGAAGTCGCGGTTCTTGTGAGACCATGCGTTCGAGTACGCCAGCAGCTGCCATTTCACGAACCTGACTCATGTGTTCTCCAGGATGGTTCGGCTTGTTGCCGCCAGCGTTCACACGGGGAATACTTGAAGATACCTGTCTAAGGATTTGTGGACGATGGGCGACGGTGCCGTTCATGGGTGTCATGGAGAGTGATAGTCTGGAGAGCATTATGTCGGAGAATGATGGTCGCTTGGTATGTGCAACACTGCTCATACTTATACTCAATTCTATCCCGAGGGTAAGCCTAAGCGCCGACGTCGGCGTGACGTAAGATGACGTGAAAGCGAGAGAGAACCTTGTTCCTTGACGCCTTCGAAGTGGGGTAAAATTAGTTGATGTGGAGTGACAACGGCCGTTGCCGGTGGGCTTGGCTCAATGATCGGACAGACAGGATCAGGCAATTGCATTTGGGAAGTGACAGGAAGTGACCCATGCTAAACATTGTCTTTCTGAGCGCTGGTGAGTCGGTCCAGCTTCTGAAAGGGCTAAACCTACGTCAGTGCCTCAGGCATGAGATTATTGCAACGTGATGATGGCGCAGATACGGTATTCTGTCGCGGGCTCTTGACTGTAACGAGCAGTCGTACTTTCTCCGTTGCCATCGTAAGCATACTCGGTATCCACTGCCCTGCTGGCACCTTTTGAACATATCCATGGCTATCTTGGGGCGTAACTATCGCGGGCAAAAAAGTAGTAAACCAGGCTAGAAGATGCGCTGCAGGCGTCAGAATATCAATTTCTATCATATTGTGACGCATGCAAGACGTACCTTATGACAATGTGCTGCTTCATATCTGTCAAGACTCAAGGCACGGGGCCGACACTTGGAGCAGCCTTGGAGCATATGCGATGGAAAACTACCGTGATCGTTACTGCCATTTGCAAGATCAGGCTGGAAATGCGCGCGTCAAGACCAAGGCTTGCCTGCGAGTCAAAATCCATGACGCGCTTAGGATGTCTCAAACGTTCGTAGCATTACATTGGGAAGGCGCATCATGTCGCAGTGATTCCTTCACCACATCAACACTGAGCTAAGAGAATCAAGCCCGTGGAGCTTTTAGAGAGAACGAAGAAAAGAAAAGAAACTCGAGTCAGAACCTCGTAGACGGCAGGATAGCAGCTACGCCACTGTTCCTGGGCCTGACGATCCAATTCACTTGGTGTATGTCCATGAAAGGGATAAATGCTCTGGGGGTTCGGATGCCAGTGAGATGGTCGCTGCTGTGACATCCGTGGGCCAAGGCCCGCCGCCTTCACTGCGACCGTGGGAACAGAATCAACAGAGTGTTACAGAGGATCACCTTGACGTCCAACGGTTCGTCAACACTGTTCTGGACGAATCACTTCATCTCGACGTTTCAATACGCTCAGCATCCCGACAGACTACCTTCAATGTCTTGCGATATCGCATCTGGATTCTAAATGCACGGTCACTAAGTTGCTATCCGCCGTGGTCCGTGAGACCAAGCTGACAATCTCGTCCTTTGAGAATGACGACATATCGTGCGCCATTTGCTACTCGCAAAGCCAATGTCACTCCTTATAGCACGGCAACGTCCTCGCCTCACACTGAACTCCTCTCACAAACTTCGATACACTCTCAACCGCACTTCAGCATCAGGCATGCCTAGCACCTTCCCTGATCACAACATTCATCCCGAAGCCACCGGTATTGCGAAGAAGACCGTCGACGCGCATCAAAAGCCCGAAGAGCTGGTCTTCTGGTCAGGATGGGTACGTCCAACGTTCATTCGCATCGGCCATGCATGACAGATCTGATGGTGATCGACCGTAGTTCTGTCCCTTCAATCAACGCGTCTGGATTATCCTCGAAGAGAAGGGCATTCCCTACCAGTACAAGGAGGTGAACCCGTACGCTAAGGAGGAGTCTTTCCTCAGTAAGTCTCCCGTCCCACTCTCCATCCTGGCCATAGTAGCCAACGATCCACTAAAAATCCCCAGAACTCAACCCTCGCGGACTCGTTCCCACCATCGAGTACCAGGGCAAACCTCTGTACGAGTCCACAGTTCTCTGCGAATTCCTCGAGGACGTATATCTGGACCGGCCGCCGCACGTCCTTCCCAAGGACCCGTACGAAAAGGCCCGCGTGCGCATTTGGGCAGATCACACGTCAAAGCACATCATCCCGGCGTGGCATCGGCTTCTCCAGCTTCAGACCAAGGAAGACCAAGACAAGGCCCGGCAGGATCTGTACGAGGCACAGCGCAAGCTCGCGGAGGAGATTAAGGGTCCATACTTTGCTGGTGAGGAATTCGGGTTGGTCGACGTGCTAAACGTGCCTTGGGTCTCGCGCGACCATGTCCTCCGCGAGTATCGCGAGTACAAGCGTGAAGGGGCAGGCGAAAATTACGCGCGATGGGCTGACCTACTGGAAAAGAGGGACAGTGTCGTGAAGACGACAAGCGTAAGTATTATTTTCTTACAAATGTCAGCTGTGTTCTTATCCCGCTGTATGCACAGGACAAAGACAAGCTCATGGTCATCTATGATCGCTATTTGGCGGGCACAGCGAACAGTGAAGTAGCGAAGGCTATCAGAGAGGGTAAACCTCTTCCATGAAAGTTTGATCCACGGCAGTCCGTTGTGTAGTACATCAATAATGTTTGTATCATACGAAACTATTGTTTTATCAGATTTGTAGACATAAGTGTAAAATATTCAATCTCATGTCTTTTCCGTCCATTCTACTTCGTATGCTGCACAATGAAGTCTAAAACCGCAAAGGCTGATACTCAGAGACTAATCCGAAACTGACCCTCAATTTGTATTCTTGAGATCACACGGAGGCACGTTCCACCTTGGCAGGCTTCCGTGGCGTGATCCTACACGGGAAGTTCATAGGCACCCTCCAGAGCAGTCAGTACTCTACATTCACACGCCAACCAACCCAAACCACTCACGAAGTCGTAGCATTAGCCCACTTCACCTCCGCGCCCCGCTCAATAAATTCCGGTTCGAACTCGAACGTAAATCTTGCCAGGAGTCTCGCGATCGCAATCCACGCCGAGTTCACCGCAAAGTGCCGCCCGGGGCATATGCGCCGGCCGAAGCCCCAGATGAACATGAGCGTATCGTTGGTGAGCTGCCCGGTCGCTGGGTCGAGGAAGCGTGTGGGGTCGAATGTGGTTGGAGAGGGGTAGCGTGTGGGGTCTTGGGACATCGCCCTACGTTGTGTTGGGGTTTAGCAAAGGTTTGAGATGGACGGAGGTAACTGTACCAAATGTTCGCGATCACCGTGGTTCCTGTAGAATAAAGAGATATGGATTAGCATCCGTGACAAAGCGAGCAGATGGAGGCGGAATATGTACCTTTGGGAATGAACCAGTCCCGATACACGTCATCATTTGTCGCAGCATGCGGGATACCTAGGAGCTGCGTCAGCGTTGCATGTTTCTTCAACGAAACTATAAACTAACCAAGCGGTGTAACGGGGTGCCATCTTCGTACCTCCCTGAAGACTGCCTCGATGTACGGCAGCGAATCACGGTCGCTGAAGTCAGGAAGACGGTCCATGCCAACGACGGTGTCGAGCTCTTCTTGGGCACGTTTCTGAACGTGTTGGTTCCGGCACATTGCAAGAAAGAAGACAAGTAGGGTCGATGCTGTCTGCGATTGTGATTTAGCAGAAGATATTTATGAGGGTGATAACGATCGATGCGTACCGTGTCTTCACCAGCTTGAGAAAGAAATGCGACGTGAATTTGACATAACGATGTAAAGTCGTGCAAGTGCTTACCACCATACATAGTTGCACACGCATTCTTGACCAACTGCTCGTAGTCTCCAAATTTGTCCGAACCCTTAAACATCTCCAGTGCGTCCAGGGCGATCGTGTTGCCAACCGTTCCAGCTGCCTGAGAGACAAATGTATGGTCAGAATCTTCCAACTCGCGGGCAATAAAAAGCGCACGATCTTCTCCTTCAAATACTCAAACGGCTGATTCAACTTCCTCCCTTGTGTCCTCCTCGCTTCGGCAGCGTTCCTCCAGCCACCGGGCAGCCACGTCGGTGTATACTTCACTGGCGTTCAAATATACTTCATTAGAGAGGCCTTCTAAACGAGAACGAAGCGCGCTTACAAAACGGGAGGAAGGTAATCAGAGTCATATTAGCAGGCGTAGCGAGCTTGTTGCTTAGTGCCGTAGCCGCCGTGACTGCTTGAGTTACCGGGTCGTTTGCAGGCGCCACGTCGTGATCATAGAGGGCGGACACCATGATGCTGCCCGCGTACCTGTACATTCAACCCCAAAGTATATTGTCAGCTAATGTGCCTGCGTATCGGTACCTGTAGATTAGTGTTTACCTGACGAGATGCTGATGCCAGTCCTTGGGATGCTTCTCCAAGTTACTAAGGAGCGCCTCAGAGAAGCGTAGCTGGGTCGGCTGGAAGACGTCGACGTGATGCTCGCGTAGGCTCTGATGTGCGACACGTCTATGCAAGCGCCACGTCTCATTATGTTGCAGGAAGACAGTGTCCCAGTCGAGGCCATATCTACGACGTAGGCAATGGTGAGCAAATCGTGATACTGAGGTAAATACGTATAGCTCACGGTTCCCTGAGCGACGAGTGCACCCTGTCCGAATAGTTGCTGGAGCGCTTTTCCATAAGGTCCCGAGCTGCCTCCTCGGTATTGAGGATGACGGATTCTACACCAAATTGGGAGCAGTACACGACGTCGCCTATGTTACAGGCAGAATTTCGAAAACACAGCGTTAGGCGGCGGCAAACCGAACGAATATGGACGTACGCACCATATCCATCTTTCCACTCAGTGAATGTTAGCCACGGTTCTGACCCATCCATCTGGTGGACATTGCCAATGAGCGGTAGAGGAGAGGGCCCAGGCGGGAGGGGCTTCTCGTGACGACGGCGTCGAGAGGTCGCTGCGTACGTAACGATGGCAAGGGACAATGCGGCTGCAGAGTATGTCAGTGACATGAGTGTGATATAAGAACTATTAAGACGGTAAATTTTGGACGTGTAGAAGTACCTTATATACATATATGTTTGGGATCGGGCTGACATCGTATCGTTCGTCTCCTGGCTCGGGGCCGCCGGCATGAGTCGATATAGCGTCGTGCTATCGGCATTTGAGTCACTGCAAAACGGAACCGCGGCGATCAGTGCTCAGAGCGCGTTCTAAAAGTGTCTTCGTCTCAGTTAAGCCAGACATTGGGGCAAGACTTCTCCCACCATCAAGTAAGCATGTCGTCAGAGCGACATCGTTACGCGGGTTCAGCACCCAGGGAGACGTTTGCTGCCTCCCGAGTCAGATTCTTGTCGGAAGGTGTTGCACCGTGAGATGTTAGCGCCAGAACATTTATGCTGAGACCGAGTGTTATGTATGTCAAGAGGTTGCAACATCTGCAGGTGCGAGTGTTAACGTTAACGTTCAGGTGAGTCGTCGCTGGCTGTCGAGCCGCGCCTCTGAGAGGCGCGGATGAACCTCCGGGAGCACTTCAAACTCCGCTACCGGAGTTTCCGGTAGTCTCGGGTCCCCACGTCGGAGTCGGACCCACGAAGCTCTCGTTTGACTGCGACCATCTGCAACAACGTGCCGTATTTCGTCGTTTAATCCGAAAGGGGGCCCGAAGTACGCCGTGCGGACGTTCACTTGCCGTGGGGTAGCGTCAGGCGTTCTCCTCAAGGAGTAACCGGTGACCACCCATGGACTAATTTCCCTGAGATGAAGGGATGGTCCGGGCATCTCGTTTTGTCAACACGGATCGTTCACGGAGATTCACGGTAGCCACACATCTCGACGCAGTCCTCGTTCAGACATGGTCGATATCTCACAGCTCGGACCTAGCTGTCTACGAGCACTCTCATGCTCGAAAGTGACCGCTACAGTCCCCTGCCGCATCGCATCAAGAAGCCACAAGCGCCGTGAAAAAACTGCTGATCATGATGCAGGTCGACGCTCACCAAAACCTCGAGGCTCCGTCTTCTGGTCAATGTTGGTACGTCCGCTCGCTCGGTACAAGACTTCTGTTGATGGTGGGTACCGTAGGTTTGTCCCGTCAATCAGCGATCTGGAATTACTTAACGTCGAGGAGTAGGTTATCCCTAGGCAGCACATGGAAGGCTAGTCGTATGATACAGTGGAAGCTTTCCCCAGCCAGCACCATTGATGAACATGCTGTTGCGTCAAGCATGATGTCCGAAGACTGAACCCTCGCAGCTCTATCATCGAGTACCAGAGCAGGTCGTTGTACAGGCAAGGGCCGACAATGTCATCAAAACTCATCGGGGACGTACACCGGGGCGGTACCCAAAAATCCCTCACAAGGTCCTATAAGAATAGGTTTGTGTCTGTAATTAGGTCGATCAGAAATCGATGCATATCACCCCTGCATGGTACTACTCACTACAACTCGGTTATAGCTCAGGATCAGGGATGGGCTCAAGATTGGGTTTGGCAGGATCCGTGCGAGGATGCGGCTCGCACTCTCAGAAAAATCAAGGATCGAAGGTTGTTGTTTACCAGCAGCAAGGGTACGGGCCGCTCGCCGTGCTGAACGTTTTCCAAGGGTACAATCACGACCGCGAAGGGGCAGGCGAGAGGTTCTCCCGGTGGGCCGACCTGTTGGTCAAGAGAGAGGGGGCATATTCAGGAGGGAGGCGTGAGCTCCTTCAAGGCATGCGGACTGACTGTTTGATGATATAACGGCATAAATCATTGAGGATAAAGATAAGTTGGATAGCCCTGATCGTTACTTGACAGGTACTGCAGATAGTAAACCGGGGTGGACCGTCAATGGGGGAAATCTTTCCCGTGACGTTTTCTACCGTGTGCTGGTAAGCTTTCATGAGAGATCTTTGCAGCTGATTAGGCCCTACCGTTCATTTCCTCGAATATGACTTCAAGTTGAATGTCAAGGCGGAGACAAAGTGCCCATCGAAGACGGTCAGCTGTCACCCGTGGGTTGGTGGGGACATTAATATCTTTGCATGCTGCATGTTCCGCAGCGAACGAGCGTCTCAGCGCTATAATGAAGAGACCCTACCCGTCACCCCTGACTGCCCCTTGCTCCCTTTATTTCGTGTCACGTTCCCTCCTCTCGGTCTCTCGCCTTCTTCGCAGCTGCATCCACTCTTCCCCTCCCTCGGGTGCTTCTCTACACCCTCTTATATGATTTAGGGAGCAGGTGGCACCTACATCAAACCGAAACAGCGGTCTCCACTCGCACTCCTCATCGGACATTGGTAAGGACGGCACTCGTATTGGCGACCACAGGAAACCCTGCACAACTCTCTTTTCAACTGCGTACCCCAATCAAACTCTGCTTGAGTCTGTCTTGGGCGTTATATACGACGTCTCGGGTCGCATAGACGCACAATAGTGCGCTGTTCTCTCGCACTTTCGGTTTCAAGTCGAAGGCCGAATGTCTTCTCACTTCTCTCCGGACCCCTCTCCTCCTGAATCTACGATCGAGATGGTGCGAGGAGGTCGTGTCTCAGGCAAGATGACTACCACGCTCAGAACAATCGTGCACCATGTCAAGAAACACGCTGGCGTTGGCATTATCATTGCGGTCGGCTACTTTGACCCGTTCGTCTTCACCAATCTTCCTCTTCACGCTCTGCGTCAAGACTCACGGCGGTTTCGATTCCAGGGGCAATTGGAGCGTTGACTTGCAGGCCGGATCCACGTTCGGTTATAGGCCTATGCTGTTCGTCATTCTGCTTGCAGGTATTATGGCAATCATCCTCCAGGTCAGTCCTTTTCTAAGTGAAATGACTGAGCGAGACGCTCATTTGAAACAGATTCTTGCGGCACGACTGGGTTCTGTTACTGGACTAGGTCAGTCTCGTCTCCCCGTCGCCTCCCTCCATATCACGGTCACGTCGGTTGACCATCCCAACTTACTGCAGATCTTGCTACACATTGTCGGATATGGCTGTACAAGCATCCGAAGCACCCTAAGCTTATCCGTCGCTGCGTCCTTTATCCCCTTTACGTACTCTCGGAAATCGCCATCATTAGCACAGACCTCGCAGAACTGCTAGGCTCGGCTATCGGGCTGTGTCTTCTGTTTCCTAAGCTTCCAATATGGGCTGGAGTGCTCATCACTGGTGTTGATGTGCTCATCTTCCTGATCGTTGGCGATCCTACTAGGAACAGGGGTCGACCCGTACGGTTCTTCGAGATTGTCATGGTCGTTCTCGTGAGTTCTACCGAACACTTCTCGTCGTAACTAAGCGCTCACTGGCAGCTACGGAGCAGGTGGCCATCGTTTTTATCTGCTTCGTGATACTGGTCGTCAAAGTGAGCCCGAACTGGCCGGAGGCGTTTTATGGGTTTGTTCCCTCGGACAAGTTGTTTCAGAGCACTCCGAATGCTCTCTATATTGGTGATTGGACGTCCTCGTTCGTTTTGTCGTTCGTTTTGAACTGACATAATCAAATCGCGTTAAACCTAAGCTATCGGCATCATTGGCTCTACGGTCATGCCTCACACCCTATTCCTGGGGTCGTATCTCTCGACCCAAGACAGAGTGGAGGTAGTGCCAATACCCTTAGAGTTACCCGATCTAGACAAGCTGTCCTCTTCAAGGGCCAACTCGCGCTTTCGGCGATGGTGGCAGCTCTTCGAAGCCCAATTTAGGGCTGAGGAGACATCGGAGGAGCGTAAAGCTGAGCTTCGGATCAGGCATGGACATAGAGAGAACAACCCCCTATCGTTCATCAAGGCGCACATGAAACATGGCCTAGTTGATATAGTCATGAGCTTGCTTGCTGTTGCTGTCCCGATCAATGCTGCGTAAGCGCCATGATCTCCTTCTCGTTTTCTGAATGTTGACGCGACGTGCGACAGTATCGTGATTGTGGCCGCAACAGTATTCTACGATCCCAATACCCTATCTGACGGGAGCCTTTTCAAGATGCACACTCTTTTGGGGGATACTCTCGGAAAAGGTGTGCCTTAAGATCACGAAAACATTATCGCGTGTAAGCGACGCTGACACACGCTGATCTTTAGGGGCGGCTTTCATGTTTGCGTTAGCGCTTGTGTGCTCGGGGCAAACTGCGAGCATAACTGCAACGTTCGCGGGACAGCTTGTTTCGGAGGGTTTCATCCAATGGCGGATATCTGTAAGTCCTGGCGCCGGATTTCGTGCATCAAAGCAGTCGACACTTACACTTAAGTGTCGTAGCCTTTCTTGCGTCGCCTCATCACCCGCCTACTGAGCCTTATCCCATCTATGATCGTCGCCATCTCATCGGGCAGGTCGGGCATCAACAGGCTCCTCATCGCGTCCCAGGTGGTGCTTTCCGTGGTACTCCCGTTCGTCGCGTTCCCGCTAATTTACCTTACGGCATCGCGGAACGTCATGTACGCTAAGCGGGGCTCGGAACATCCGGATCCGAGCCGAGGCAGTAGGCGCGAGGATCCCGAGATTGGATCTGACAGGGACCCACAAGAGAAGGCGGATGCAGCTGTCAAGGAAGGACATGTCACTGTCGGTTCGGTCGCTTCTTCGGCTGCGGGTAGTCCGACGCTCGAGATGCCGCAATCCGGTCCGTTGGCGATCAGTGGGCGCATCCGAGGCGTCCCTGAGCCAGGAACGCCAATTAAAGTTCGATCGGAGGAAAAGATAGACTTTAGCAATTCGTACATGATGACAGGCTTCGCGTTCTTGGTGTGGGCGGTCGTCGTGGTTGCGAACGTGTACGTCATCGTGATGCTTGGTATGGGCGATACAGGTCAATAGCTCTGGCGAGTAATAGTGCAGCGTACTTCGGACTGCATACTCGCGTATTTACAACCTCATATCGTCGCCTCTTGCATTTCGAAAATTAGAGTCTCTCATCGAACAATCACACAGTGTAAGGAATGCCACGACTGCCACGACCACCTCCCCGATGCGATGCGATTGATATAAGTAGGTATGTATAGTAATACACATGGTGAGCAAGTAAAAATACACATTAAATAGTATACAGTACCGTATAACCGTCTATCCGCAAATAAGTATAAGTAATGCAATAATATGCAATCGTACAATAACCAATGAAAACACAATGAGCCTCCGCGTTATGGTGGTAGACTCGGAGGCACTGGGACCATTACCTCTCTGGGGTATATTGATGGGCGAGAATTACAACCAGCGTCGTCGCCAACACATGAGCGACATTTATACGTGTTGAGTAGCTTGTCAGCCCGGAGAAACAGCTGACGTAGTGCAGCTTCAAATCGATGAAGTTCGACCTCGAACGGCGGAAAAGCAGGGGAATCTGGTGAGTATTGTGTCTGCCGGCTTGGGCTGAGAACGATACTCTTTTTAGAAAGCGCGTCCGTCTACGTAAAAAAGTCAACAAAAGGAGAACAACGATGAGAACGAGCTGACCGACCAGATAATCGACGGCCCATCCTAGGTAAGATGCCAAGTTGTCCATGTTGCCAATGATAACCTCCAGCCCTTCCTTGAAGTCGTTCTGGTCGGCCGACTGCGAGACACCGAAAGGAAATCTATTCTTGATCTTATCGCTGAGCTTCTTGAGTAAATGTCCCTTGTTGCTCGATGACGCTGGGCTAGCAGCGATTATCTCTTGCTGGTGCTTGAGTGCACGAAGCGCCGGCAGCGTTATATTGGCGGACTCAAGTGCTGCTGAGTAGTCGAGAAAAAGACTTGATACCGTGAGCGACAGAGTGTTTGCGACGCGTGCTTCGGCGCTGGTGGTCCACTTGAAATACGAGTGAGGAGTGTTGTAATGCAGCATAGTGTGCATTTCATCCAGCGCGTGAGTAAACTGGTAACGAAGTTTCAGTTTGGATGAAAACTAACATCTGGGGCAGACTGACTGTGCGTCCGATAAAACCATGAGCAGAAAACGTGTGCAGGAGCATAACATCCGCACTATCGGTTAAAGCGAAGGAACCTTCCACGCTCTCGTCGTCTTCACGCGCCCACCAACGGGTGGTTAATGGCGCATATACATTATGACTACATCATTAGCATCGGATGCGCCTAACTGATGGTTTTGACAGACTTACCTGATCCCGTGCGACGTCAAAAAATACTTGAGCGAGCTCGTGCCATAGGCTAGACGAAGAATGTCGTCCGCATGGTAAACTTGATCGGTTAGGAAGCGCACTGCAGCCGCCTCAACGGTACCAGCGGATGTAGGGAAAAATATGTTCTCCACTGGCTGGGTTCTCCACAATTTCGCCTGGATAACTGCGTATTGTTGAGCAATAGGTAGCATGATGGTTATGCCGAAAGTCTGAAGTCAGTGTCAATTACGCTATTGAAGGGAAGGGAATGGAACTCATACCAGTTCAGAAGTCACACTGACGAATTCCAACAGGAAGAACATGACAAGAAACCACCGTATTGCAGCTAGTGTTATGTGGTAAAAGAAATCGCATGTTAAAACAGAATATCGCGATATAGACCCGACAATGCCGGAGAGATGGAACAGAAATGTCTCAAACTCCTGCACACTGCGTGGCCGATGCGAGCCTTTGCTATATGGTGCTGGCGAGACACGTGGGGCGGATAAGCGGGTGGACCGCCTACTGCTAGACGAGCCCTGACATTGTGGGTCCATTGATCCAGAGTGCATTGCGTCAGCTTTCAAGAGCGTTTCAGACGACCGAACGACTGGACGCATAAACTGGAGGGTCCAGACGGGTGCCAGACGGGTGCCAGTGCGTGTGCGGCACAACGACGAACGGCGAAATCGTGTAAAATTCGGGGGAGGGGGGAGCGTCTCGCGCAAGCGCGGGGGTATGTAGGATAAAACAGGAGATGTAACATCCTTTACGGAGTGCACCTTCATCCCTTGGCTTCTGACCGAACTCCCGGTTCCGTCATGACGGATTCAGGTCGGAATCATGACAGAATCAGGACAGAATCAGGACGCAATCAGGACGGGATCAGGATGCAAAAGATCGTGACAAGATGGAGATGTAAATGCTTTCGGCCAAGATGCACTTCATTCGTCGCCCACACACGCCTCTACGCGTACATCTATCCCTGACGTAAGTGACAGTTTCTGTCACATGGGAGCGCCGCTGAGATGCAATTCCCGCGTGTTGAAGCCGGCTACTCATCATTCTCTATGGCGATTGGCCAAAAGTAGCCGGAATGAAAAGGATGTAAAGGTTAATTAGGCGAACAAAAAGGACATAATTTGTGGGCGCTTGGAACCGATTTAACGGATACGGAGGCAAATTAACGTTCGACTCAGGTTTTCGCCGATCCACTTGGCAGGCACTTTCATTTCTCCACGCTTATTCTTGATCTTCTCGATGATCGCTGACGCAAAACATGGTGATCGCGTTCCTGCCTGTCAATCCAAAATGGCGTCGTGCACCTTCTTTTGGCAAGGCGCAAGCGACGTCATGTCGATCACCTTCGATCACACAACAAGTGTTGCGCATCTTCGGTCCGTGAAAACAGAGTTGCCAACGTAATATGAATCGCCCACCCGCGCCCACAATATCTTGACTAGGCGTCAGCGCCCTGCACCCACCTCCTCGCCTCCACGGGAACCGGTCCGGACTCCTTGCCCGCCCTTCCGCCACCCCCTTGTTGTCCCTTCTTCGTCCCTCCCCCGAAGCCCCTGTCCCGCGCGTGCGCTATGCATCCCGTAGGTTTCGTCCCACGCTATACGATTTGAGTTCAAAGCTCAGCGCAGACGCATTCCAGACCGTCGCGAACGGGAGCATTCAAGGAGATCATATGTTTGCCCCGACTCTTTAAGCCTGTTTCACCCATTTCGGTGCAGGACAGTGAGCAGTATGGTTTGAGGACAGGTAGGACCGTCGGATGTACGTCATGATATGTTCTCTCTTCAATTTTTCTCGGAGTGAGCCCCATAACATGGATACTACTAGCAATAGGTCTATTTCGGCCGTCATCTTGAGGAACGAGAGAAATCATTTGTATTCTAACATTCACTGCGAGAATTATCAATCAGGACCGTGATTCATACAAAGGCAAATACCTCGGGCGCGTTTCCGAGGATAATCGAATCGATGAAGAGATTGCCGATGCGGAACGTGGGAAAGTTATTGGTGCCGTGAGAAGTGGCTATGCCTCTTCTGCTGCCGCCGGCAACTTGGCTTCCTCTTCTGGACAAGCTTCAACTTCAACCACCGTCGGATTCGCAAAATTTTCTTCTTCTCCCCCTCCACCACTTTCCACCACTCGAACAGCCATTCCTCGATGTCCTCTCCCCTCCTTTTAACATTTCGCTATATGGTCTAACGTACGTCTGCTTTTTTACGCCGACTGCTACTTCCCCCTTGATCTATGCCCCAAGATTTCTAGGCATTGCGTGCGGGAAAGGGAGACGCAGCGGAGGCACCCTCGTCGTCGAGGACGCAACATTCGCTTGTGAAGGCGAACCATAGCTGAAGGAGCTTAAGCCTCCTGCTGGGGCTGGGAGGAGGAGAGCCTACACCTGGTGGAGAGTTTTGCGAAGGCGTAAGATGGTGCTTGCTCGAGGAGTTCGCCGAATGAAGCTGGGAGGATAATGTTGTAAGGGGAAAGGGAGGGATAAGGAGAGTAATGAAGCGAAGGAGGAAGAGGAATCAATGAGTAGAGGGCCTTGAGGGAGAAGGAAAGGGCGAAGGGAGAAGTGAAAAGGGAACGAAAGGAGAAGTAAAGGGCAACGGAAGACGGAAATGGCGAAGAGAGAAGGAAAGGAACAAGGGAGAGGGGTAAGGAAAGGCCGATTGGAGCGAGAGAGAGAGGGAAAAGATGATGGGAGGGAGCGAGGGAAAGAGCGGAGTTAGGGAGAGCAAAGGGAGAAGAGGGATAAAGGGATAGGGAGAGCGAAAGGGTGGTGGGAGAAGACAAAGGTGGGGACGAAAGAGAGGGTGACGATGAGGAAGGAAAAGAGGTTGACGATAAAGAGGGAAGATGGAGAAAGAACAATAGGACGAAGGGAGGGAAGTATTGAGGGAACAAAACGGTAAAGGGAGAAGCACAGGGTAGGAAGGAGAGGCAGCGAGTGGGTGGACGAAGAAGATGGAAAGGGCTCGGGAGGTACGCTGGTGGACATGAATTGGGGTGAGACGGGATGATGGTCAGTGGGTTAGGATGGGGATGTGGCTGAGAGAGGTGGGGTCCAGGCATGAACAAGGAGGAGGCTGATCCATCGTCGGCGCCAGGCATCGCTATCAACGGCACCCCCTTCGCTTCCGAAGCCATAAGAGCCTGCGCGCACTCGCATCTCGTGGCGGAGCTACCCATCCAGGCTCTCGATGTTGTGCCCATCCGTGCACGACTCGTACATGAACGCGCCGAACGTAGGCGGAGCTCGGGCATTCCGTTGGACACTCCTGCTCGGAGCACTCAACTTACTCGAGCTCAGCAGTGTGTCGTTCAGCCCTCTCTGCCTCGTCACTCATCGTCCACGAGTTCGCCTCGTAGACGCTGTTCGTGCGTTCACGTGCTGAGACACTCGTCGCAAGGGCACGACTAATGATTTGCAGGGTGATAACGTATGCTGGTGTGTTTTGTGTTCTCTGTACAGTTCAGAGACAATAAGCAAGTGCTAAGAATCTCCGATGTAGATTCACTGCCAGGTCCCTGTCATGGATCGCGACTGAGGCAAATGGTCGGCACGAGTAAGAAGAAAGCACGTAGTCGCATTCTGGCTAAACGCCATTTATAATACAGCTTTTACTCCATATCTATCATGGTGAGTTCACTGGCATTACAAACCACGGGAAAACATTCGCGCGTGGCTAATGAACATGCGTAGTCTACATCGAGCATAACTCTTCACTCATCCAAACTGGAGATCGCGTCCATCAGCGGAGTATGCGTTCGACAGTATTGGGCGAGAGGCTCGAAACCAATTTGAAGATGGGTGGGCCTACGCTTTTCAGGCAAAACCCTGCCTACCCACCCCGAGTTCCGGATTACATGTACAGTAAGGGGCCTGAGCCGCCGTTGCTGCTAAAAAAACGCGAGCTCGTTGCAGGAAATCCACGTTTTCGCCTCAGCCTCGAATTGAGCCGTTGTACATACTGCATCTTGCTTCATTGATCTTTTAGGCCCGCTGCATGTCGCCATCGCTCTAAACTCTCATGCATCATGAAGACCATAGGGACACGTCAAATGAGTGACCGTAGCGTAATCCAATTGGTGATATGTTCGTAGACCTCAATCTTAGTACGTGAACCTCCTTTGTCCAAGTTACGTTTACCGCATAGCTAACAGCAGTGCCACCTTAAGCCTACCTGTCAAACCTACGTGGACATCAATAATACGCCGAAACAACCATACTCATGGGACGCGGCTGGCCAGGCCTCTAGAGTATATGGGCGAGGCAAGCGAAGATCTGGAGGTAAGCTACTCTGCTTTGACGATTGACCCGGTGAACACACGAACTCAACTACGAAATTATTACGTTGACTCGCCTCTGCCGTTGTCACGAAACAGCCTTCATATTATCATCATTGTCGACCAACATAGCTTCGGTTCCTCGACTGCCCCGCCGGGCGTTCAAGGCTCCAGCCACTTTGCAAACCTCACCGCCTGTATCAATACCATCCTTGACCATGTTGAAGCACAAATTGTCATTTGCATGGGGTACGTACGCTATCGTCACCTTGATGGAATGGCGCTGATGTCTTCTGCAGGCACGATTGGCGCCCGGTATTATATTACGAGGCCGTTCGTAGGCGTCCAGACTTCTTCGCCGGCATCGTAGGCGTGACTGTCCCCGTATGTTGTTTGACTTCACCAGCATGTCAGCGTCTAAACAGTATGTTAGCGCAGCAAGCAGCTTTGTACCAATTCCGATCTCGCCCAGCTCTCCCGCAACCCCCGCAATCGGTACTGCTTCGGACACGCGCCTCGGAAATCGCCGAGGGCTAATGCGAGAAGTCTGCAGTTCAGGAGGTTGATGCGGACATTTCTCGCCTGCGTTGCTCTGTCTCTCGCTCTGCAATGTAATCGCCGTCGGATGGCTTATTGAAAAGTACGAGTGTCTTCCTGGAGGCTTACAAGGGCATAGACGCAAGGTCCCCCAAGCTTTCTTGCTTGCGACAGCCAGTAGAAGATCCGGTTCTATTGACGAAGATTCCTCGCGTTTTCAGGCCTACAGGCGAGGACCACCTGGTTGAAGAGTATTCCCGCTGGGGCATCGGTAGTAGTACGTAATGTCTCACCAAGCTCAGGTAGTCGACACTCATTAACATACGTTCTAAACGCTAGATTCGACGTTTTACGCTGCATCAGCGCGCCACTCTGACTTGTTGAATCGACCATGACAGTTCCTGACCTTCACGTCTTTCATTGCCAGAACCACTGTGCCACCCGGCTACCTGGTTTCGAAGCAGAGGGCCATACGATCCCACGGCCCGAACTCGCCTTATATCCGGCTGTGGGATGTTCCTCGTTCTGCTTCGGATCACGCTCAGGTTCCATGAATATTTCCTGGCTCTTATCGCGATTTGGGAGAGCACTAACGTATCCTCGGATTACCTCAGCATCTCCCGAAGCTAACAGTGAAGGTATGTACTCATCGTTCATAATCTAAGCTATCACTGATGAGTGAATCATTTGCTTGTACGCGCAAGTAGGCAATGCCTGGGTCACATTGGCTGGCATGGAGTGACCAGGAGTAACCTGGGGAGTTCGGCGTGTTCCGACGAGTGGCTGAACGCGAATTGTTTTGCTTCCGAGGTCAGGCACGACGAGCTTCCAAGGCTCTCGCGGTATATGAGAGCGAGATTTTGCTCAGTATTCGACTGTTTGAGGAGTCTAACATGGGTGCTGATGGTTTATTTGAAAAGGCTCTTCCTCGTTTCGTATCAGGTAGGTGTGCCTGGGCCCTGGAGTCTGGGTTCAGACAAAGGGTGTTTTGCCACGTGGCGTAGGCCTGAGCCCGGCCGCTTCAAAAAGAGGAGCACCTGTAGGGCACACACACATGGTCGGAAGGGGCTCACCTTCGGGACAGCTACTCGTAGACCGGGGCTGACATGTCCAAGGTGATCAAAAGCTGACCTTGAAACCGGATCTAGTTCCAACTCTTCGTAAACTACTGGCTTCTAACGCGCACTAGGAGTTTGCGAACGGTAAATCAATATACAAACACTATGAGCGTGAAGGTAGGAACAATAAATCAAGTCTAAACGCCAGATCAACCAACTTCCTCGCGCCGTGCGCGCGTGCTGCTCCCTTCTACTTTCTGCTCTTGACCAATCTCTGGACATCGTCTATTCCTTTTATTCGTGTACCATTGCGTACATCAAATTTATGCTTTCCTAACCTTGCCGGCCGACTTTGGTCCATTGCCTCGCGAACCTCAGGCTCGTCGAAACTGTTGACGACAGTACTACCACCAATACGGAGTGGGTTTGCCACCCAAAGGATTGCTATAGCAGGACCAATCTACGTTCCACGTGGAGCCACTGGCGAATCAGTAAAGCGCCGAGACGCGGTTTAGCGGCTCTGACACAAAACATCAGACCATGTTTCGGCCCTCATACCACACAGTGCGTCGAAGTGCTTGAAGTGCTTGAGCCTACCGGCCATCCTAGCAAGCAAAGCGCACTAATACACCTGTGTGTAAGCCCATGTGGCGATCTTACTACGCCACAACACTCGCCAGCTCCGATCCTGACTTTGATCTTGACCATAGCAATTTTTGCTTGCATAATATTCAGGTCTCCCTCATTCTGCTTCCATTTGATTTCGATCTTCCCAGCTTGGTACTTTGTTCTCCTCGAATTCTGCGATATCTACATTATCTTGCCTTCTTTCTTTCGCCCCTTTCCGTCATGTTCACGATTCATATCTTCGTCTGCTCCGTTGCTCCCTGATCCCAAGTGATGCTAATTTGGGTCGTCTTCGGTCACTTCGTTATTGCGCTGTTGGCGAATGGTGTCTTTGCAATATTCGCCATATTGTACCCCGCATTGTCCTTCTACTATCCAGACCAAAACCTCTGATTAAAATCGTCACGACGCATGTCTGCAACCGTATGATACCACTCTTGTTACAATGTCCCGCCCGCGCTCTACGCCCTCTGTATGGAGCATTCTTGGTGATTTTTCATTGTTGACGATCTCAAAGTTTCTTCCACGGATTTATAATATTTTTGCTGTGATAATTGGGTAATGCCATATGTCACTGGCATGACGTGTCGCATTTGCATGGTAACCCGGGGAATCACTAACGAGGATCCTTTTTATGTCCGATAAGGAGCTCGAGGTGCGTGTCAGGGTGACGAGTTCACAAACACCCAACTCGCGCTACACTTTGATATGCAATGGGAATGCACCATGTGTAGTGCACTATCTCAGATGACTATCTCAGATGAATCACATCGCTCAAAGAACACGAAATATGTGGGTTTTCTCTGTATTTCGACATTTAATCAATGGGTACACACAGTGTTAACGTAACCGAGATTCACCTATCTTGCTCTGAGTAGGCTCACAACGCCCTTCTTCTTTCCTGCAATCACCGATTCACCGTCCCACTCACCGCTGTGTCAGGCTGCCAAGGGGTGAGGTTCTGTACCTTTGGAGAGAGCGAAATTCTGCTCCTCCGCTACTATCAGGGATTCAGCCCCCTCGGCCATGTCACTGAACCTGTTACAAGGATTGGAACCCTTGATGACAAACTTGACTATATTTGCCTTAACATTTAAGCTACTGCTCTGGGGTTATCCTTACCGTCTACAAGATACTCTCACATCGAACGTTACCGTACAAACATTTCACTTAGTTAAGTTGCATCATCTTATGCATCATCTCCCCAGATTCCGGCCTTTACTACGTCAATTTGCATGCTAGTCATTCTTAGAGTGGTTAGTAGGATTTGCAGAAGGAGACGGCAGTTTTACAGTAAACAGTAAGGTTTAGCTATCTCAGTGGGGTAGATGGTTGGTTCAAATTTGTCTCTAAATCTGTCATACTTGATGAGTACTGAGTACTTGCTCGAGTATTGAACTATTTGAGCGTGGTCGTCGAGGACACGGTCAAAGTTCCAGTGGCGCTAGCTCCGGGCTCAGACGCGCGTGTTTAGCAAGCACGACCACCAGTACCCTCAGCTTTCTCTCAGACGGAGTCAGCTTGGTCTTAGCCTAATACTTCCTCCATCAAAGTACGGTGCTCGCGGATTCTATCTTCATAAACTTCTATTGAGCGTGTCTCACAGTACTTCACATTGCTCCAAGCGGAGCGTCACAAGGTATTTCTTATGCAACTGAAATTCCCCCAGAGATCATGTCGACAAATCTACACTTGCTCAGAACGTCTAGAAACACCCTCATCTCCCCTTGGCAAGTGTGCGAATGAGAGCACTCGGAACGTGTCTGCATGAATAAATCAAACGATGACAGGTGGGAGATTACTTAGATGCGTGAGGAGTGGGTGACGTTTACCTCACAGGAATTGACAGAAGGTCGTGTTACCTATCGAATGATGATGTAGACACGCTGCGTCACGGTGGCTTTACGCATTCATGATTGAGCTCAACGTGTTTGTTTTGTGGCCCAAAATTATGATAGGGTTCTTCCCATAGGCTAAAACAAGCGCTTTATCAAGACTCGAGCCTATTTGCGGTCCATCTGCACCTAAAATCGGTCGGCTAACGTTACGGTCAAGTTGAAAATAGTCTGCCCATGATTGAGCCTTGTGCTAACTATATGAGCGGCCGCCAGAAGTTGAAGATATACACTATCTTCTTCGACATCTCTTCGCGCAAGATAGCAATTGCGTCTACACAGTAGCACAATTCGTGCGATATGTGCTTCTTTCCCCGTTATTTCTCTAACGCCGTTGGGTTAATGTGGCGTCGTTCTGTTTAGAACGTCCGCTCTATGCTCCGGGCGGGACCAACACAGGGTGCATGAAGCAATAACTAGATACCAATTATGTCAAAGCTATGTCAATTGTAGTCCAAATGATTAAGGAATAAGTGATGATGGGATATGCCAATTATTCTTCAAATGCAGACGTGATTCATCTGCCAAATCTGAGGGCAGGATATTCCGGATTTACGTGAATGAAAACCCATATAATTATGTGATATGGTTTGTAATAATTTATGAGCATTTTTGCACTACCTCTTCTCAAAAGAGCGGCGACATGTATAATCGATATATTTGATAAATATTTGAATCTAAGAATATTACATTTGCATTATTGGTATGCTTTACCAGTACAGATGCTGTGCAAGTATAATCTGCTTTAATTATATGTAGTCGCCTTTTCAGAAGAGGTAGTGCAAAAATGCTCATAGATTATTCCAAACCATATCACATAATTATATGGGTTTTCATTCACGTAAATTTGGAATATCCTGCCCTCAAATTTGGCAGATGAATCACGTCTGCATTTGAAGAATAATTGGCATATTCCATCATCACTTATTCCTTAATCATTTGGACTACAATTGACATAGCTTTGACATAATTGGTATCTAGTTATTGCTTCATGTGCCCTGTGCAAGCGACCCTGAAATCCGATATTAGTTCTCTGAGCCAATGTCAACATGCCAAGGAGATTTAACCATTCTCGATGTCAGTCAAGTGACACGCACTGGGAAAGCGAACACACGAGGTCGAACATTCCTCTTTCCCTGCGTCTTTTTGACAGTTGAGCCGTCCACCCATGGAGCATCAGTCCCGATTATTGACAAGACGGGTTGTTGCAGTAAGTAGAATAAGCGTGGCATGGTTCAGGGAAGTGACGTCCTAAAGACATGATGCATGATGTATGGGAGCTTTCACACGCTAACATAAGATTGCCCAACAGTTGATAATCTCCACCAGCGTGAGTTTCCTCCGAGTGAGCTGAAGGTTTTCTCGAACTGTTCTTTGGAAGCCATAGCAGGCGATCACAGCTTCCTAACGGACCTCACTTCATCACGTCCGAGGAATATGAATGCCGTCATAATAGAGCACATATGACCTTTCTAGTACAGTGGTATATACATAAATCATGCTACGTATGCGTAAAATGCGGAATAGAAGAGCGATGCAAAATAATCAGTGTTCAGATGTCTAGAAACCTTCCATCAATTCGCCACCAGCTTTCCAGAATCTCCTGCTTCTAGAAAGAGACCTAGGACAATCGGGGCTTTTACAACCGCGTCTTGAACTGGGCGAGGGCGAGCGGCTGGTATGTGGTATTGTACAAGTTATCGATGGGCGTGAAGCCGACGTGCGACGAGAGACCGCTGGCGTCGACCATCGATGGCTCGAGCTCGTCGATCGTGCGAGCACCGATGAGGCGCATGTTCATCTCGAGCTCCTCACGGAAGATTTGGAAGGCCTTCTCGACACCCTCCTGGCCGTACGCCGAGAACGAGTACATGAAGGCACGGCCGACACCGACCGCGGAGGCACCGAGGGCGATGGCCTTGAGGACATCGGACGCACGGCGGATACCGCCGTCGACGAAGACGGAGAAGCGGGGATTGGGCCATGGGCCGCGGGTCTTGAGCGCCTCGACGACCTCGATGAGGTTCTCGATACCGGAGCGGGCGGTATCGAGCTGGCGACCACCGTGGTTAGAGAGGACGATACCGGCAACACCGTAATCGTAGGCCAAGAGGGCATCCTCGGGGGTGGCGACACCCTTGAGAACAATAGGCACTGCACATATGATAAATCAAGACATTCTCGTGAAATAAAGCCTGCAATACTTACTGTTCGTGATGCTCTTGAACCAGGGGATGTCCTTCCACGAGAGGCTGGGGTCGATGAAAGAGGAGATAGCACGGGCAACACCCTCATCCTTCTTGATATCACCCTGACCGTCCTGAACCTTGGCGACACCGCCCTCGTCGACAACCTTCATGCGCATATCCTTCTCACGGCGGCCAAGCTGGGGAGCATCGACGGTGATGAAGAGGCCCTTGACGCCGCGCTTCTCGGCGTGCTGGACGTAGCGCTTGGTGATCTCGCGGTCACGGTTCACGTAAAGCTGGAGGAACTGGACCTGGCCTGGAACGGCAGCGTCGACGATCTCATCGAAAGAGCACGAGGCGAGGGTAGGAATCTGAGTGAAGCATTTAGATGCTAAACTCGGCGCCAAGTGCGAAAAATGCGTACCATCTGGATCACACCGTGCTTGCCGGCAGCGCGAGTCAGGTTGAGTTCACCATCGGGGTGGCCGAGCTTGCCAAGAGCGGTGGCAGACTAGAGTCGTTGCGTATCAATACCGTCGAACACGGGTGAGGATCGGAAGAGCACGTACAATGTAGACGGGGAGCGACGACTTCTGGCCGAGAATGGTGGTTGCCCAGCTCACTGTCGAAACGTCACGGAGAACACGGGGACGGAACCAGATGCGCTGGTATGCAGCACGGTTCTCGCGAATGGTGATTTCATCGTCGGAAGCCGACGAATAGTATGCCCACGCCTTGGCAGGGAGGATGGCCTTGGCGACGGCCTCGAAGTCGTGGAGGTTGACAATCTCATCCAAGCTGGGGCGGGCAGCCAGGAGCTCCTGGCGCCTCTTCTCTTCCGCGGTCACCTCCTTCACGACCTTGATAATGGTTTTGGGGTCAACGGCACCAAGGCTGAATGCATGACTTAGGAATAGACTCCGTTGAGGACGCGTTGCCTACTTACTGCTTGTCCTTAGGGAGGTGAGTCGTGATGGCATCAGGAGGGTGAATGGGGTCGTAAGCCTCACTAAAGAAATCCAGGTCAGAACACTTCCGTGTATGATGTTACGAAACACTTACGTAGCGTCCTGGCCAGCGTACTTGAGGATGATGCGGCTGCCACCGGGGTGCTCAGGGAGGAACTGCGTGACATCGTAGACCTTTCCGTGAACGATAATCCAGCAGCTCTCAGCGCTGGAGTGCTCGGCAACCTGCTGTGAGGAGATCAGGGACATTTTGGTAGAGGCCTTGGAAGAGAATATGGCTCCAAGAGGCAAGTTGTAGGGGGTGGGGAACGGCGAACTGGGAAGAACCACTCGGGGTTTTGAGAGTGTCGGTGCGGAATGAGCGGGCTGTCTCTGCTACCATTAGAGGCACTATAGTTCCGTGTTTCCTGCTTGGCCTTCCGTAAGACATTTCCACTAGACGCGCCAGAGAGCCGTGGATCACAGCCAAGATCGGAGGTAGAGGGAGGATAGACAGACGGGGGCGGAGGCAGTGGAAAGGCGCGAGGAGGACACGCTTGAAGCGTGCGGAGTTGCCAGCTGGATGGACTTTGTGAGGGTTGGACGGGTGACGGGTGGGCGCGACTGGAGTCGATGCAACGCAGCACCGCTTGCCCCTGAGCCGAGCAAGCGCCAAATGACAGAAAACAAGACCCTCTTGGTCCAGTCAAGAGTCGAACCGGTATCCCGTACCCTTGGCCCATCTCTCCGGACGAACCGCTGCGTAGGAGCTCGGCGGCCTCGGGGGATACCATTCAAGCATAGTTTGTGAGCAAGCTGAAACGTCTCCTGGTTTGATTGCGCGATAGACTCAACGAGAGCCCCTATTTTTGCGCAGTGCTACCCACGAGTCTGTTTCGTCTAACAGTTGTCTAATGCCCTCGGACGGTAGGTACACACGGTTGCAGCGCTTTATCGCCGATCTGGCCAATAACTATGCCAAGATAAGCAAATATAACATTTCAGCCAAAAGGTACCTACACAAGATGACGATCGTGGCGTATAGTGGCCGGCCCGTGGAAAGAGCATGGTGGTGCCCAAGAGAAGGGAAAGTTGAAGGTGGCCAAGCAGTGTCAACAGACGTCAATGCCTCGAGTTATTCCTGTCTGTCTAGCTCCGTCACCGGCCTTATTGCCTACCGTGATGTTGCCGAAATCTCCATAGTTTTCTAGAATTCCGATTCATGAAGCTCGAGGACGTTGTAAGATTTGCATCCGTTCCGTGTCGAGGAAGCGGATGATGGACAACGGCAGAAATTGAGGCCCGTGTTTGTCACGTTTGTAGCGGAACGTGAACGACGGAGCAAGTCGATGTTCAAGGCGGTCAATTTGCCGGCGGCTCCGGCCAAACACCGGTAGCCACGCTAACAAACAACAACAAAGCCAACCCTCCTCTTGGCCCTCTCCCTTCAATCAACTTCCATGGGCGAGCGCGGCAGCCGTGCACCATAAGCAGAGTCCAGATCCACGGCCTGGGTTTGTGAACCTCCCGCGTCGTGTGTCCTTGATCCGCTGGCACCCATTTCTCCTTGGCTCACGCATCCTCAATCGAGATTTGTTCCATTCGCGGTGATTGCCACTCGTCTCCCTCTTCGGATTACCCATAGCTTGTTTTCTCATTGGCGCCCGCCGGGTTCGATCTTTCTGATTGAACATTCTGCTCCTTTGTTTTGTACTCCTCCTTAGGGGCCTTTCCACGCGCATATCACCATCTCTGGGCCTCCCCGAATTGTGCGGTAGCTGTGAATCAATCATCCAAAGCTTCACGCGGGAACTATGGTACTCCAAGTACTATTTCTGTTACCTCGTTCGTTTTCCCGGCATCTTATCAGAAATGCTATGACTTGTTGCTGGCAGCGACGAGATAAACACTCGGTTGCACAAGTTGTCGCTACATTACGCTCATTGGTTAGTTCGTTATCTCGTAGGTCCTTCGGCTTGCCTCGGTCCATCAGTCCGATGTTGCGCTTGGGTTTTACAACCGCATAATGACCGCATATTGCAGCACCTTGGCTATCATTAGGCCGGCTTTCTGTAGATGGTTATTGACTCTTGTGCGTCACTGCCTCGGTACGCTTCCTGAACGTTCGTAGCACATATGATCTGCGAGCACTCAGGATCAGGAATAGATCGCCTTCACACGCGTGGTTTTACCGGTCCTTGGGAACATGATGATTGATTCTTGTGGAGAACCTACCGTGCGTCGTTCTTGGCTTTTGCGCGCAGACGCTCATCCTTGGCTCCGATTTCCGAGGTAACCGATATGCCTGCCTTGACTGGGATCTGTCAGAATTTTCTGATACCTTGGCTTGAGTGAAGCTACGACGGAACACAGCCCCCAACACGCTCGAGAGAGCCAAGCCTTCGTACATTAACGGAACGTTCTCGGTTGCCCACAAACCTTGTCGGTGGCTTTGGGTCTCTCAAATTCACGATATGGGCGCACACGGAGCCATACCCTCCCGGTCCTGGCGGACGTACGCTTGCTCAACTGTATCGATTTTCACCTCCTTCCCAATCTGAGGCGGTCTTGAATTGGCACATGATAAGCTTGGCTTCTCATCCGTCTGTCTCCGCCTCACGCGTGCTAAATTAGCGGATGAAACTACTTACACGGAGTCCCAGGGACACCACGCAACCCTAAAGAGGCAGTGGAACGCTTCTCGCGCCATCCCGTTCTTGGCACTTTCATTGGAACGATCGGTGATGCAAGTCGATGCACCAATTTACGACACGACCGGTATCCCCACCGCATTAATCCGTAGAGCCAAGAAGACTCATGTTAGCAAGAATGGCAGTTGCTGATGGAACCACGGAACATTCTCCATCCACCGTACCGGCGCGTCCCACAGAGTTTGTGATTCATTCTTGTGCTGCGCTCCTTTGTCAGCCCTGATACGATATCTGCTCGCCTCTGCCGCGAAACGCTTAAAAGCGAGCTCAATCAGGTTCCAGCGTCTTCATCTCCTCACCTCTCATCCACTCATATCGGCTACTAGCCTCAGCCTCTTTTGTCAAAATTCTTCGATCCCTCCTCAGAAAACTATCAATGGCCCCCGGTCTCGACTTCTTCAAGCCCGCTGACGCTGCCACTGAGGCCGTCTCCGCCCCCGCCCCTGTGGCCCAGCCCACGAATGGATCTGCGGTCGAGGCTGCTGCCCCCGCACTGGTGAAGGAGCCTTCCTCGCCAGCTGTCTACTACAACGCTCGCCTTGACCCGAAGAACTACCTTGAGGGCCCTCTCTCCACTGACGCTGCCACTCGTCTGCGCCAGTTGCTCGCTCGTCCTGGCATTGTCGTAAGTACCCCCTAGATCTATGCCAGAAGACCATCATCTCATCAACATCATGATGTGACAGATTGCTCCTGGTATCTGCGATGGTATCTCTGCACGCTGCGCCCTCGAGGCTGGCTTCGACTGCATGTACCAGAGTGGTGCTGCCACCACTGCCAGCCGGCTGGGCATGCCTGACTTGGCCATTGCCACCCTCAACGACTTCGTTCAGGTTAGTTTGACGTGGATCTGCCAAGCCATATGGAAGCTGATTGGCTTCGATTCACAGAGTGCCCAGATGGTTTGCTCTTTGAGCCCGTCTACCCCTGTTATCGCTGATGCTGACACTGGGTAAGTTCGATGGCTTCTTGATTTTTCCCCATTTGTCTCATCAACCTTTTTAGCTTCGGCGGCACTGCTATGGTTGCCCGTACCGTTTACCAATACATTCGCTCCGGTGTTGCCGGCATGCACATTGAGGATCAGGTCCAAACCAAGCGCTGCGGCCACCTGATGGGCAAGCAAGTCGTCTCCCGCGAGGAGTTCCTCACCCGGATCCGCGCGGCTGTCATCGCCCGCGACTCCTTCCCTGGCGGCTCGGACTTCGTTATCATTGGCCGTACCGATTCCGCACAGGTCCTCGGCATGGAGGAGGCCGTCACCCGTCTGAAGCTCGCTGCTGACGCCGGTGCCGATGTGTGCTTCATCGAGGGTGTCAAGACCGCTGAGCTCCTCACGAGCACCGTCAAGGCGCTCGAGCCCAAGCCCGTCCTCGTCAACGTCATCTCCGGTGGTCTCACCCCTTCTTTCACCTGCCAGGAGGCCGAGGCTCTCGGCGCGAAGATCATCAGTAAGTGTTGCCTTCCTCCGTGACGAGAGTTAAAACAATTGCTGATCGGTAATTTGCGCAGTCTTCTCCCTTGTCTCTTGCGTGGCTGCTGTGCATGGTATCCGTGCGGCTATGCGCTCACTCAAGAAGACCGGCACGGACTTCTCCAGTGCGCAGGGCATGGACCCCAAGGCCTTCTTCGAGGTCATGGGTCTCCAGGAAGTTGTCGACCTCGACAGGCAGGCAGGCAGCACTCATCTTGAGGTCGTCTAAATCTTTGGCCTCGCTGCGCATATATGCACTCCTGTTTCTGGTTTAGATGGGGCTCCTGGTGATATCTTTGTTACATCATATTCATATGTCTTACTCTCGAACATCATTGTACATTTTTACTCGCACTGCGTCCTCTGTCATCACTAGATTTCTTATTTCTATTTCTTATCATACCGTGTTGTCTTTTATGTACACGTGCAATGGACAACGCCAGAGCTCTGTCTCTTCCCATTATCGAAAGCCCCTTCAGCCACCGACAACGAATACTACCTGCTTGAAAAGGCATCAAGGTGCCCTTGGCAGCCACGCGAGCGATCGCTGGTGCCGGATCCAAGAATAGCGCCAGCTGACTGGGGCACTTGCGGGCCGGTAACAGGCGGGGTTCCGCTCCGCCCGGCGCCCACCGCTCCTCCTGCTCTCCACGCGTCCCACAAAACCAAACCCGCCCTGCGGTGTTAGACACCTCTCCCTTGTGCTCAACACCTCGTCCTGCGACGGAACCGCTCTAACTACGCACCCACCCAGTCGACGGCGATACGCACCACTCGGACCCGGCACCAGCAGCACGGTAATTGGCAAAACGCGGTTCGTGACGGAAGCATCAAGAGAGACCCAGCAGTAAGGATGTCAGACCCGCGAGTGTTGTCAGGGCAGGAAGTGGCCAAGCATAATACACGAGATGATTGTTGGATTATCGTTCATGGTGAGCCTTCGTTCGGTGCCGTGATAGTCGCCATTTCTTGGCAAGGAGGTCCATTCGCTGTGCTACGGCGCCAACATGGCGTCAACACAGTCCGTTGACTGTCGGGCCCGAGGTTATCTCGAGTCCGACGTGTCCGACTACGTTCTGTCCTCGGCCGTTGAGCGTCTTTCATTGCTCTCTCCCGGTGCTGCTGGGTCTGAGCTTAGCTCGGATTCGACGCGTCCAACTGCGCTAGCGTTGGTCGTTTAGAATCCTCTATTGCTCGCCCCCGGTTCATTGCCTCTGGAATGAACAGGCGCTGATTCCCCATTTTAGGCAAGGTGTATGATGTAACCGAGTTTCTCCCTGGTACGTTTTCCCTCGGGCTGTCGGGTCTTCATTGCACTAACTCTTCGCTTCTCATCAGATCACCCTGGTACGCATCACTTGATGAGCTATGTGATCTCTGATTGAGGATTGACATGTATTCTCAGGTGGGAGCAGGATCATCTTGAAATACGCCGGCAAGGACGCTACGTACGTCGAATTCTTTTCGTCTAGCGTCAATCCTTATGCATGTGTTGACCTTCGCAAACGCGCTAACAGGGCAGAGTATGATCCCATTCATCCGCCTGACGCGATTGAGACCAACTTGAAGCCCGAAAAACAGTCAGTAACACCAATGTTTCTTTACTATATGCAGGCTGAATAGTAGAAACCAAAGTCTCGGCTCTGTCGACCCTGGTACTGTAGAGAAGGTCGAAGTCGTTATTACCGATGAAGAAATGGCGCGCCAAAAGCGTGTTGAAGCACGGCCGCCTCTATCGGAAATCCTCAACCTGCATGACTTCGAGGTGACATTTCGCTACCGCTTGCGATGTTGAGAAATGACGTCATTGACCTGTTTTCTTACTCGGGTAGGCAATCGCCAAAGATGTTATGCACATCAAGTCCTGGGCGTACTACTCGTCTGCGGCGGACGACGAGATCACGAACCGCGAAAACCACGCTGCATTCCATCGGTGCGTTCCATCCGAACTCCTTGGGTTTTGATCATCGAATTTTCTGACTGCAGGATCCCAGGATATGGTTCCGTCCTCGGATCCTGCGCAATGTGACGAATGTTGACTGGTCGACGACCATCCTCGGACACGAGAGCAAGATGCCCATCTACATCGTACGTCCATTGAACCCTTCAGAATTTTTGATCAGACGCTAAAACAGACTAAAATTTAGACCGCCACTGCTCTGGGGAAACTAGGGCATCCAGATGGGGAGCTCAACTTGACCCGCGCTGCCGCTAAGCACGGCGTCATTCAGATGGTATGTATGTTTGCTCTACATTTTTGCTGTCGATCTCTCATCGTAGCTTCCGTTTCTCGTTAGATACCTACTCTAGCGTCATGCGGCTTCGACGAGATCATGGACGCCGCTAAGCCCGGTCAAGTCCAGTTCTTCCAGCTGTACGTGAACAAGGATCGCGAGATCACGAAACGCATCGTGCAGCATGCAGAGAAGCGGGGAATCAAGGGGTTGTTCATCACCGTCGACGCGCCGCAGCTCGGTCGGCGAGAGAAAGACATGAGGCAGAAGTTTGATGCCGAGGATCCCTCTGAAGTGAGCAAGGCTGGGTCAGACGGCGTAGATCGCAGTCAGGGTGCTGCCCGTGCTATCAGTGTAAGTTAAGTTCTAGGATGAAGTGACATCAGAAGATTTGAACTTAACAATGCGGCCTTCAGTCTTTCATTGACCCCGGTCTCGACTGGAGCGACATTCCATGGTTCCAGAGCATCACCAAGAGTAAGTAAACGTCTCGCCCCAAACGCCCGTGCCAACGTTGATCATCGTGTCGTCTTACCCAGTGCCTCTCATCCTCAAGGGCGTTCAATGCTGGGAAGACGCTGTCCAGGCGTATGACGCTGGCCTCGCAGGCGTCGTTCTCTCGAACCACGGCGGTCGCCAGCTCGACTTCGCGCGGTCGGGTATCGAGGTGCTCGTCGAGGTAGTGTCGAAGCTCAAGGAGCTCCGCGGCCTCTCCTTCCCGGGCGGCACGAAGCCAGGCCAGGCGCCAAACGGCCGGCGCTTCGAGCTGTTCATTGACGGTGGCGTGCGCCGTGCGACGGATGTGCTCAAAGCAATCGCACTCGGTGCGTCCGCCGTTGGTGTCGGTAGACCGTTCTTGTACGCGTTCTCGAGTTATGGTCCGGAGGGCGTGGATCACGCGCTGCAGATTCTGAACGTAAGTCTTTTTAACTCGATATATGCTATGATTATTTGATGTTAATATTTCTGTAGGATGAGTTCGAGATGAACATGCGCCTCATCGGTGCTCGTCACATCGGAGAGATTGTCCCCGAGATGGTCGATGCATCCAATATCGGTCTACACATGGTTTCAGTGCCTTCTGATAACCTGTACGAGGCCAACTGTGAGTGTCATCTCACTTAGTTTTCTCGTCGCTCACGCATACTGATCATCGCGTTTCAGACGAGCGCTTGGCGATCGCTCGGTTGCGTGACGCTAAGCTCTAAATTAGATGATTAACTTTGCATTCGTAGAGCTCTACCGTTCATTCACACTCCTATCGCCACCTTATCTTTGGATATATGTCAAGACATTGATTACCGCATCATCATCATTCATGTATGTATATACCGGAACAATACTGCTTCCCCCCGTTATCTTGCACGAAGGACCAATCCACCAGGTTTTGGATAACGGCCAACAAAGCATGATGAAACTGATGAGGTTTGGGCTGTGTGAGAAGGGGGCAGAGATCGAGTTCGTCATGCGATCTCCGGAGACCCGAAGGAGGTGAACGTCATCGCGAGGATGAAAGGCATCAAAGTTTCCCAGATCCTTGAGATGGTTCAGCTGAAAACGAAGGACATGATTGCTGCCCGCTATAGTGGGGAATAAACGCCCAAGCCCAAAGTTTACCGCTCAATTGGCTGGAAACGCGTGTAATATGACTTGGTTTGTTGTTCTACCATCTCTTGTGTCGACTCTGGCAGGTCTTCTACAAGACGTCCTGAAGGCAGTGAGTATCGCGGATCTTGCTAGACACCATCGCAGATGACATACCAGGCGAACCGGCAAAAAGAGCAAGCGCTGGAATGACCGTGTTTGGGGGTACAACTGTCCCATCTGCAATTTGAGCACAGTCCTTGATGATCGTGAACTTGCCCTAGAATCAGTATCAGAAATCAGCATGTCGCATGGTTCAACATAACGGACGCACGATAACACAGTTCTTTCCGATTGTGACATGGTTTCCGATGGTAGCTGCCTCCACAACAGAGTTCTGGCCAATGTGGACATGGTCACCAATCTTCATGGGGTAGTAGTTGAAGTTGCCTTTGTAGGTCTTGTATGGCGGCCTATCATCCGCTGTCTAGACGAGAGCCGTTTGAGGGTGGAAAGGGGGTACATACCGAATGATACATCCCTCGCCTACCACGCAGTACCTCCCCATCGCAATGACAACTGTATGGCCCGGCCCCGTTCGTCTAAGGTCCCCACGGATGATGCATGCTGCGGAAATGATGGTCTTTCCGCCCAATATGATGTTCTGTGGGCCTGCTATGGTAGCACGGCGAGAGACCTTGTTCCCTGTGTCCTGGATTCAGCACGAGTGAGAGATTGGAGTCGGCAGCAATGCGCGGGCTGTCTTACTGTCTCAATGAACTCGGACTTGAGGTAGGGAATCGGAGAGTCCATCTACAAATGTGGTCGAAAACGTTGAAACGTTGATGTCTCGAGGGTGTGGGGGCGAGCCGAAGGGACGCGTCGACAATGCGCGCCGAACAAACGCGGTAAGTATCCGCTCGGAGTTTGTTTTTGAGGTCCCTTCCTCGCCGCTGGACACCGCGATGCGCACCACCCTTCATCGTCTCGCTCTCAACCTCGGACGACAAACAGCGCACAGACCACTGGGCACTTGTTTCGCAGGCTCGCTGTCCGCACGTTTCATATCGACCAAACATGCACCTAGCTCTGTAGGGCTGCTGCGTCATTTCACCCGACAGAACTCAACTACTGCAACGACCACTACAACTTCATCACCCTCATCTACTTCTTCAAAGTCAGCGACCACGCCGACAGATCCTTTTACCTACCATGGACCCCTCACCGCGACCTTCCGCAGGTTGAAATTATTCTCCCTTTCCTCCCTGGTCCTCAGCACGACCATGGCACCATTTATCATCATCCTCGAGTCCAACCTCCCCATGATAGCCCGCGCAGTCCTCACCGCTACCGCACTCTCCACGAGCGCCATCTCAACAGGCCTCGTCGGCTGGGCAGGCTCGTCCTACGTCGTCGCCATGCGGCCGCTAGGAAAGCTGAGCGCAAAAGGCGACCCCGAGCAGCTCGAGATCCACACCCTCACTCTCACCCTCGCGCGCCGAATTACGCGTGTCTACGACACGAATTTCCTCGTCGAGACACGTCGGCCGTTCTCTAAGTGGGAGCTAGCACCCCATGTCGCGTTTTTCCCCTCCACAACATCCGCTTCGGCGTCACAGCAGCCCTCTTCAGACGCGCCATCCGCCAGCGAAGCTTCTGGTGTGTCAGGAGCGACTTCAGCACTCGCCGCTGAGGCTGTCGCTACAAGTGAATCGCCATCGGAAGGCCGCGCAGGGGCACCTGGTACGCAGGAGACGATTGCAGAAACGATGGACGCCAAGGGCGAAGTTTTGGGGCGGTGGATCGTTACTTGGGGAGAGAATGGTGCAGGAGAATGTACACCCACAGGATCCGTCATTCGGTGAGGCTTTTTCTTATCCAGCAAACTAAGCGAGACCCAGTTTTTTTTTTCTGACGCTGACTGACACCAACCAGGTACTTCAACGTTCACCCTGAGCTACTGGAGTAGTTTTTGAGAATGTATTCAAGCTAAGTAACTTGACTTCGCCTCCAATGGTGAACTACGGCCGCATGCGAATTATGTCATCGAAAATACCCCGCATTCGATTCTTGGATTGCAGTAACACATACAAACGACGCCGTATTGAACGTAAGTACTCCCTCACTACTCAGCGACCCGAATTTCGGTAAGGAGCACCAAATCCAAAAGACGGTGCAGTTATACTGTTGTTAGAGGATTGAGTACTAAAACCAAACAACGAAGCAGAAGACAAGCTGTCGCCTCCACTACCCGAAGGACTCAGATTCTGGCTTTCCGTGTGAGGTTGCGGGGGAGGGAAGTGTTCCGGGAAGACTGCTTCAATTCTAGTTCCGAAGTCCAGCTGGTCTGCCTGCCTCGTTCCAACCGTCAACACCCCACTAAAGGGACATTTGATGATGCTCTCTCGTACTTCTGCGATCTTGAGCACGACACCAAGACCTAGCAGGTCTACGTCTCGCTTGGTCATCGGCCGCGATCGCTTTGCGAGGTCGTTAAGTGCAGGTTTGATCCAGACATCGATGTTGTACTTCAGGGCGAGCGCCAACTTATCGGTGGGGTCCATCGCTAAGCTGGACATTTTTCCGATAGCGAACTGATGGATAGTAGACATCTCCCACTGGTGTGATAACTTGAGCACAGCGCTCCACTCCTGCCGTGCTAGGGAAAGTTGGGACCTTGCGGGGTTGGTGACTGACACGGGTAATGCGCTTGGAACAATGGCTCGAGCATACAAGACTCGCAAAAGTTGTCTGAAATCATAACTTGTGACTCCCTGGAGAACGATAGGGTTGTCATCGCTGAGACCTTCTGCAGGCTGGTTTCCTGAGGGTAAAGCGAACATATCGCGGAAAACGTGGGAGTGCTCAGAGAGGATATGGCGCGGGACTTTGTAGAGAGTACTCTCTACCTGTGCAGCAGAAGATCGTGTCATGGTAAGTCGACAGATCATTACACTGGTATTCTGCTTGTGGTGTAAGGACTTACGCGTATTATGACATCGGAGAAGTAGAAAATCTCATCTCGGTTGACTGAGCTAGTGCGTATTCCGTCGTCAGCGGTACTTGGCATCCTCAGATTTCTGAAGCCTTCTTCAATGATGCTTAGGTTATCTCGGATGGCTTCTAAGGAAAGTGCAGTATCAGAAAGTCCCGCTGACAAATCTGTCATGCGAAGAAGTATTTCGGGTAGTGCAATGCGTCAAGGAATGGCAATGACGAGGCTACGAACTCACGACAAAGTCTGAAGTTTGCTGATTCCGAAGATAAAGGTCAAGGTGCATGGGAACGCACTGGCAGGTGTACTACGAGGAACGTGGGTGGACAGCAAAAATAGACGTTCATCGCATCTCAGACGCCTTGCCACATCCCCCGAGGTATCGCGAAGCTCAGACAAGGATGGCGTAGCGAAAGAACTACACGCAGAAATGATGGACACGCATCTCATAACTTTCAAATACATGCGTTTACAAGGTGTTTACTATGCGTATTTACAAATCTTCAAATCATACCATAGCCCGGGCTGTGACAGCTTCAACCTCAACCGTCTACTCAGTGTCAAACACCAAGGCCCTAACCTCAATGGACTGCCTATGAGGCGCGTCGGCAGGGCTGGTAGAGTCCTTGAACGCGGTGTGTGGAGTCAAGCGCGCCTTGCTGTAGTCGGAGTCGAAGCACTTGATCAGTGCGACCTCCTCAGGGGACTGGTCCGCGAGGTAGTGCCACCTGTGCGCGGGGTTGTGCTTCACAGCGAAAGTGTAGCCAACCTTGTGAGGATAGATCAGGCGTGACGAGACGAGATCCTTGTCGTAGTCAATGGAGTTGAAGTCCGCCAACGCGAGCGGGTCATGAGCGACGTTGTTCTCAATAGGCCTATGCGTGCATTAGGGCTGTCCTTGATATTGTCTTTAAAGTAAGGGGTCTCACCTCCAAACGTTGATGATGCGAAAGCGGCCCTTCAAGAGACGTTCGGCGTCCGCGCCCAGGTGGTCGCGGACACGGGTGAAGGCAGCCACATCCGTTTGATCAACGTGGACTCGTTGCTATCAGCGATACATTTGTTAGCGCACTGCCAGTCAGCGTGTATATGCTTTGCACTGACCACAGGTCCCCTAAAACCTTTCGTTCCCTCGGGTGTTTCTTGTGTTGCGGGCCGCCTATCCATACAGTAAGTTCTGACTGCTTCACATCGCTCGCAGCAACGGGTCATACCTAATGGTGTGGTCGAAGATAAAGATCCTCTTGGCGCCGGCGTGCGTCTTCAGAATATCTTCGACTTCCTTGTAGTACTGAGCCTTGATCGCGTCCTCGTCTGTGAACGTCTTCTCTTTGCTAACGTGACGGATATACTGAAAGCCAGTCTTGTCGAGTCCGATTGTGTCCTCCTTCCCGCGAACGTCGTGAATGACTACGTCGTACGGCTCAGCGGCGGTGTTGGATCTGGGGATGCCTTCCGGAGGCTCTTCGACGTAGTTGTAGGGTCCTTCGCCGTTGGCGTCGGGGGTGTAATAGTACAACGTCGTAGGGACGTCGCGAGGGGAGAGTGTTTCGATAGCCATGGCGTGGGTGGACGATAAAGGTGCGGGGTTGGGGTGAATGAGGAAGGGCCCCGAAACGGCAGCCTTTATATGTTTCTCCGCGATGGTGTGTCATTTCCCGATGCCCAGATAAACCTGGGAGCGCAGCACCGATGGGTTCGAGGGATGCCTGAGAACCTACCCCGGGCCCGGTGTGTAATACCAACTTTTTGGCTGACATCGCCGAGCCATTTTGCTTTGTGAGCCCGAGGCTCGGAAGGAGACCAAGTTTAGAGCAGCTGGGGGGAGCAGCCGGAGCTCAATACAGTATTCGCAATGCTTGAGGACGTCTTCAGGATGATACGGAAGAGCACATCATCCGTAGCTTGCGTTGCTCATTTGATCCCGCTCCACGTGATTATGGTGAAGCGGCCTGGGAGTATCACTAGGGGCAAACGCCGATATTTCCCTTGTTAATATTGATGGGAAAATGTGTCTAGTTGCAAAACTCCGCCAATAGCTTCCGTGGCGGACGAAATCCATCGGAGAACGTAAATTATCTAATGGCTTTTTAATCCAAAAATGGCAATGATAGAATGTTTCATTCCCCAATGGCTTTTCTAAGTGTTAGTTAAGCCCACAAAAGGAAATATCTTCCCATGACTTCTGTTCCCGAATATTCATTGTAGAATTTAACGTTCTTAAACAATTCTGTCATGCATTTCTAAACAGCCAATATTATAAATATGGATTATATTTTCACGATACCAAAACCCTTGGCGGTAGTTTTCCTCCTCTGAATTGTATCATCTCACATGATATCTGAGAAATATCTTTTATTTCCTCGTGCCTTCTCCACTCAGGAAAACCTGCTAGGGAACATAAACATTTCCATCCTCTTTCCGATCTAGCTGGTGGCCGGGGGCACAACACATCGATGCGACGGCACGACTTGGACTCGCAGGGCGCTTATTGGACGTGGGACAGCGCTGGGACGAAATTGATATGGCTGGCGCTTGGGCGGACCGGAATAGACCGGAATTCGGGCTCTGTGCCGAGCGCCGATCACTACGTCACGGAGCTCGATTGATCAATCGATCATGAGCTGGTCTGAGATCT